ATTCGATTCGATTCGATTCGACATAAAAATTCTTGATTCGCACATCTCTACAGGATAAACATATGGAAATTCGCGAAAAGCGCGATACTTTTCCGAAAATTCGTAAGTCCGAAATCTGAATTACCTTGACGAAATATACAACTTCCCTGAGATGCGTGCGATTGCATTTATATCACCTTATCTTTTAAACTCGTGAACTTTTGAACTTGTGAAAAGCAAATTCGAATGCTCTCGAGTCAGAAAACCATTCGCTCCATTTTTCACAAGTTTTTGCTAGAGTGTTTACCAACCTTTTTCATCTCACGGCACACTTGAATGTGTATAGTTAAACTTCCGCGGCACACTTAAATTATGATGACCAAAGAAAGAGTATAAAAAAGAATATACAGTCTATAAAGTAAGAGCGTGCACGGCATAAATGGCAGTTGGCTTCAAATATCGTCCTAGTTTTTCTGTGAGCCTATAGATGAAATTTGTCGTAAATGCTTTGTCACAAAAGATTCAGTTGGCGTCGAAACACGTTAACCATCATGAATGCCGCATATGCATCGCGACGAGGTTGTGTTCCTTTGTTCCCACCCCAAAGGACCAAAAATGTCATACGCAGTGGCTGCTAAATACATGGGAAAGTCAAAATCGTTCGTCGCTGGGTTCAGTAATATAAGAAGATCCAAAATGTCGGTGACTTGCTAGAACGCGGCTCGATAGGCAAAGTATATATATATGGAATATGGAAAAAAAAATTGTGAATTTGTTTAAGCGGAACCCGACCTTAATGCTTAAAATTTATAAGAAGTGTTTGTTGCCGACTGCTGAACGATGCTTCATAAAAAAAAAGAAACGAGGACTGGATCTTACAGGAAGACAACGACCCAAAACACCGGAGCAAGCTTTGCACCGAGTGGAAAGAGCAGTCTGGCATCGTCACACTTGATTGGCCATCGCAGTCGCCAGATGCAAATCCCATTGAAAATGTGTGGGCATATCTCAAGCACAAGCTTCGAGGAAAAAGAGTGTGCACTTTGAAGCAGCTGACACGACAAATTCGTCTCATTTGGAGGTCTTTACCGAACGAATACGCAGTCAACTTAGTGGAAAGTATGCCTCGGAGATGTCAGGCAATTATCAATGCCGATGGTGACTGGACTTAATAACTCATTTTTCTTCTCATGGAGTACAACAAATCCATGTACTTAAAAATCATTAAAAATAAATTTTTCTTACACATTAACCCGTACACGCTCTTATTTTACAGACTGTATCCTTTTTGATTTATTTATTAACACAAACAAAACGCGCCATCACGGCCATAAAAAATAAAGCAAAACAATTTATTATAATTTGTAATAAAAAGATAACAATTAAGATTCCTAAAGATTTTCGCGGCACATCTTAGATCCTCTCACGGCACACACCGGTTGAGAATCACTGCGCTAGAGCAAAGACCTTCTGAATAATTTCTCCGAGTGTATACAGAATTTCCCCGAAACATCGAAAGCGCGCAATCTCGTCTCGTAAAAAAAAATCGCTTACTAAAGAAAAGCGATATCGGTGAGCGCGTCGGGCGACGAAATCGAAGACGCGGCCGGTTTTTCGCGGACATTCGCGTTATCGCGGGTCAGGCTACGCGCGGAGCGAGAGCGCACCGGTAATCGTGGTTGCTCCTATTGTCATTACCGTTGACTTTTTATCGCGCGCGTAGGACTTTGCAATCGCTAAGGAGGCCATGCCTCCCGTCGCGAATGGATATAAAACTCGTCGCTTGAAACTCGCGCCGATACAATCAGCCGATATCGTAATCGCCGACAGCCTACCTCACCGCGCCGATCGCGATTGTAAAGATAACGAGGAACGTTGGGAAAAAAAGGACCTGCGAGTCGACACTGCCGGGGGCCGCGCTTGTCAAGCCGCTATTATCAACGCGATCGCTCCCTCGCGCTACATATGTGCTGATAAGGGCGACGTGTTATCGCGATGATCCGGCGGGTTAAGTATCGCGGTTAATTGGATAAATTATAAAAAAGGACATTGAGGAGGGGAGGTCGCGGTGGACGGAGAAATTTTCCGCATCCGGTCTCGAAAAATTCAAATCTCGAAATTCGAAACTCGGTCAATCTCCCGAAAAGCCGAAATTCAAATCATCGAGATCTTGCGTGGATTTGATCAAATATTAATATTTGATATTAAGTACCCGCGCAAAAGAGTACTAGACTAGTTTTAACCAGTTAGTCAGAAAACAGTACACACACACAGCGATATTAATATCTAGCTATTTGTATCTGCTGGCTCACTCGAGGACGTTCTTTATTCGCTTGTTTTATTATTCACGCATCGCGAACAACGAGAAGCCGACGTCTTCTTCTTTTTCTCCCCTTGGTTTATTCATCAAGCCGCGGCTCTTCCGCCCCTTTCCTTCGCCTCCGTCCCTGCGACATGAGTGTCGTTACACATTTCGCCGGCGATTACTCACAGTGATATCATCCTTATAAAATGCATCGTCGTTTATATTATTGTTACCGAAGTTCCGTCGTCGCCCGCGCTCGCGAAGACGAGACCTCGCGACGGTCCCACGCACCAGGAAAAATATTCTGAGGGAAAATATATGGCGCGCGTGTCGTTCGCTTGTCCGTTCGTTTTCATTATTAGCTGATATTAAAATAAAAAAGAAAAAAAAGGAGAGGAAAAATAAACCATCGACGAACGTAGGTCCGGGAACGAGGTCTCGTCGCCGCCTCGCGAGCCGGCAGATTTTCATTTCTCAATCTTTAATCTTCCCTCTGTAGCTCTCTCTTGCTTTTCGCGAGATCTGCCGGTGTGTGTGTGTGTGTATGTACACGCTGGAAAGCAAAACAGTTTCGACAGTTTTTTTTTCTTTTCTACTGATATTGGTAGTCCGTGTTGTGAGTTTGAATTTAAGAATCACTGCTTAATCAAACTGCGCAAACCAAAAGATCGTGGGTCTCTCTTTCTCTCTCTTGCGCAAGTGATTCTCCAATTTTACAACTAGACGAATCACTGACGTTTGTAAAAGAAAACGAAGGTCGAAACCGTTTTGCTTTCCAATGTACGTACCACTCGATCGTTATATTTCCCCACCACTTTTAATGTCATTTCGACGTGTGTTATCGTGATTTTTCAGTTCTATCTATACGCGGTAACGACGAGAGAGCGCCGAGAGAGCTTGTTTACTCACTTATTTGTCGTGTCACTCGAAACTCGTGTGCTTCCCGGAATAATGCATTAACAATGCGTGGGCACGCACGGAGCTTTGTTTATTACCAAAGTGAGACCAGAATTAGCTTATCGCTCATCGACAATAGGATACGGCCATGACGGTGCGGAAAAAAGTGCCTGTAAGCGGCGGGAAAACCGATTTTCAGATGTCCTCGCGGTGAGATGAGCCCGGAGAGTCTCCTCGCGCGCGCGCGCGGATCGTAATCTCGCAAAACCGCAAACTACAAGATGAAACTGCACATTTTATTTCTGTTTAAGCAATTTTTCAGCCCCCCGTGGCTGTGGCGTTACGCGCACACACACACACGCTCGGTACTCTCTCACCACGCTGAGTCATCCGCGAGTGTCAACCCGATGACGCTCCCGCTCATTGTTATCCGTTTCTCGCGATGAGCGAAGAGCTCTCTCGCGGTGCAGCCGAATTTAATACAATTTATGATCCGTATTCGTTAGCGCCTCTGTAGTGCCGACGTCTAATCTAGCAACACGAATGCCTCATGTGTGCCTCATAGAACGGAAAGGGGCGAGAGAAACACGATCACAGTCCCGATGCGATTCAAATCTAAAGTTAACGCACAGTTCCGCCGTGCCGCTTGCGGCACGATATTAGTTTATCTCTCAGATGTTTGCGCGCGACTCGTGAATTCCGCTACAATTGTCGCGCGCGATTCGCAGATAATTCGCTCGTCGCGACGACGACCGCGCGCAGTGTCGCTGAAGGTGCCGCTCCGAGGGACGCCCAAGAGAGAATGTTACCGTTGTCCTAAGTCGGGGAATAACGAGTCCTTGTAATTCCCCTTTCTTCGAGTTCCGGAGACTACTTCCTCTCGCGCGTACTCCAGGTCCGCGAAATAACGAGACTCGTATACATATATTCGCTTACCGCTGAAGAAACATAACTTGCAACGACAACGGCGTTATGAATTGCTTCTATCCTATTTCCACCTATTTTGCCTATTTTGCAATTTTCCAACGCACGCGTCGTGCGTCATTGCACAACACAATACCCTGCGTATAACACCCTGCGTAATAGCTACGCAATAATTCTGAACAATAACGTGACGTATCGACGTGAAAAATTACGGGATAAGCGCGCTGTACCGCGATTCTGTAACTCGTTATTGGACTTAACGACAGTTTCGTTATTGTTGCGCAGCTTTTCTACGATATACAAAAGCTGCGCAACGATAACGAAAGTGTCGTTAACTCCAATAACGAGTTACAGAATCGCACCACTGGACAGTCTCCGCGTACAGTGTCATGCGTTAGAACACGACGTGACGTTGCAATTGTCAGCTGATCGGCACATCAAACGGAGTCCAAATCCGAGAATCCTCATCCTGCTGTTCCCGCTTCCCGCACCTCGCACGCAATAGACCTGGAGGCCTCGGAGCGATCCTGGAAGGGCGCCTCACGAGGGAGGTGCGCCGTTTCGCGGGAGATCCGCTTGGCTTTGCGACCGCGCAGCTATAAATGCGAAGGCGCGGACGAAAATCGTCTCAGTGTCGAGTGTGAAAAAAGCCGCGCCGGTGGCTTCTCGATCTGTCGTCGTGTGCGAACGCGAGCCTCCTGTCGCGAGAGAGAGAGAGAGAGAGAGAGAGAGAGAGAGAGAGAGAGAGAGAGAGAGAGAAAGAGAGACCGAGACAAATAGATAGACAAATAGGCAGATAAACAGAGAGAGAGAGAGAGAGAGAGAGAGAGAGAGAGAGAGAGAGAGAGAGAGAGAGAGAGAGAGAGAGAGAGAGAGAGAGAGAGAGAGAGAGAGAGAGAGAGAGAGAGAGAGAGAGAGCACACCTGTACGCGCGCACGAGGTGATCGCGCGTGCGTGATCGCTCGATCCGCGAGGAGGAGAATCGCTCGATCGCTCCGTCGCGAAAAATCTCGAGGCAACTTGGGAAAATCGTCGTGCGACGGAAATCATCATTCGACGAAAATCACAGCTTCTCCTTCACGACCGCCTCAGATATTCGCCTGTGATATTTTTCGCCGCGGAGACGTTTAGACTTCCAGTGTCCCTCTTCTTCTTCGTATCTTCGCGGCCCGCCGTCGTCGCGAACGGTTACGTATCGGCACGACCTGCAATTGTCATCGTCGCGTGGTGCCTCCTCCTCGTCGCCGCGGTCTCCTTAATTTATGACCCGCGTCTGTAGTTAAAACGATCGCGATTACCGTGGACGAGAAAACGAGCGGATCCATGTCGATTCCCACGACGAGCTACTACCACGGAGACTCCTTGGGATGATGATTTGAAAGCGAGTACTTTGCCTGTCTACGCCGACACCCGAGCGCCGATATGCTCGAGAAACAGTGCTCGACGATTGTCTGAGACATTAGAGAGGAATATAATATCCTTGTCATTGCCGAGTGCTCTGTGTGGCAAGTGAGAGCCCAGCTGATAATTGCAAGGTATACCTCAAGATCTCTTTCTTTTTTCTTCTCTCTCTCTCTCTCTCTCTCTCTCCCCCTCTCTCTCTCTCTCCTTCTCTCTCCCTCTCTCTCTCTCTCTCTCTCTCTCTCTCTCGCGTTTGAGTTAATTAAGCTTTTCGTCGCGCGCGAATTACGTATTTCAATTATTTCAATTAAATTGTATTTCAATTAAATTGAATCGAACGCGTGAATGATCCACGTGATGACGTTAATCGACCCTCGCTCTTTGTATCATTTTAGCTTTCAAATTCTCCGCGTGTAAATTTAATTAAAACGCGCGATTAATTTCGACTTGAAAATCCAATCGAACGAGAAATTCGCGACTGAACGCGTGCGCGCGTTCGATCGGCGGATTTCGCGCGTCCGATCGCGCAGATCTTTCGTTCTTTGTCACGTGTATCTCCTTTATCGTTTTCCTCGTACGAATTTATGCAAGTTGTGTGCGTTGTTAACGCGCTCACCCGACACCGGTGACTCGCGCGTCGCTCGAGAAGTCTCTCGATAGTATTGGCCAATACCGAGTTGCGTTCGGTCGGTTAAAAATAACCGGGGCTTGCGAACAAATCGCGCGGCCTATTATTAATATAGCATTGTATAGTGTGGAAGCGCATATTTCTCGCGTCTACGCTTGCGGAAAATTCGCGCGCTCTCCGGCGTCTACGACTACACGTGTAGTTCCAATTAATGTCGCGCGGTTCGCGCGCATAAACGATTTTCCCGCGGCTTCGATAGTCGCAGATTGTGATTGTGTTTCTGCATTCATCGCGGCGATGTCGATCGACTGAGCGCTCGTTACCCGGCGATACTTGCGCTCATCAACACGATCGCGTTCATCTGGTAGTAGATCATTCACCACGAGCATCTCGTATTCTCTCCGCTCTTGATGTAACTATGTGAGACACATTTAATTTGTATTTGCAGTTTATTTAATATTCAGCATCATCGTATAAATTCCACGGTAAATTCCACAGTATTACCCGGATCTGTCGCTTGGCTAACGCTTACTTAAATGATTGTGATATCTTTAATGATTCACTTTGTACTTTTAGGTCCAAATTAATCCGAGCCATAACAATATGTAAATTGTAACTCTGTAATAGCTTATGTAAAAAGGAGGGGGGAGAGGGAGGAGGAAAGGAAGATAAAGGGAATTCTTTTTTTCTCCTTTCTTTCTCTCTTATTTGTTTCCTTTTCTTTCTTTCTCTCTTTCTTCTTTTTTCTTTCTTTTACCTTTTTCCCCCTTTTTATTGTATGAGAATCTTCTTACTCGTTTGTACTATTGTCTCAATTACTGTACACCAAAGGTTAGGTTAGGGGTCAGACCCGTATATTATCAATAAAAAAAAATTGTTTGTGCGATAATGTAGAGTGAAACGTGTCACGACGAACGTCGGTCTCTCGTGAGATCGTGTGGAGCGCACGTGAAGCGAGTTCGGCGTGTTACATCTGTAAACTGAGTATCGGAGAACTTGAAAAACTTGAGCGTTCGGGATAAAAATGGATCAAGAATGAAATCAGTTATCTCGTGAAATTTCGCATTTCGTTCTTTTACCTGCGCCACCGTGTGTGTGTGTGTGTGTGTGTGTGTGTGGCACGAAGCGATGGAAATTACGAATCCCCGCGATGCATGCTCGTGTTCGCGCTCGATAACCAAGTTATCGTGTATCCGTCTGCCTCGCCGAAGGACGACGACGACGGGTATTGTATTTAATATCCTCCTAGTCGAATATTCTCCATTCATGTAATTGCGCACGCCAACGCTCGCGATATGCAATGTGCATTCTGCGGCAGCGCGAGCGCGGAAGCCGGAATGCGTGCGGTATGTAATTTGCGATTTTTAATTCGCGATCTTTCCCGATTGCGCGCTTCCCGATACGATTTCGTCTACGTAACTGTCTTGTGGAAGCTGATCTCCGGAGTGCCGCCGCTCGCGAGATCTTAATGCACTGTTCCCAGAAGTGAAAATCTGCAAATTCGAAAGGCGGGATAAAAAATTATAACCTCAAAATCCGCATGTAATCTCTCTCGTTACGGAGATAATTTCCCAAATTATTCGCAGGACAATTGCAAGCTTCCAGCTATTTTAGGAAAGTTCAATCTCAGAAGATTGTCGGATTGTTCGGATTTCAGGATTGCGACCTCTCAGAAAATTGCTCCCGCTTTTCGAATCTCGATACGTTCTTCTTTTTCATGCATGCACTAAAAAAAATGTTTCGCTGATCCAGCCAGAATTCTAAACGTAACAGTTAAAATTTTTCATTGATTTTTGTATCCGCTAGAAAATTGTCTGCGGTACACAGAATTTACAACAACATTCTAGCAATATCTGCAGGGGAATTTAGGTCCCGTGACTAAATCTGAATCACTGCGTTAAATGAAAATAATAATAATAATAATAATAATAATAATAATAATAATCTGACTGGGTGCCACAAAGAGAGTTTCTTGCTAAATTTGACAAACAGTCAGTCATAAATTCTGTCTCTCTGTCATTTATATTGGTCAAATGCGCAAAGCATACGCAATATCGTAGGGCTTGCTAGACATTTTAGCTAATTCCTCGTACAGAGAACCTAGATAATTTTCGCTGTGACTACTAGATCATTTTTCTCAATATGTCCACCGAAATATCCCCTTTCACTTTTTCTTCCTCCATCGAGTTTTTTCGTTACTTCTGCCAGCCGGACAGATCGAGCGTAGAAACAACGAACGCGAAGGGCGATAGTCGTTCAAGGCCCTTAATCCACTCGCGATCAATTTAATAAAACGACCTCATGGCTCAGCGTCGACGCGTCCTCGCGTAGAGCAGCGTATACAATAAGCAGCATGAGAATCTACACGCTGACATTTGCCGGCAGATTTATAACGTCGTTTATTAATCGGCGTCGATGTTATCAAATAAATGCGAGGCGAGCCGAAGCGAGAGATACACGCGCGTGGTGAAATCACATGAGGCGTCGTGATGAATGAATGAATGCGCGAGCGATGTAGAGACGAGATACGATTGAACTCTAATTTTCACACCGCGCTAATAGGTTAAATCGCGTGAAATATTGTGAAAGCTATTATATACAGAGAGAGAAAAAGAGGAAACGCGAGAGAGGCGGCCGCAGCTTGATAATTAGTCGCCGCAGCGGCGGTCTCGTGACTCACGAGACGTGTAGCCGCCTTGTGTAGTTCCTTAAACATTTCGAATAGCAAAGCATTGCAAACGACCGTTTAATGCGCGCGACTATTATTCAATTTGATCGTCGAGTCGCGCATGAAACTACCAATGATAATAGGTGTGCGCGGTGACGCACGTGGCGAAGGAAAAAGTTATAGTACTCTAAGTATAAGTACTCTCCGCGACTTCAGACTCGAAGTTATTCGCGATTTTGAATCGCCTTTTCGTGACGAAAACTTGAAAAGCGGCCACCTTGTTTCGTCAAGCATTACGAACGTCGAATGTTTCCTTGTAATCCCAAATTTACTTTTAATGCTTTTTCTCGCACGAACCTTGCGTAAGTCTTTCGCGGTAAAGTCTCACCGAAAACCGGGCGAAGAGTGATGCCGTTATTTTCCCGTGGTTTTTTTCTCATTTCGGTAAAGGAGTGAATTCTGGCGGTGAGCGAATTAAGATCGCCGACAAGTTAATTGTGTAAACGTATCACGAGCGCAGTAACGATACAGAATTAATTAATCCGTGAAGAATCTCCGTGTTTTCATCGCGTGATCCTCCGTCCGCGAAGATCATTATCCTTACGTAAGACGTAATCGCAAGGCGTCGAGGTAAATGAACGCTTTTCGACGCGCACATCGGAATCGCGCGATTATCTGCACGCGTATTTTCAGCAAAATCTCCGTCGAGCGCGAAATCGTTCGTGGAATTTTTTTTCTCTTTCGACAAACACGGCCGCTTGTTCGTCGTCGTCATCGACGTCGTCGCGTGTCGCGTTGTTATTCAAGAAAACGCGTCGCACCGGAAGCGATCCTCCGAGCGGCGCAACGAACCCGTCGTTTCTTTCCGTGAGATTGGAAGGTGGACCGGCAATTGGATAAATGATTAACAGATCCACTCTGGACGATTCGGTGATTCGGAATAATAATATGAATTTCAATGCCCTCTCTCACTCACGTACGGCGTGAATTCTCCACACCGAATCGTCGTCGAACTCGCAGAGTAAATTCGATGTGCTTCACCATCTCACATGAAATAATTCCTTCTAAGTAACGCGAACTGAATAAATAATTATATAAATCATATTTATATAATAATTATATAAATATTTTGAATCGAAAGTTCCCAAGTTTGAATGAAATGTTGTTTTCAGCGAGATTTCACTGCAATAAATTTTGAAGAATGTATCAGGGCTTCGCGAATAAACGTTGACTCAAAAAACGAGCCTGTGTTATTCGTCGGAGCAATTTTTATGTAACGTTACGCATTCGCCGCCGCCGCTGATTGTCTTGTTCGTTTTTACAGTTGCCCGGCCGTGTGTTCCGAGCTGCACGATGATCACCCAAGTGAGGCTCTGGTGGAAGCTCCTCCAGGCCGGCGACAAGAAAGGTGTAAGGCATTTAATTCCGCCTCGGCACTTCTGCTCCTCGCAATTAACGACCTTATGATTTAAGCGCGACTGCATTGTTCCGTGACTAATTCCGGCACGGGGCACTGCGTTACTCATTCCTATCGCGGCATCCACGTGTATCCTGTGCGTGCGGCTAATAATCTTCGGTAATCGAGCAATACGAGAGAGGATAAATTTTCAATGACGCGAAGAAAAACATTCCGTCCGAGTGTTTAATCGAATCGGGTAGGCGGAACGCGACGTTTTTGCTGAAATTCCCGAGTTCCGTCAATCAAATGTCGATGAACGTCGGTGCGGATGATCGAAGACACGAGAAGACGCCGGATTACACAATAAAACGCGCGGAACGTCGAAGGTCGCTCCTCGTGTGTAATAACATGAGAGAGAAACGGAGTAATAAGATAATAACATACAACAGAAATATGCGACGATGAAAAAGTGAGAACAAAATCAAAGAGAGAGAGAGAGAGAGAGAGAGAGAGAGAGAGAGAGAGAGAGAGAGAGAGAGAAGGGGGTTTGAGAGAGACGCTTCGTTTCTTGCTGCTCTCTGCGACATTCCGATCGGCTAAACGTTCATGGGACAACTATCGCAATTGTCGTTCGCCGAAACGAGCGAGCAGACCTCGCCGTACCGAGGCCGAAGAAGGGGAGACGATGAAATAAATAAATGGATAAACCGGCGGAGGCGGAGGTAGATCTCGGCCTTCTTCTCGATCCTCGTCCTTCGTTCGCCCGCGCGCGCTGCCGCAGGATTTTGAAGTTCGCGCACGACCGTAATGGCATTCCGTGTTGATCCTTTCGCCTACTTTCGCACCGCCGGCGACTCGACGCACGATTTTCCGCGCCGTCGCGTAAAAAGCAACAGACGATACGATCTAATGTACCGTATAGTTAATACATGATAATGTATAATTTCTGACAAGTTACATTTCTTTCGATGGCGACTTGTTTAACGTCGCTGTTTTCTTTCATGAATAAGTAATTTTCCAACTCGGATATAATGTTATAGTAATTGTCTCGTCCGCGCGATAAGAAATATCGCATGTAGTAGCGTTTACATTATATTTACAGTAACTTTCAGTCATAGTAATTTATAATAGGAGTAACTTTACTTTAGTTACATATATACATATATGTGTGTGTGTGTGTGTGTTACTGTAAATTATATATATATATATATATATATAGAGTGTCTGGGATCTTTCGGAATCTTTGGATCTTTTTGGGATCTTTTAATTCATAACTTGAAAATTTGCATACTTATTTGCAAAATGATGCAGGACTTTTTTGTTTAGAATGACCTGATCTACAATTATGTGACGGCTATTGTGTCTAGCGACAGGTTCGAGATTCAGGGTTCAAAGTTCAATATAGACATATCTATTGCTAGACACAATAGCCGTCATATAATTGTAAATTAGGTCATTCTGGACAAGAAAGTCCTTTGCCATTTTGTAAAATAAGTACGAAAATAAGTACGTTTACAAGTTATCAATTAAAAAGGCCTCTAGATGTAATCATTTTCAATCGTTAATAACTTAATAACTATTGCGATTTTTGCAAAATGGTACATGACTTTACTTCTCAGTTTGATTTCATTAATCTTCACAATTTTTTCGTTTCCAAAAGATCCCGAACATCCTGTATATATATATAGTAACTTATATATACAGTGTGCATAGGATACAGAAGAAAAGAAATTGTGTTGGGTCGTATTAATCCGCTTTATTGTGTCTTCCTTCACCGACCGAACGACGCGAACACACGCGGTGAGCATTTTATTAGATTATTCAACATTCGCAGGTGCTCGCGGGCTTGGCGGCGCATACCGGTCAAATCTCCGTAGGACTGTCCCAAGGATACAGCGCGATCCTCTTACCGAAGCTCTTCGAATCCGACTTCGCTGACCAGTCGCAGGCCTCCTGGATCGCCTCCCTCGGTGTCGTGTCGAATCCCCTCGGCGCCCTGGTCGCCGGACTCTGCGCCGAATGCTTCGGCCGTAGATCCGCGATTGCTCTAGCTACGCTGCCGCACGCCGCCGGCTGGTTGCTGATCGCGCTATCGAAGAATGTGCCGATGCTGTACGCCGGCAGATTCATCAGCGGCATCGGCACAGGAATGGCCAACGGGCTTTATCTTTATGTCAGCGAGGTATGTGAGGATGCAAGCGTGGGGAAGGTAGAGAATGTGACCTGTCAAATTCATGAATTTATAAAGATGACGACATTTTCGTTCATAATGTAGCTTGCATACTTGAAACATTGAGCGAGAAATATTTGTGACTATCGTTGCATAATGAAATATTGCTCTTTTTTGTTAAAATAAAAAATATAATTACGTCGGAAATTGCTATAAATCGTAGAGAAATTAACAATGTGCCTTTGTTCAGTATATCTATATATTGACTTTATCTTTCAGGCGGCAGCGCCGGATCAGAGAGCTTGGCTCGCAAGCTGCGGACCCGTTCTGGTCTCGTTGGGAGTACTGATGGTGTACACCCTGGGTGCTATCACCACGTGGCAAAGAGCAGCCGTCATCAGCATCGGACCCGCGATCTTGTCGCTCGCGTTAACTCGGTAATTAAATTTCTCCCACGCTGATTTGCCTCTGCAAATCGACGCGTCACTTAGAAAAAACTTTACTTAGAGAGAGAAAACTTAGAGATTTCTATATTACGAATATTTCTAGTAAAAGATTGACATTCAGCTATTTTTAAGATTATTCACGATTCCGAGTATCACTGAACGATGTGTCTTCCGCAGGACGCTGCCGGAAACTCCTGTTTGGTTGGCAGCGAGAGGTCGAACGGACGAGGCCAAGAAGGCCCTTCTATGGCTACGTGGTCCCGGATTAAAAACCGATCAGGAATACCAGGAGCTCTGCGAGGCGAATCTAAAGCGGAAGGAGGAGAAGAAAAGCCTCCTGCGGGCGCTGCACATGCCCAATGTATGGAAACCATTCCTGATACTCCTCGTCTTTTTCGCTCTTCAACAACTGTCGGGCATTTATGTGATTCTCTTTTACGTCGTGAATGTGCTCAAAGACATTGGCATAGATGTCAACGAATATGCGGCCAGCGTCGGCGTGGGTGTCATCAGGTTATTCGCGTCGATTCTCGGCGCCGGGCTAGCCAACAATATCGGCAGAAAGACCTTGGCTTTCGCCAGTGGATTCGGCATGGCCGTCGCGGCTATGGGAGTCGCTCTTTCCTCCAGGTTTGAGATTTCGGCACTTTCACTGTCTCTTTTCCGTTGAATCTTCATTTCTATTTTTACTTCCGTTATTCGTTACTCTTCATTTCTGCTTCCGTTTTATTTTATTCATTCCTGCTTAACTTTAGCGTTTTTCTAATTTTCACTCCTGAGTGAAAATTAGATATTCACTCAAAATTAAGTAGAAATTCAACTCCTGAGATTTTTGTTTTCTTTTCTCGTCCATTTGATTAACAATAAGCTGATTAGTTTAACACCAATAAAGTTTGGTCGTTTTTTTTTTCTTGAGATCTCTGGCAATACTTTTCTTTATTTTTTAGGTTCGCCCTTCCATCGTGGGTACCTCTATTGTGCATCGGGACTCACGTAGGCGCATCTATGATCGGTTTCCTTACGTTACCTTGGGTGATGACCTCGGAGTTGTATCCGTTAAGGTTCCGGGGAAGCTTGGGCGGCTTGACGACTAGTATCGTGCAGATAATGACGTTCGCCACGATCAAGACATACCCGGACCTGAACATAGTCGTCGGTCTGGAGTTCACGATGTGGATATTCGCCGTGGCCGGTCTATTAGGAGCCATTTTCGCACTGACGATATTACCGGAGACTCGAGGACGTAGTTTAGACGATATCGAGATGAAGTTTGTCAACAAACAGAATGACAGCACAAAACCAGACACTGGCAAGACTTCCAACATGTGGTCGCAATCAAAGAACATCACCCTTCAACGATTCATGTCGATCTCGGAGGAGAAGCAATCAAATATCATTGCGAACGCGTATGCCTACGACAACTTTTGTCTGGAATTAACGCCAGAGAATCTAGAGAAGGGTGTAAAAAGTCTTGAGAAGCAGTCCAGTCTGAACTAATGTGTTATAAACAATCGTACTTGAGCGCGTGTGCCTTTAGTAAAAAAAATTTGAGAAAGAAGAAGAGAGGACTTCGAAATAGACAAAACCGATATAAAAGTGATGATTTTTACGTGACTTCTGGTTTGCCTCGAATAAACTTATTTATTTATTTTATACAATCGATAGGGGGAACAAAGATTCCCTTGATCAGCGATTATAATTAGTATCGATTATGAAGATATTACTTCGCGTTTACCGTCGCCAAATGTTCCTTCAGTATTATGAACATTCCTAATAATACGGACTCGTAGATTTATTTTTAAAATAGTTACACACACACACACAAATGACGTACACATTTTCAACACTTTTACACACATGAGGAAACATTTTCCTACCGTAATTAATTTAGTGTTACAAATTTATATTTGTAATTACACGTTTTCTCGAGCGAGAACAGAGAGAAATATTTGTAAATATTTCATACTTATAATATTAATATTTATAAATTTCATATATATAAATGTTTCATATGATAATTTGTAAATATTAATTATATATAACACCTCGTTGTACGTACTTTGATTAGCAATATGTGCGTATCATTTATAAATGTTTCGCGTAAACTTTATATTGTGTTGCGTACATAATAAATCGCCGAGCGAAGAGGTTTTATTTTCAAGAAGAAACGTATCTTTGTTCATACCCCGGCTCCTTATCTCCGTTAAAATTTCCCGCGTGTGAAGAACGCAGCGGCGAACTTAACCTCTCCCGCCATCATAAGTTCCTGATACCAAAGCGCGTTACCGTCAGCCGACCGTGCCGATGCCAGCTGCCTACTGAGCCATTTGTATCTGTGAATAATATTGAATCTATGTATTGAAATCCATGAGTATCCTCATCAGTCATCATCTCTAGAGAAAGACCGACTCACACTTGCCGCGAACTCATACTCTCCCATCACCGACACACGGATTTCAAAGCCTTTTCATTCCCCGACGTACGCTGCGATGAATACAATCGCCTTTCATCGATCGATCACTCCTCAAACTGTGTGCTCTCCCAGTATCCGTCCGTCGGGACTCGTGAATTTTCGTCGCTTCGCCGGAGATCTGTGCCATCAGCTTGCACGTCGTGCGTTCCTGACATGGGACCGTCAGCTCTCGGGAATTTCCGTCGCTTTGGTCGAGCTGCGGTATCACCTGCTCGCCTACATGCAAACCTGTTGTTCAATCGTCAATCTTCGGGAATTTCCGTTGTAGACCTAATCAGGGCGGGTAACCTCTCACCTGTCGGTCGAGCATGCTCTCCTCGTAACTGACCGACGAAACTCGTCGAATTTTCGTCGTTTCGGTCGGTCATGTGAGTGGTCCGTCATCCCTTTGGCTTCTCAGAACTCATGTTCTCGTAGACCTAACTCGTATGTGTGCTCCTGGTGCCGGACGAAGGATTTTCCCTCGACAAGAACCGTCAATCATCGCCGCCGCCGCCGCGACCGTAAGCGACCTCCACGCAAACATGCTCTCCGGCTGAGCGGTCGCCATTTCTTGTGAATTTCCGTCGTTTCAAGACCGTAGCCCTGGTCCACCGATAGAATTCCTCGTCACTTCTGCTTCCCGAATCGTAAAACACGAAATTCGACCCTTTCCGTTATCGGTCGAAGTCGGGAATTCCGTCGATCGCGTGTCTGCGTTAACCTAACTTAACTTAACCTCGACCTCGCGTCTGCACTCTTCGACCCTTTCACGCGCGCGGTCTGTCATCGAGCGGTCATCAGTAGTAACCGTCGCCTCGAGAACTTCTTGCGCGATATCCTCGCCTGATCACGAGACGTCAATTTCGAGCCTTCCGATCGCGATGGCGTAGACGTTTACTTTCCACTCATCGGGCCTAGAGATAGGCAATATCATTTCGATTATTTTGACATCGATTACTTTTATTTTATACATAATCGATTATTGTATAATGTTTTTTCACCTTGTTTATTTCCTAAACGATGGTTTTTCGTTCAACGCTATTGGAATTAAAATAGCTCCAGGAGCAATTAATACGGCATCATACGAACAGATCTTAGATTCAAATCCATTTTAGTAGATATGTGAGTTGTTTGATAAGTTTCGAGCCTGAACGTGGAGATGACGTTACTAGTCGGAAATTGTTGTGCAAGATGTGAAAGCTACATCTGTGGGGGTTACCGCTCCGGCGCCGGGATCCCCCCGCCCACAAGAGGGATATTAAGGGAACACGACACTTGTGCTCTGGAGCGTGTTCAACAAGGTGCGTCGTGCAGGGCACCGCTCTGGGTAGGGCAAGCAACGAGCAGCAGGCAGTTCGTGGATGCAGTCTTTATTAAAAACCCCTCGCTGGGGCACGCCCGGACCACAAAATCGTAGGTTTACTAACTAACGCTAGCGGCTGGTCGCAGACCGGACGGCGAACAGAAAAGGCATGTGGTTGCGACAACGAAAAAGATTCAAAACAGCGCCCTCGGCTGGAGCATCTGCTTCCGACGGCTCGCCTGCGAGTCTCCTGGCGGTGCGGTAGATGGCGGGAGAGGCTCGACCGCCACACATCTTTTTAATAAGTATTCCAAATGTTCAGTTTAAAAGTTGGATCTTGTTTACGGTGACGAGTATTTTGCAGTGCTTGACCCAACCTACTTTGTTGTCGGAATGAGAGGATTAGAAAAGAGATGGGCATCGAGATAAAAGGAGACTGTATTAAAATATAAAATCTATTATGCCCAAAAATATAAGTGCTTCACTGTTGGGCAATAGATCGAGCATGAGGTTCGAAACTCGAAGATCAGGTAGAAAAAGAAACGACGGACAATCGCCGCCGTATCTTTCTCTCTCTGACGAGAAAAGAGTGGAGAGGAAGAATAGAGAGACAGTTGAGCGTGACTGAATAAAATCATATTCCCAATTCCCAATTCCGTAGAAGAGAATTATACTCGTATTCATAGTCAGGCCTTATATTTGAGACCTTCTTATATCCATCCATTAGATGCTGCACGGATTATTTTATTGGCTACAGACCATCTGAAGATAAACTTAAGGAAGTCTTAAATATAAGGCCTGACTATGAATATTGTGGGTGTGTTTGTGTTTTTAAATATTTTAAAATATTTTAAATTACCTAACATCACATGTATATTTGGTAATTTAAATGTATGTTAAGTATTATACATCTGTATCTTATTACGCATGCGCGAACAAAGAGAGAAAGCTACATGGCTTCCTGTCCTTTTTTACCTGATTTTCAGTCTCTACAAGAGAATACGTTCAGTTTATTCTTACTTATATATTTATGGATGTAGCTAAAACAGTCAGTATTGGCACTATTCTTAAATTACTTTCGGCCCTCTTTGCTAATATAAAAATTTATCCAGGATTGACAGTTTTTAAGGCCATCATACATTTTCCGTAAGACGTAACAGCAAGGTTTTAATCAATCGCGTTATTCGATTCGGTCGTCCGTAAGCGTAATTATTTGAAACAAGCGACGCAATTGGTTGAAATCTTACTGTTACGTCCACTGAAATATAGGCCTACAATAGATGTTGTAAGCTGTAAGCCGTAAGAACTGACCAATTATAGCCGATTATTTTTGTGATAGTCGACTGTGATTCGCCAATTCTTACGGCTTACAACTTACGACACGTATTTGAAGCGTGGTCTACAATGGCCGTAAGCAGTAAGAAGTAAGCGTGAACAGTAAGAAATGGACCAACTACAGTTGATTATTTTTGTCGTATTCGACAGTGATTGGTTTATTTCTTACCACTTAAGCCTTACTTCTTACTGCTTAAGGCCATCACACGTAGAAAAATTTTAACCGTAACCGTAAGGTTGTAAGAAAACTGACCAATCACAGTCGATCCTTTCTCTTGTGACAGTAAGTTGTAAGCCGTAAGAACTGATTATAGCCGATTATTTTTGTAATAATCGACTGTGATTCACCAATTCTTACGGCTTACAACTTATGACACGTATTGTAGAATGACCTTAAGGCCATTGCACGTACAATAGTTTTAGTCATAACCGTAAGACCGTAAGCAAATTGACCAATCACAATCACCAATCACAAAATTACTCAACAGTTGCGCAACTGTTGAGTGGCTGGGTTCAGAAAACACAACGGTTACATAATAACGGTTGAGTAATTCGTCAACGTTATTGGTCTGAATGTAAGGATCTAACAATAAGGACCAATAGTTACTAAGCGCTCAGTAAGCGCTTTGTTTTCTGAACGCAACCAGTGTCGTGAACGCACTTAATGACTACGTTTACACGGCTTCTAACTTCGACTTAGTAACGCTAATGTTATAACTCCTACTTAAGGTGAGTTGCGTTTACACATTTACGCTTATCTATTTGAAATAACTTAATAACTTTCGAGTGAGTCAAGGATTTCCATTAGTACCAATATAAAAGGCTGAAAAATGAAATGATTGTGATTGTAGTCTGAATATAAAAGAATTAGAATATGAAAAGAATAGTATGTAAATAAATCAACAAATAAAGTGAACTTTTAAGTTATATTATGAATTTGAAAATTATAAAATATATATCTATATATCTATATAGTAAAATTTATATAATAAAATATAATATTTAACTAAAAATGAAATTAAAATTTTAGGTTATCAATTTTGGAAAAAATTAATCATGAAAAATATGAAAAGCGTACGCTCGTTTGTTGCTATATATTTGAAAATAGTAGAAAATATTACGATGCAATATATACTATATGTACCAAATATTTTGATTAAACGGCGAAAGCGTCAGAAAGAAATTATATTACAACATTTGTTGAATTTAACACCACCAAATCATTTGCTTGATCTCGGACCCGTATTACAATTCTCACGACATAAATCAATTTTACAATCAAGTTAAGATGTTCAATTTTTATATTGGTGTTATTGTCATATTTACACTGCGTCCGTTTACACGTCTTCCTTACGTCGATGTAAAAACTCTAAACCTCTTCACCAAATGACTTTGAGTTACTATATCAATGTAATAACTTCGTCGTAAAGAAGTGTTTACATGGCATCTAACGTCAGTAGTTATAACATCGATGTTATAACTTTAGCGTAAATTGGGCTGTGTAAACGTAATCAATGATGGTTTGTAGGTGAATAAGTGCGACGAGTAAAATACGAATAATGGCGCGTGTCTTTCCTCTCGCCGCGCACCGGTAATAGTTGCTTGCTATATTATCTTGAGCGTAGCTATAGCAGTCGCTATTATCATCGCTCTTCAATTACCTCCGAGTCCCTTTGGGCTCCTTGGTCGATACGAAAATTTATTCAGAGTTAACAATCTTTATATTACCTCGTCGGTGCCTTTAGCATTATTTCATCGGTTACCGGAGCTTGGTAAAAATAGCTCTACGAGGAAATAACGGTTGCATTCAGCAGAAAAAGCTGCTTTATAACTGCTGTAAAATTTGTGAATCTAATTGGCGTATGCTCTTAAATTTGGCTGAATCCCCGAGCATGCGCCACTTAAATTCATGAACTTTACAATTGCCAAGCAGCTTTCTTTCCTGGACGTAGCCATTATATATTAATATATCGTTAGGCCTATTCCGAAATCGGTTTCGGAAACTGGTTTTAGTCATAAAGTTGGTAGGCCTTAAAATAATTTAGTATGTTTCGTAATTAATCAGCTGATCAATCATTAAGATAATAAGTAATAAAAAATCTATTTTTATTACTATTATCTATTTAATATTACAAAATTAGTAGTTAAACCAAGCTTGTAAACAGGAATACTACATAGCTGTGAACGTTCAAACGCGATCAGCTGATCAATTACGAAACGTATCTAAAGCTAAGACTCCATGCATGCGGTGAGCTGCGGCAAATGCTGCGATGACCAATCAGGAGGGAGGCGCAAGTCCGGTTGCGGCAAGCTCCAGCATGCGTCTGTCTCCTGATTGGTCACCGCAGCCGTTTGCCGGAGCTCACCGCATGCATGGAGTCTTAGCTTTAGGCTGCATTCAGCAGACTTAATAGTTGGACAACATTACTAGATTTTCCACTGAATCTCGCTCCTGATTGGTAAATACTCTGGGTCTATGAAGAATCTAAAAGAATGCTCCAATCACAGACAATAATCACTAAGCGCCCTCTGATCACTTTGTTCTACTGAACGCAGCCTAATTACTTATGTAAGGTACAGATATTGTACGGATCATTTCATTGGTTACAAAGTATCTTAAAGATAAACTTAAGACGATCTGAAATCACAGATGTCTATACTATACTAGATTGCTAACTTCTCAAAAGAGCTGTGTCCCGCCTATTTTCCGGTTCGGCCATGAAGACCGCCAAGGCATGGCGGCGGTGTGTGTTTGTAGTGTGTATGTGAATACCCGATGCATATGTAGTAGTGCGTTGTAGTGCGTATGTGACACCTGATGTGTCTACTACTATTTATGTTAGTAAAACTGCAAATCTACAAACGAGATAATGCCGAATAAGTATTGTAAATTTCAAAAATACGAACAAGAAAGAATATCATTTAAAGATGTGTGTATTAATAAGGTGTTGCTAATCTAAGTGTTTGGTAAAGGTTAAAATTAAATTGAATATATACAGTTCAAAATATGTCAAAGTATTTGTATTAATATTTTTTACATACATATAAAGAATAAAATGCAACTTATGTGTTATTAAATAATATTAATTTTGTAAATTTGTGTCTGTTACTTGCAGGATTTCTATCTTTCGTTGTTTTTGTAAGTGAATACATTCTAATATTAATAATATTAATAATATTAACAATGTTTAATTGCAAGATAACCCTCACATATTACAAACCTCGAACATTTATTATATATAAATGTATTCTACTTACTTAAATAAGTGATATCCTTTTTTATTCGTATTATTGTAATTAACAATGCAACATGTACTTGGCATTATCTCGTTTATATATTTGCAGTTTTACTAATATAAATAGCAGTAGATACGACACATCAGTGTAGACACATCAGGTATCACATACTTACAGTACAGCACTACTACACACGCATCGGATACTCACGTACGCACTACAAACACACACCGCCGCCATGTTTTGGCGGTTTTCATGGCCGAACCGGAAAATAGGCGGGACACAGCTCTTGTATAGGTCAAAGATCGAAGTTAGCAATCTAGTATAGTATAGATATCTGTGTCTGAAATATAAGACTGGATTGTGAATTTCGGCTTAAATTAGTTTAAGGTCTACCAACCTTATAACTAAATCCAAAGTTTCCGAAATCGATTTCTGAACAGACCTATTAAAAAAAGCAAATATCTCATCAGTCTGAAATCGTTTGTATACTTGGTCTGTTCTTTTTAGCTGCACTGCTGAACTAGTGCAATAAGTTAGAATGAGACAACTATATTTTTTTTCAATTTAACTTATTGCACCAGTTCAGTAGTGCAGCTAAAAAGAACAGACTAAGCTTAAGACTCCATGCATGCGGTGAGCTCCGGCAAACGGCTGCGGTGACCAATCAGGAGACAGACGCATGCCGGAGCTTGCCGCAACCGGACTTGCGCCTCCCTCCTGATTGGTCACCGCAGCCGTTTGCCGGAGCTCACCGCATGTATGGAGTCTTAGCTTAACTGTGTACAAACGATTTCAGCAGTATACTTGTAGAGTGCGTTCTGTCTTACCCATATGCGCGCATTTTTTATAGTATACGTGACATAAGCTACAGGTAAATGTGCGCATATGCGTGAAACGGAACGTACTCGTAGTACACCTAGCCTTGAGTGTACGAAGATCACGTGATGCGGTTGTGATTGTCCAGTGATCTTTATTCCGATTTTCATCAAATTTGATATACGGCCCATAAAATTATCATCCCTTATAAGAGTACGTTAATAATATTCGAGCTCGTTTCTCCTGTTGCGAGATGGTACATGATCCTACAGATGAAAGATACAGAAAACCACGTCGAGCTGGCAACACAAGCTTGCAAAAATATTCGCACAGTATAGCACTTGGTATAGTGTCTTTATTTGCTGTAACAATGTACTTAGGCTGGAAGAAGGAGTAGGTACTTTTACTGCAATTTTACTTTCAATATATGTTTAAACCTACAACTGGCGTGTTCTTTATTTATATTTTGTTATAATCGATTTCAATTTATGCTGCTTTAATTAATCTTGACAACGCATCATAAGTTCTTACACACATACACACAATATTCATGTTTAATAAAATTTTTCTATATTTATAGTTTGAATAAACGTTTAAATGACGAAACATACCAACAGGATATTAATCTAGAAGGATATGAAGGTGTAAAAGATTATGGTTATATTTTCTTACAAGATGTTTATGATAAGCTAGCAAAAACTTGGAAGAAAAAATCTACGTCAGAAACCAAACAAGAAAAATAAAAATTGATAGATAAAGTGAGATAAGTAAGCTGAGTAGAGTAGTATATTTAGAGATTTATAAGAATGACCGATACTGGAGAAGATAAATTGTATAAGCCTGAAAATCCAGAACGAAGATTAAGATTGAAAAAGAATTATAAAGGAAGGTACTATCCTACAACAAATAAAATATGTTGAACCAATCTTAGTAAATATATTTTTCCTTACATGATATATAAGCTGTTAAGAAAAAAGAACAAGATGAAAATATACATAAAATATATAAGAAACATATTTTCATTATATTGTTTCTCCCATTATATTTGTGTTACAAAATAGACTTTGTTTTTTCTTTTTTATTTTTATAATACATAAAAGATAATATTTGCAATATTAAGATAAACTTTTGTAATATATCTTCTTTTATTTCTAGTATAAATAATGAGATTCATCTGTGTGATGATTCCAATATTAAATGTGAAGAAAGCAGCAATTTAAGAACTTGTTCACCTCAAACTTCATGTGAAGATGACAGCATATTGGATTTTAAATCACCAAAAAGACTCATATTACCGAGAAATATTAACAGCAATAAGTTACTAGATAAGCCTAAGAAGAAAGTAATTCAAAATAAAATTAAAATCATAAACAGTAAGAAAAAATCTGATAGTAATAAACCACTGCAGAATAAAAAGAATCTACAAGATACACAACAACCATCAATCGAGTCATCCTTTTTTAAGACTGAAAATAAGGATTTATTACAAAGTTCTGCAAATGCTAAAACAGCTTATGTATGTCCATTATGCTTTAAAAATCTTAAGGATGAAAATTCACAAGCTGTACATATGAAAAATTGCGCGATAAAAAATAATATTTCCACAAAGAAGCTGTTGGATGCTGTGGAGCTGCAAGAGCGTCAAGCTGCAGAAAGAAAATCATTAGGTTTACTTTCTGCTCCTATATTACAGGATAAAAAGAAACCTGTACCACGTAAAGTTGTATGTGTTTAATACAATGTAATACAATATAATATTATAGTTTTTAATCTAGTTCTAAATATAACTCTACTTTTCCAGACACTTCAAGACGATCCTGATCTTCAGCTTGCATTAGCACTTTCTAAATCTTTGTATGAGAAAGAAGAAATAGAAATATTTGATAAAGCTGAAATCATAGCTATATCGTCCAGTTCACCATTACCAGATAGTAACAAAGAACACTTTCAGAAGACAACATTACAAAGCTTTGGGTTTACCAATGATAGAAGTACATCACCAACAAACATCTCCAACAAACCTAACAACAAAGCGAAGAGAAGTACTTACATATTAATTCGTATACATATGCTAAATCTTACAATTAAAAGAAGTTTCTAGTATCTTTAATTCTCATCCTGCTTTCATTTTACTTAAACAGAAAAACCCATTGAACCAACTATTTTACAAAGACGTACAGCTATAGAGAGAGAACGTATTTTGACAGAAAGAATAGCTGAAATACTTATGAGCTATAAAGATTTTACCCAAAAAGTCCAAGAAGAAGATAAACAATCTGTAGACATTAAAGAAAAAATCATCATAAAGAGTGAAATACTTCAGCAATTACATAAAACTGTAACTACATATCAAATACTTTTAATTTAGCCAGACTATTTGCTGATTCACCAAGAGTAAATCTTAAAATTTCTTGTTATTTTTAAGGAGAACACATTGTGGGATAGAACACGATTAATGCCGAATCACAATGTATTTTATGTAACCCAATTGTCGCCTTATATAACACCATTATCAAAGGAAGAGTATAAGTTAAATGTGGTATGTAAATTAATTGCTGTACTGAAACAAACTAGAACAGTACCAGTTTGTCAACAAGATATATTTATATGTACAATATACAATTATGCACAATATAAATTATAATAATATATTTTGTAGGAAAAGCAAAATATTATAGAAGATCAAAGCGACAAAGAATCTATAACCAAATACCTGCTGGAAATAAAGGAAGTGCAGAGTGTAGATGTCATAACTGACGACGAAGAATTAACAATGTTCTCGAACGTAGCAAAAACATGTTGCGAGGAGAGGAGATTTCTCGACAAACTAGCAGTAGATTGGAAAAATATACTAAATGATAGTTCTGCCAGCGACATAATTGTGCTCGTAAAAAACAGTAGACATATTTGGGCGCATAAATTGGTTTTCTATGTACGCTGCACAAACATTTTACTTGATGTAATGTCCAATGATACAGAATTCTCTACTGCAAAAGAAAAGATTTGTTGGATTGACATAGACTATGATGTTGCCTTGGCCTTTCTAGAGTTTGTCTATTGCGGAACAATAAAGAGGCATTTGAAAGTACTCGATTCTGACACGTCGCTACTTGGCATTAGATCATTAGCAAGGAAGTATAAAATAAATGACTTGTTTGTTTATCTACGTCAGAAAAAATGTATATCTAATTTAACAGAACAGAACAGAACTGGACATAAGAAAAATACAGAGAATGTAATAAAAAATGTAGAAGAGATTTTGACTGTTTCGGAACCGGGCAAACTTACTTGCAATATATCACCGAATTATGTTCGTGATGATTTAAAAGAGGCGCAGTGTATCAAGAGAACTTTATTACAAGAAGATACCAATAATATCTCTCAATTCCTTGGGAATGATTGTACACTTGTAAAAAGTTCCTGCATTCTGGAAGATCAAGATGCAGTTTCAACAAAATCATTGGAGCAAATAAATTCCAGCAGCAACACGCCCACAAATCGAAGCACTACTGTATCTCCCGATATATTTGATGACACACCTGAGATAAAGAAACACAACGATAAATCCGCAACACATTCTAGAGGCCATGAGGATTCAGATATTCGTATGTTGTTGAGTTTAATTAAACAAGATGCGGATATTAGTATTTGCAGCCAAAAGTTATCAACCAGAAAAACTGACGATGCAAAATATCCAGAGTCAGACGGAGATATTTCCATCTGTTTAGGACAAACAAACGAAAAACAAAATATAATGGAGATTGATTCAGATTCCGATTTGAATTTTCCCAAGCCATCCGTTAATTCATTGATGGACACTCCCCAAAGCAGTAAGTCAAATATTAGCCAAGGGCACTCATCAGATGTAGTGAGACAGAAAAGCAATCTTACATTATTTATTGAAAAAATACAAAGAGAAAACGCGAAATCGGATTCCGATTTAGACTTTGATCTAGACATTACTAGCAAAATACCTCGATTAAGGCATTCGAATCTATTCCGTATACACAAATCGATTGACACTGATAATGAAGATCCTGAGTCTGATAATTTAAAACAAACAAATAAGACGAAGAAAAAACTCGGTAAATTAAGTATAATAGAACAGCGTATGCGATCGTTTGCTAGTAAAAATCCAGAATTTTATTCCATCTCCTCTGGTGAAGATGTATCAAATGTTAAACAAAATAACGCTTTATCTGCCGAAGAAACGACAGAATCTTCTCATGATGATCCTAAGAATTACTCACGAAATTTCATCTCAACTAAAGAAAATGTTAACATCTTGAACCAAGTCACAATTACGCCATTGCCAACAGTACATTCACCAGATACTAAAACGAATCAGCCATTTAACAAAAACATTTGTGATTTAGAAGAAGACGAAGAAGATATTTCTATGTATTCTAAATATATGAGAAATCATCACGACAATAGCATAGCAAAGTATCGTCCAGGAATCGAGAGAAATATATCAGATGGTAATTTGTCTGATGCAAGCACAGTATGTGACATATCCATTGAAGACAGTGACATCAATGAAAATGATACAATTTTGACTCGATCGTTTTTAACGCAAAAAGATGCATGTATAAATGCTTCGTCGGATACAGAAATTGAAAATATATCTTCTAGTGTTAACTGTCCAATCATTCCACACATACATAACGACAACTTCAATCATGAAGATAATGTACAACTGTCTGAAATAACAACAAAAAATAATAAGCAAGATATAATAGACAGAAAAACAAATCAATCTTTCGTTCTTCAAAAGAACGAGAGATTGATAGCACTAGATTTAGAAAAGCAAGAAGACATCACAATTAACTCAGATCAAACTGAATTCAATATTAATGATAAAAATATGACATCAGATAATGAAGATATCGAACTTGACGTAATTTTCACGCAAACAGAATCTGGTTTAAATAAATCAAATAAAGATAAAATTGACAGCCATAAGGAAGAATCCATTTCAAGCCCCATTACAGTATCTTCTAGTCCAGATTTACAATATACGGAGGGTTTTTCGGATAAAGAAATTCCTGATGAACACGTATCAGAGGTGAATAATCATGAATTGGAAAAATCTACTGGATCTTCTAATTTTGTTGATGAAATTAATTTTGAAGCTGATATTCATCTTGCAAACGTTGATGTCGATAAATATGAGAAACATATTTTGGAAGAGAGCAAATCAGTTAGCGTATTAAACGCAACAAAATTTAGGAAAAGTAATTCACGCAGATCTAGCAATGAAAGCAACAGTAAGAATATAATAGATAATTATAAAATTAATAGTGGCATAATCCGTCGTAAGAGCTCAGTTTATAATGCTATTTCTTTGACTCAAAATTCCACAAGTATTAGAAAATTAAAAAGGAAATCCTTATCTGAGGGACAAATAAATATTAACAGGCTACAGTTAGCAAATCAAGAAGATACTTCGAAACATGCATCTGTGCAATTTCAGCATAATTATAAGAATATTGAGAATATCAAAGCTGTAGCTAAAATAATTGATAAAGATGTTACACCACCACCTGATTACGATGCTATGAGGACACCTGAAATACATGTAAGTTTATTAATAATAAACACAATCATAAATAAAAATTCGCTTTATTCTCTTGAGAATAAGAATATTTTTTAATTTCCAGAAAGAAATGAAAAAATATGGATTGAAAGTGCAGAAACGTAACAGGGCTGTAAAATTATTAAAATATATATATAACGAATTACATCCTTTAATACCTATACATGAAGCGAGTGCAGAACAAGAAATATCAAGCGATGAAGAAAGTCCACCGGCGAAAAAACCAAATACGAATGATAGCAGTGAAGGAATACTAAATAACGCAGAAGAGAGTTATGATGAATTAACTTGTTCTCAAGATAGGTACAAATTTAATATAAATGTTAGAGTTAGTTTCACTAACTTACATACATTTTGTATAATAATATAAATAATAATATAGTAATATTATCTATTACAGTAATGAGAGTGCGAACTCCGTTAAAAATACAATCAGTAAAGAAATGGAATTTTATGAAACTGAATCGTTACCGACACTGGAGAATTCGTCAGACATCAAAGAAGCCTTTACAAAATTGATCAATATTGATAAAGATTTATATAATAAGATATTGCGATATGAGCCTATAAATATTGAGCAATTGCACGCGACATTGCGATTACATGGATTTAAATGTAAACTTTCTAATTTTATGAATTTCTTGGATGAACAAGTAAGTTATCTTTTTTAAGCTTCATAAAATGCAGTATATACTAAAAGAGGTAGGACACATAAATAATTTGAGTTTTTTTCCAGTGTATTACGTTCTACATGCCGGAACAAAGTGTGAAAAACAGAGCACATAGAAAAGCATAATTTTGTACAAATGAAATATTTGCAAGGGAATTCATTTTGTATTGTGAATCTTTTGGAATATCTTTGCTTTGTATTGAATAAAACATATTTCCTCTAAATAAATTTTATTACTATTATAATTTAGGATTTCTACGACAGGAGGTATCTCACTGAAAAGCGAGACTGCGCTCGCGCCCATAAGTAACTTTCGATTAATCGATTATTTTTCGATCCTTTCGTCACTACCCGTCACTTCCTTAACCTGGGATATCTCGTGTTATAATTGAAGAGTCTAGCTGACGAAACGTTGTAATTTATTGCATTTATAATTGCATTAGTACAATAACGGAGATTTGATCGCAAGAGTTCGTTATAGTGTAAATGTCAATAAGAATATACAGGTTAGGATATATTTTATTACAAAATATTTTTTACGGTAGTATTAGCTATAACATCTGGTTTTGCCGCATTGTTCAATTTAATATATTTTATCAATAAGTAATATTGTTGTATATCATTATTTTTTTCATATTTGTAACACTTTACATACTAATGTTGCAAATATTAATATAAAATCACTTGGAAATTGTAACATAAAAATATATGTATGTTCTTATAGGATATCCAAGTATATATAGTTAAAAGAAACAGACTTATTACAGTAAAAATATCTGAGAAAAAATGACATCATTAGGTAAGTTGCATTGGATTAAAGTAATAAGAGAGCGATATAATTACAATTATGTATATAGGCATAATTTATTTGATATATTTTGTAATTAATAATATAATTAAGTAATTACAAATATATGTGTATATAATAATATACTTGTGTTCTAGAAGGCATTTATACATCAGAAAAGTTTGGTAATGATGAGACAGGGGATGGCTCGGAAAACAACCCCTTTAAAACTATCTTAGAAGCAATGCGTCATGCTGGTAAAGAATCTTTCCCAATATTTTATCAGGATTCTCATGAAAGTGATAAGAAGTATGAACCAGCATCCAAGTCTCAGTTAAAGAAGATACAGAAAATCTGGGTCAGAGAACAGTATAAAAATGAGGAAAAGGAAAAGAAGCTGTTAGAAGATGAAGAAAAGAGACTGAAAAATCTCGAGGAAGCTAAGGCAACTGTCATAGAAGAGGACAAGTCATTACCAGATGCGAAACAAATTAAGATAAAAGAAGCTCTGAATTATAGAGACAAGAGAGTTAAGCTTTATGGATGGATACATAGATTAAGAAGACAAGGTATGCATGATTTTGTGAATTCATTTTTGTTTACATGATATCATTGAATGTTTTTACTATGATATGTCATTGAATATTTTTACCATAGGTAAAGCTCTTATGTTTATCACATTAAGAGATGGGACAGGCTTCCTGCAGTGTGTGCTAACTGACAAACTATGTCAAACATATGATGCTTTAATCCTCGCTACAGAAGCTGCTGTCCAATTGTTTGGAACCTTGAAAATTGTTCCTGAAGGAAAGAGTGTATGTCCAAAATGATAAATCACATTGTACAAATATTATCATTGATATGTTCTACATATAATCAATATGTTTTTATGTTATTGTCACTTAATTCCAGGCACCTGGCGGACACGAACTATGTGTTGATTATTGGAAACTTATTGGTTCATCACCACCTGGTGGTGCAGATTCAATTTTAAACGAAGAAGCATTGCCTGACGTGCAGTTGGACAATAGGCATATAATGATTCGAGGCGAAAATGTACAGTAGAAAAATGCTGATACTCTTACATTGATATAATTTTATCAGAATTAAAAATAACTTATTATTTATACAGACATCAAGGATTCTAATTATGAGATCTATATTGACGCAAGCGTTCAGAGATCATTATAAAGATCGCGGTTATTACGAAGTGACTCCACCAACTTTAGTGCAAACTCAAGTGGAAGGTGGTTCAACTCTCTTTAAGTTAGATTATTTCGGGTATGTAAAGAATAAAGAAGTGAATGCGAGTTATTAATGTTAGAATTACAACTTAACGATGAAGTGATATTACTTTTAGGGAAAATGCTTTTCTGACTCAGAGCTCTCAGTTGTATCTTGAAACATGCATCCCGGCAATGGGAGACGTATATTGCATTGCTCAATCATATCGGGCGGAACAATCAAGAACACGCCGTCACCTTGCAGAGTTCGTGCATACATAAATATATTTTGTTTTGTACTAAATTATATTCTATTATTTTATTATTATTTCTGATCTTTTTTTAGATTCACGCACATTGAGGCAGAATGCCCTTTTATTACATTTGACGATTTGCTCGATCGGTTGGAGGATTTGATTTGCAACGTGGTCGAACGAGTTTTACAATCGCCGCTCGGTAGCCTCGTTAAGGAACTGAATCCCAACTTCCAAGTACCTAAGAAGCCCTTCAAGCGTATGAACTACAGTGACGCGATCGAATATTTGAGAGAAAATAATATCACGAAAGAAGACGGAAGTTTTTACGAATTCGGAGAGGTGCAAATAATATATCTTTATTTTCTTACGCTTTGCGCTTGGAGGATATGTATAATATCGTATTGTCTACTTCCAGGATATTCCAGAGATGCCAGAGAGGAAAATGACCGATGCTATTAACGAACCGATAATGCTCTGTCGTTTTCCCGCCGAGATTAAATCATTTTACATGCAACGTTGTACGGAAGATAGACGCTTGACCGAGTCCGTTGACGTGCTGTTGCCGAATGTAGGTGAAATCGTCGGTGGCTCGATGCGTATCTGGAACTACGATGAAATGATGGAGGGTTACAATCGTGAAAATATCGATCCGACTCCGTACTATTGGTATACAGATCAGGTAAAAAAAACAAAATAATAATACAAAAAATATTGGTTTGCAATAAAGAGATAACATTATAGAACAAATAACTATATCATTTGCTTCGCAGAGGAAGTACGGATCTTGTCCTCATGGTGGTTACGGACTAGGACTGGAACGGTTCTTATGCTGGTTATTAAACAGATATCATATACGCGAAGTATGCTTGTATCCGCGTTTCTTGGAACGTTGTCGTCCGTAATAACATTCCAAGAGTATACTAAGTTAACCTAAGTCAAATAAATATTTAGTAGAGACATTTAACTTCGTACTGTTATAACAAAATTAGTACTGTACATTACGTTCGTAAACGTACACAATTCTCTCAACATTTCAATTTTCCGAATTAAAAAAGAAGCAGCAGGAAATGCTAGTTGAACAAACATAATGCGATTGAACATGCTACACGCGTATCAGATATTTCTTAAATATAGAAATATTATTTTGTTCTGCAAAAAAATGAGCTATTGTGCAACATGTGAATCTAGCAATAATATGTTTGTCTGTATGTAATAATATGTCTGTATGTACAGTTACATGTACAATGAACAAGTATATATATATCATCAAAAACTAGATCTTTCTGATACTTACAATTTACACACATTTATTGTATAATCAAGTACAATCAATACCATATAGATTATGCTTACAATTGTTTAAATAAAAGATTTATAGAATGGTGTAATTGAAACAAGGTAAAATTTTCGACATTTTCTTTCTATAAGATCCTTGTGTGTATGTGTGTGTCTGTGCGTACATATGTGTTCATACGAACGAGAAGGAAAGACTTGTACAATATTACTCGTGTAGTTGTATGAACACGTACACAGCAGATACAAAAATGAATTTAATTTATGCTGCATAGTTATATACGCGTATTTGCAATATATTCCTTAAACATTGAATTATTGTGGATTCTTATTACCAACTTTCAGTCATGACAGAATAACAGCTTTTATCCAGTAAAAACGTTTAAAATTATTAGGCAAGATATTATTTACTTCCTTTTATACTGTAATGATGTATAGTATTTTGTGGTATTATATTAAATTGAAATGCAACACCAATAAGTGTCAGTCGTAAATTTGTCATATATAAATACATATAAAAACAAATATATAATGAATTTTATACATATATATATTTTTTATTTATATATACGAATATAATTTAACCATCAAAAAGTTAATACATTTAGTAATTGAAAAAGTGTGCATGACAAAATAGAATTAAAGTATCTGACACAGAAGGTACAATTCTAATGAAATTCACATCTGGTGTTATACGTATTCAAACAAGTTTATATTAAGTGATTCTTCATTCACATATTTACAAAAAATTGGATATGAGGAAAATACATTTTATCTAGATATTGATAACATTTCACTATTAAACAGCTAAACTGTTATTTATACCATTAAAATTGTTATTAAAACAGACTTGAGTAATTTGAAAACAATAAATTTTAGATTCTTTGGAAAAACTAATATTTTTCTATCAATTATTTATTAATTAGCAACGTATTTAAATAATTCGGTATTTACTTTATTGCAATGAAATATATGCGATAATATAAATACATTACAGCAATCTGCTGCGTTACAGCAATCGCTGCATTACAGCGATCTGCGTTGTAATTATTATTAGAAGAGTATATTACACATTTTGAAAGAGAATGTTTATGAAGGCGATGAACAAAAATTTCAAACTTTATGTACTTTGCTCATTATCCAAAACGATATACTACGTTTCACATGCCTCGTAAGTAGTATTTGTATCGAATATGTTACATTGCAAGGTAACGATCGTGATAAAGCATCGAAGAGGAGTATTTTGAATACACGAGAGGATTCGTTCAAACCAATTTATCGGACTATATTACAGAACAATAACTTACATTGCACACATTGTCTCTATTTCAACAAATAATATACAGAAACCACAGTTTCTTTTAAGAGCGTAAAGAAATACTTCATTTTACTAGTCATAATCGCTATAAAGATCAGCTAAATTGTCTTTAAATTATCCGTTGCTAAACAGTAAAATCGATTAACTGATATATAAATACATATATTACATATTAAAATATATATGAAGAGAGAGAGGTACGTAGATTACATATTTATCGAATTGTTAATATTACTTTCATGTGAGAAAGGAATGATCGTCACATTAATAAATATATATATGCTGTTCCATACGAAATACAGTTTTTGGGAAACATACACAGTGCCGTTCTAATGTGGCCGTTGTTTACAGCGCCACGGTTGCTTGTCTGCTGTCGCTGCTTTGGTTTTCTTTTTTCTAAGTCGGAAACACACTTTGATACGCTATCTATGATTATAGCTTGCTATGTTTAAACTATAGAGCTTTAGCTTTTTGGACAACAACAACAATACTCGTGCGGAATTCACTACTTTATGTAAGTAAAGTAGTTTTCTCAATAAAATTATATATATCATTACATATATATTTTTATATATGTATATATTTATAAATAACACCTGATTAGCTTGTCACAACACACTAGCCATGCAAAGGGATACCGTACCGTTTGCATATCTGTATGTCGGAGTAGTTCGGTATATCGTACAACAGCGATCAATGGATGCGTAGACTTTTTTTTTAACGATTTATCTTCCTTGTACGCGCGCGCGCGCGCTCACGCGTGTGCATAGATATATATAAATAATCAATAAATATCAGCTCTCTTGCATAATATACTTACACGGTATTCATATCTCTTTCATCATCATTATTTTTGTTTGTAATCCTAATAAAGCGCTTGTACTACACAATCGCGTTCTGGCAGTTGACGGACTTTCATAGAACCATCTGCTCCACACGAAAATAATCGTCCCGCAGAATCCACGTGTAACTGAGTGACTCCCTGCCGACAAATTATACATGCTTGAATATATACCATTCTATGAGCTTCCTTCAATATATCGGTAATAATAGCAAAATTACCATACCTGTCCTATATTCTTGAAGAAACTGGACCGTGGATGTTCAGCGGGAAATGAGTAGAGCAGGGAATGGACGGTCAAGGCCCATATCTGCGGATAAAATTATATCGAATTACATTTGTTTACAAACGTTGACTTTGGATCGCGACAGAGAGGAAATTACACTTATTTACCTTAATATCGCCATCACCTGCCCCGCTAGCGAAAAACTCCTCGTGAGGATCAAGCGCTAGACACTTTATAGCTGATTCGTGCGCTTGAAATCTATGCCTCTGTTGTCGTTGTCGCACATCAAATATAGTAATGTCGCCTTTCTTGCCGCCGCTGATCAACAACTGATGCTGCGGCGCCAGGATCAACGAACTGGCTCCTTGCTCATGACACATAAAGCCTGATCAAATCGAATCATAGCATGTTTATTGCGGCGAGAATACCGACGAATTTCCTATTGAATGTCGATGATAGAAACCATTCAACACGTCTAAAATGCACGACATTTTTTTTATACCTTGCACGAGAGATTTGTTCTGCGGAAGTAACGTATCCCACAATGCTACATTCCGTCCCTCCGAGCCATGACCTGCGGTAGCCACGAGACTGCACGCGCCGAGAAAGACGAAATCTGCGGTCACTTTGCTGTGGCATTGATAATTCTGAAACGAATCCCACGTGATGTTGCTTTGTAAGTGAATGAATGATGAAAGTGACTAAAATTTTTAGAATTGAGTAAAGTAAAAACCGTCCTTACAAAGAATGGTCGAGCCGTTCCCTCGCGGCATGCCACTTGGAACAAACTCAAATGGCCATCAGAATCCGCTACGCCGAACTTATTGCCATGCTGAGAGAAACGTACGCGGGTCACTTTGGCGAAGGTACCCGGCGCCCTCGGGGTGGCAATCGCTGTTTGATGGCCCCATTCCCACAACGATACAGAACCGTCCTGTGATCCGGTTAAGTCTGGTGTCGCCATACGGAAAAGAGAAATAACAAATGTATCGTTACAAGTCTTTGCAATCCCGGCACGCGATCGTGAAAGGAGTAAGTACCCTTACGACGAATTCATGTATGTACAGAATAGGAAATATATACACTCACACAATGGTAGAAGTGGATGAGAGGAAATCCTCCTGATTCCGTCGATTTTGTGCTTCAGGATCTATCGGAATAAAACGCAGACGGTCAGTTAAATTGCGTGCAAGAAGATTTGAGGTAAAAAGGAAATATGTACATTTATATGTAATAATACATATATGTATCCCAGCAAAATTAAACACAATTTCATGACACTTGGCAATGTTAAAAGGTATGTATAACACTCAGGGTGTCGTGTCGTAACGCAAATTAAGTTTTAATGGAGTTGCATAATAAACATGTAGCATGCGTCAAACGTTGCAGCAAGTTTCCGGTAATGAGGTAATTTGCGACTAATACTCGGCTGAGATTGCCTTTCACTCTGCTAGTTTCTCCGGAATTGGCTATTCTAAACGTTCATGTTCACGGTTAGCGCTTTGTGGACGTTGAATTGGCAGTGGACGGTGGACACAAATGTGGGTTCGTATCGTATAATGAAACATTGGCAAACTCCTCTACTACATATATCCAAGCCTCGTAATTTTCGTGTTGGAAGAAATGATGAGCACAACATTGCTTAAAGTTGGACACGTTATTCGCATCAAACTATACGTACAATCGATTCAAGAATTTAAATAATAATACATGCATTAGATACTCGAGTTCCAATCATGTTCATTTAATACGTTCAACATGATACTCATGATAGGAACATAGTGAACTTCGCGCCCATAAACTGAATATAATGCCTATGAAAACCTGGGAGCATCATGAAACATCATATTTGCCAATATATGTGAGGACACGCTAGTACTTTTATGAAACCTTCGTATAACACAAATATTATTATGTGTTATATCGTTAATATAAGCAACGAAAAGTATAAACGAAAAGTACAAACCAACGCACTGTGCTATGGAGCTCTTGGGCAAAATGATATGATGGCTAAATGTTTCTAAGTACACGCTTTACGGCTGTGAACTGTAAAAGATCTATATCTTGAAATTTTCAAAGATTCATCTGATTTGTAACATACGTGAAGATCGTTAAAAAAATATATACACGCACATATACATATACATATAAAACCTCTTCGCGCAGCGATTATTATTTTCACAACAGCTTCAACAGTCTTTCTATGATCATATCGCGAACTATAATTTTTTCTCTCTGGTTCTCTTTCTCCCTTGCTCTCTCTCTCTCTCTCTCTCTCTCTCTCTCTCTCTCTCTCTCTCTCTCTCTCTTCCTCTCTCTCTCTCTCTCTCTCTCTCTCTCTCTCTCTCTCTCTCTCTCACTCTCACTGTCACTCTCCTCTTTTCTTTATTTTCTTTGTACGAGTCTTTGGCATATCACAAATCAGACATCTGCTTGTTACCCAAAATGTTAAAACATGAAATTTGCACTAGGATAGACTAGGGTCTGTTGGATGTAAATCTCACCGGTTGTAACAAGTGTTTGCTCCTATCGGCAACAAATTGACAGAAACGCAGGTCGTGGGAGCCAGGAAAAGCAGGCATCCCCTTCATCTGAGCGAGCGAATGAGCCGCCAGTTCAGTGACGCAGACCGAGTTAGATGTTAGGCAAGCATTGAACAAGCAACATTGTCTCCGTCACCACTTGTGCTACCCTAACCCAATACACCACATTCACGGCTCGCAAGGCTTGTTTCGCAATGCAAAAAGTCATTGAAGTCTTTATACATTACAAAAAAGTAGGCATATAACACTAAGTTATCCTAATTGTTGAGAAGTTTGATCGGTTGGTCAGTGTTAAGCATAATTTCCTCGGGTCGAAAGAAAAGCAATATTAGGTGCATTATCACTTTTAACGAAACAAATGGATTTGTTTCCGGCATTTATTACGCAACACAAACAAGCCTTGAACTTAGCCGTACCCTGATATGTGAGACACAGTGCACACTTTACTCTCAATATATATCATGCAATGATTGATTTATTCATAATTATAATTCCTCTTTTCTTTGGTGCAAAATACTGCTCGCATCATTCGAATTGTCGAATTGTCAGTATGAGAGTACCACCCAATTAATATCTACGATATCATTCGTATTATGAATGGAATAAGAATATTACAAAAGATACGTTGTTTAGTGATATCATACGGACGAATATACAATGTAGTATGCATTGCAATGGGATTTAATATACACATGATGATTCTTGGAATATTTTGGGTAGACAGCACATTTCCTAACTAAATCAATATAAATACATTCTTGCTATTTAAGAAAACTTGTTAAAAACTCCTTGTAGTCTCCAATGTTGCTAGGGAGTTCTTGTTGTCAGCTACTTGCAAGCTATTTGTAGAGCTTGTGTATTAATTTCGGAAATATTGCAAATACCTTTTTGATTATGATAAGCTGTCTGTGCGCAGATTAATTAATTTCACTGAATGCAATCTCTCCTGTGTCATAATAATTAACTGCACATTTCTTACACTCACGCACGTACGCACACGTGTAAGAAAGAAAAAAAGAAAAAAAGAAAAAAAAAGGAAAAAAAAAGAAAGAATATATAATGAGATTTCCAATTATAAAAATAAAAAAAGAATATAATCTCTACCACAATCAATGAAAAATAAATATATACATTATTTCAACACAATATATAGAGAAAAAGTGAAATACATTTTATTCTATTTAGCCTGAGAATAAACTCCTTCAACTTTGATGATATTCAAAGGTGATGTCTCAAACGGCAAGTGTATATAGTGCAAATATGTAGATAAGAAATTGAGGATGAAACGGATTAAATTCTTCGCTAAACTAAACAAATCTGAATCATATTTACAAGGAAAACGACGTTTTACTTTAATGCGATTATTAATTTATTTCATAGTATTTCAAGTTATATGATGATATTCATGTTAAAACTTATTGTTGAAATATTTTATCAATTTTTAGAAAAATATTTATTCTTGAATTCAGTCTGTAATACATATGTTTATCTACCATCTTTTATATTCGTCTGTTAAAAAGACCAGAGAAATTTTGATAGATGAAGATATCAGGAATGCACAACTTTTATGTGTACACACACACACACACACACACACACACACGCGCGCGCGCGCGCACGCATACACACGCACACGCACATATATATTATAGCGATATAAATTATAATATAATTAGAAACTCACCACACTCGCGCCACGTCCGCTCTGACTGGCTATACCTGATTGAGTTTGTGGACTGTTTGGCTGAGGACTCTGTGCCAACAAAGGACGATCCGCTGCTGTCTGTAATATGTATGTAACAAATATAGCGTAAACGTCTCTTATATTAAAAGCGTCGAGATATCGTTAGACATTACCTGTATAACTAAGAAACTGGTTGGCTGTACAGGCTCTGGATCAGGTTGCTTATTCAAGTTAATAATATCGAATTCGCATTCGTCCTCCAACCACGATGGAAGCTCTAAGAGCAGGGAAATGTTCATCTCTTGTACCTCGCGAGGCGTAGCAAGGGCCATTAGACCTGGGTTTACCTAAAAGAAAAAAAAAGGAGAAACATGATCATCATAATTAATCATTGTTACGTATGAAGTGAAAAAATCAGAACATATCAGAAACCTGATTAAGACAGAAGGCACTGATGCTATCTTGTTCTTTATGAATAATCCTGACTGGTTCCGGCAAGCTCGTAGTACCGCTGTCACTACCCTTATCTTCCCCAGTTCCGCGGTGCACGCTGTCCACGACTGTCTGAGCACTTTCGAGTATCGATGACAATGATCTTCGTTTTCCAAACACCGCGCGAATAAAGATATCTTGAACCAATTCTTGCCTAACCAAATAACACCAAAGACGATTGGCAGGCGCTGCGGATGCCAGTCGTGTACTAAAATCACGGAAACAATTTCTCTCTGACTCATTATCTCCCAATTATTGACCTTAAGCTCAAAACAACATCGCATATACTCACTTGAATGGTGTGTTCCCTTTTTCTAACAAAGATCGGTATTTATGAATAGCTGGTTTCCCTGGTGTAGGAGAGGGGTCGGGTGCACAGCCAGGAATGTAATTGGCCGGTGGTGGACCTTTGATTTCCAATTCCTCTCGCAAAGAATCTTGCCATTGTGCGACAATGCCCAGTGTACCGTGAATTAGTGGACTACTTACAGGTAATTCTGGAATAACGAACACATTAGTTAGCTATCATCACGTTTCATTACATCTTTGGAGCATTGTTTTAAGAAATATTGTACTTCGTTATTTCATACCTTGCATTTCTATGCCGGCGACTGTCAGAAAGTCTTGCAATTGTTCTTGCAATATTTTGACTATTGCCAGTCTCATTATGTTCCAACTGTACGAATTAGAATTACTATGCTCCGTATTATCCTTTGGTTTGCTCTTTGGCTTCGAATTCGTGTCGAATACATCTTCCTCGTCCTCTGTAGAATCTAAATCCGACACAGCAGAGTCAGAAGAATCATAATCGATTTCATCTGCGTATTCGTCCTCTATGTGTGGCTGAAGAAAACAAAAGAACAAACGACATATGCAATTTCTCTTGTTGTAGCGCTCAAAGTTCATGTATAATACGAAGTAAAAATTTCTCAATATCTTACCTTCATGAGAAAATAGGAAATCATGCTCATTTGAGGTGACACGAATTGCTCCCTATACGTAGGTTTGTCCTCCTTCATGTTTGGTTGTTGACCCGTAAACTGACCCAATAGTTTCATATTCAGCTTGACGCGTTGCTTCGTCAACGACGTCATGGTGTTCCACATGCCGCTAGCGGTACTTTGGATTTCACTCGCCACACTGTCAGTCCGCTCGACACCGCTTGCGTTGCCACTCTACGAGCAAAGATCCGGCGTTCTCCAATGTTCGCAAAACGCACGATGAAAACTCATATAACAATCATACCTGGCTGCTGGTACTTGCTACGCGCAACAGCTTCTTAACTCCACCGCCGAAGAGACAAGACCATGTATTATTATCAAAGTGTTGCCCGACCAGTCTATATAAGATGTGACTGTCGCAACTCGACAGAGCGTAGATGAAGAGACTCATGTACGTTGCCACGAACGCTTCGCAGAGCAAAATATTCAGTTTCGGAGTGTCTTCATCCTTCTCCCGAGCTAGCAGGGCGCGTAAATTAGTCACGCCCGGCCACTTGGAAGGCGAAGTGGTTATACATACTCCGTCATCTGTCGAATATCGTCGATGATACCTGTTCGAGGCTACCAAATGACCGCCCGAGAACGTTTCCACTTCGGCGACTGCTGGGAAACTGAAAGACAATGACGTATGCATGAGTAGATTCATAGAGTATAACGCATATAGTTATATGTGGTGGTGTTCATCGAAGATAAATAAATGATAACGCAAAGTTTACCTCTCCGGTTGATGATGCTTCATAACGAATGTGTCCGAGTCACAGAGAGACTGGTAGATACAGGCGCTAAGTGCCACTGCCAGGTCTCTCATAATAAATACTTCGCAATAATGTGTATTTCTATTAGGCATCGGCGGATTGCGTAGCTCTACCAGTGTCTGCAGCATATCATGCGCGAGAGACTGCAATAGATTGTGATGTAAATGTTAGGTATAAATAAATCGAAACTAATGGAAAACAAATTAATACAGGTTTAAACGAACCTGCAGATGTCGAACTGGATCTGCTACGACGGTTTTGTTGCAGGCAACACTGGCGCTTAACAGAGGTAGCGTGGTGGGGAAGGGCAAGGGACTGAGCAATTGTTGTTGAGTCTTTTCTTGTTGCAATTCCTGTAGTAAGAGCACCAATTCCATCCTTACTGACGCTAGGCCGCCACCCGACGCACCGTGCAACGAACAGTATGACAACAATGTCCTCAGCAATGTCTCGTTAGCTAAAAATCCAAAGATGCTTGTTCTCACCTTCTTTAAATATCGTTTCACTTTTTAAGAACTAAATTGTTGAATTTCGGAAAGGTTCGTGAAATAAAATTCCTCGCAAAGTTACAAAATTAAGTGTAAACGACGTAACAACAAAATTCGTCCAATTCACCTTTCAACCATTTCTTCCTCTTTGCAGCTCTCTGTACTTTAGCTTCAAAGTCCATCTTTTCCGCCACTAATATTTGATGTAACGTTGGTTGCTCGCCGGGCTTGTACGGAGGTACATCGTCGACCATACCGCCATCGTCTAAAAGTTACGTTTTCTATTAATTAACACACCACGATTCTCATTTTTCAAAACTGTCACTGCTATATTGCGCAACAATGCCCAAGAAAAAAAAGAAAGAGCGAACTCACATTCCGACACGTTGTTTACATCTCCGTCTGCACTAGTACTATAACTGCAAAGCTGCCTCAGTGCATCCACTTCTCGTTCCAACCACACGTACAGTTGGTATCGCAGCTGACCTCCATCTACTTCGAAACCCGTCGCTAATGTAGACAATTCTTCCATTAGAATTTTCAGGCAAGCCACGAATTTCAGCTGCTGCGCCATAATATCCAATTGTCCAGCTGACTTTGCAACGTCATCTGAAATTATTTTCATAACAGCAACAATTGAACAGAAAACAATTTAGTCAACAATATAATGTAATTTCTTACTATTATCGTTATCTAATTTGGGCGCGGCATTATCTTCCTCTTTCCTGTCAAGCTTCATACTCATCGGAGGGCTATCGGCGTCGTCGTCGTCGACAGGATCATCATCCCAATTTAATTCTAATTTGTCTTCCTCTATACGTCTGCTATTCTGGGACCAATCGAATGACGATGTACCCCAATCTACAGAGGCAACTGAGTCTGGAAACAATATTTTGTTTTCAATTCGAGCGAGTTCTAGACACATTCTGCTCCAAATAATAGCTCTTACGCGTACCTTTGCTGGTCGTTATTGTACTCGACTCATTTCCCCAATTAATAATACCCGTATCTATTTGAACATCTTGTGCTCTGGTCTTATTCGGACTATTTAATAAGCCTACAGATAAAAGAAAGAAAGAGAGTTTGGGGACATCATTTTTAAGATAAAATTTGCCATACGATCGATCGTGTGTAAGCACACATGTACTGCTACTCACTGGGGGAATCTTCACCATTCGTATCCATAACTTTATTGGGTAATTTGGACAAAACTTCAAGTGCGAGGGCTGGACAGCCAGCCTTAAAATGTGCGTGTGCAGTCGTGAAATATAATTGCCTCTCCAACGGCGTAATAGTGTCTTCCAACATCAGCTGTTTGTCTGGTTGACTCTTCGTTTCCGTGCCGTAACTGAAACCTGAAATTACTACCGAGTGTCCTTTCTTCTTATCTTGCGCCGTGGAGGCGATATATTGCCTAATCAACAGCGGATGCGTGCGGAGATAAACGTAAAAATTGAAGACATTTGGATTCGCTGAAATAAAAGCCAAGGTGTCATTTCGAGAATCATTTTATGTATGAAAAAAGTGCACAATAAACTAATTTCTTTTACCGGTTGTTCCCTCCGGCTTGTCAGACTCGTCGTTGTACTGCGGATGCATATGACCGACGTTGGTGAGAAGCAAAGTATTGAGAGAACCAGAATAGTCCTTCAAGATCCACAAAGCCATACTTCGCAAAAAGGGATCGGGATGTATTCTGCTCATGTCCTGATTCTGTCCTTCTTTGTCACAGCCTAAGATCTCCTCGTACAGCAATCTTCTCATGTTGGGAGACGACGTGTCGTTTTCGTAGAGTCTAGCTATCACCATCGCCAGCTGAATGTCGTTCAGTTTATTCAAGCATACGTCGATAGCGTCCTTCAGCGCTCCGGCTAACAAGAAGAACGCCGCCGCGTGCTCAAATCGTTGCTTCCCAAGCAGAGCAAAGGCGTTCTTCAGAGCGGCCTTTCTCCATCGATCTTCGGCGAAGTTATTCGCGAAGAAGGTAGTCATTCGCTCGTCGCGTTGGTTTCTGAATAAACCCCACACTAGGTTCTTCTTCTTCATCGCCAAGTAGTAAACAGCTGCGTCTAAAGGATCCTGCTTGTGCTGAAATGCGGCTTTCGCTATCTTCTCCACGCACTTCTTCAGCACAGTATTGCTTCTGATCCACCAACCTACGCCGAGCTCTTTCAACACGGACCACTTTGGTTGACCTTTGGCGTACGAAGGAATTAATCCCAGCAGCTCCTCTTCGGACTCGGAATGGAACGCCCACACGAGATTATTTGATGCGATGCCCTGCTTCTGGAATTGCGCTCTCTGCACCAGCGGTAGGCAACGTATGAGATAATTATAGTGTTTCATCGCTAAGAGGAACCTGAGACCACAGTCGTCCAGTGAATCGGTCGACACAGCCTCGCCGTCCGGGATGCCAGTCAGATTTTCCTTGGCGATTGCGTTCTTCGCCGCGTCGATCGCGAATCTCTCCGCGAAATCGACGTTACAAGTCGAGACGGTGTCCGCCAATGCGAGAAGATGCATCTGATCGAGACTGGACAAACCCGGCAGATGAGTATGAGTCAAGAGGCGCGAGAGTAGCCTGCCTTGCCTAGGTCCGAAATGAGATATGCCTTGTCTCTCCGGTACCGACGACCGCCTGTCCTTCTGCCGCGAGCACTCGTAATCTTCGTCCAGCATATCGTCCAGCGAATCTCCCTCGTCCAGATTACTGTCGAACAGTTCGTTATAGTCATGCTTGTCCTCGTTTTGCTGATGCGGCAGACTGGTCTCCTTGTCGGCCATCAGCAGAGTCCATAACGGAAGCGGCGAAATGGAAGTGATTTCAGCGTAGTCCAGAGTCAACTCCTCCGGTATCTGCGTTGTCGAGCCTCTAGGTTCAAGCGGCGAGGTTGTGCCCGCATAACTCACCGACATTGTTCTCGATCGCGACCATCCGCTGCGCTGTTTCACTAGACTTTCGTCGTCGACGCGCAGGGAGCAGGAACTACCGATACATCTGACTAGATGAGCCAATATAGCCTTAACCCACCTGATCTTGCCTGAATTCAACAGTTCCATCAGCTGCTTAGGATGATACTGCGGCAAAACGGGACAGGCTATTCTCGACGCCTCGAACAATCCATAATCGGGCATATAATCGAAGCTCAGGTTCTCGTTCTGCATACCGCGCTTCTTCTTCGCGTCCAACATGGTCAGATTGATGCTGCTAACACGCGACAGGTGTGGCATGGAGGACACGTTCGCTAGTCGCCTCTGGGACGTCTCGTGTGCCAACGTTCGCAGATCCTCGTCGCGCAGGTTCCGACTCGCCTGAAACTCGTCTGATTCCTGATGCTGTAGATTGGAGTGGAAGCAGTCGTTCTTCGGATTCGGCTTCCACTGCGAGTATACGTGCATCTCAGAGTCCATGCCGACGACGAGAATGCCGTCTCGCACCCAGGAGATCTGCATAGGCAGCGGCGGCAGGCCGTCCGCCGTCGTCAGCTCGATCTTACGCAGCTTCATCCATCGGATTTCGTCGACGAACTGCGGCTGCGCCAGCGATGAAGTTTTTCTCAGTATCGGCCTGTTGTTGCTCTGCGATTCCTTCATGGCCTTCATGTTGGCCTGCGCCAGGTCGGAGCACACCGGAGTGAACAGCATGATCTTCGAGCCGACGCCCACGGTCAGGATGTGCGAGCCGTCCTCCTTGGACACCCAGTCGAGCTGCACCAGGTGCTTCTGAGTGAGCGGACAGGTATTGCCATTCTCGATGATTGACTTGCGCAAGGATTGCAGCGTGCTGAACGACGGCACCGCCAACAGACCGGCGTTCGCTTTCGCCGTGGAGTCTCCGTTCTCCCCGTTCCTCGAGGACCTGATGTCCTCGTGACTGAGAGTCTGCAGTACCTGAGTGAGCCTCTGTTTCTTCTGCAGGAACCTGCTGTCGTATAGATAACTAAGGTCCAAGTGTTGATCCACCGGTATTCGCGGCAGGTGGATATTCTTCAGATGAATCGTGTCCTCTAGGATCCACTCGCTGCCACCTGTGCTTTCGCATTCGTATATGGCGACGCAGAGGTTCACGTAACGCGAGTCCGGGTCGCTCTTCGTGGGACGCGTGAACGACTTGCCGTACTTGTATGCGCAGGCGATGCGTCCGCTATAAGCCGCGCTGATGTTCAACGGCTGACCAGTGATATCGATCGTCGACTCCTGATCCTTCCTCGTCATTTCCCACTCGCACCACTCGTAATCCAGTCTGTCGTAGTCCGGTCTTTTCGTCACTTTGCACTTCCAGAAGCGCACGGTGCTGTCGCTGCACGCCGTTACGATGATGTACGGCGCGAAGCAGGCGGGATATATCGAAGAGCTGCTCAGGTGGCCGGCGGCCGGGGCAGCGTGGATCACTTCCACTCCGTCGGGCAACGGCAATTCCTGAGTGCATACCTTCGTGGTCGTGATCAGAACGTGACTGTTCTGGTGGCGACGATGCAGAAACGTTGAGTCCAAGTCGGCCTGACTCTCGCGACGACTCCTCGTCTGACTAGGTCTGCGTGATCTTCTGCCTTCCGCGTGACTCGATCTACCCGGTGTACCCTCCTCGTCCTCGTCCTGCACCAAATGCGAGTCCGGGACGTACATCATCGAACCCGATAATCCGCTGGTTTCGGGTTGCGAGGCTATTAGCAATCTCCACATGTGCACGGTGGTGCCCTGCTGCGTACGTTCTAGCACAACTATGTAGAACGGCTCTTCGAAGATCGCCGATTGCTGCAGATCCACCATGGCGTCCAACGTGGACTCCATAAGTCCCAAGTCGTTGGACGACGTGTCGAAACCGGGCGGTTTCTCGTCGCTTCTCTCGCCCGTGATCAATTGTTCCTGAAATACGTGCAGGAACTGTGTGTTCTGCCAATCGTGAGTGGCGTCGGCAATAGCGTCCAATTGTATGACACATCCTGGCCTCGCTGTCGATTGCTGAGACACTATCTTTATCCTGTCGTGAATCGAGTGTCTGACACCGTCGTCTGACGACATGTCCGTCGATAGACTGGCCATTGAGTCCATCATCCTGCTTCTCCTCTCGCTGATCGACACTTCCGCCAGCAGTGTTCTGGCATCGATCACCGCTTGATACACTCTCAGACACTCTCCGTCGCTCGCTACGAAGCAGGCGCTGGGCGAGTTGGACAAGTTACCCAGCGTCGTGCTCGGCAACAACGTCGGAATCCAGGCTACGTTACTGAACGCCGATATCTCGGGTGAATTGATACGCGCCAATTCGGAAACCCCGCCGCTCTTCGACAACGGCCCCACAGCGTCTACTCGCCACAAAATCAGCTCGCTGCAGAAGCCGGTAGGCGACATGATATCTTTGCCCTTGCAAGCGTCCTGCTTGATACTAACGTTTTCGCTCGATTCCGCGGACTGAGCGCCGGAAAACTCGGGTATGTTGTGATGGGAGGTTGTTACGAGCAGAGGCAAAACGGGATGGCAAGTAATATCGTTCACGCGGAAGCGGTGCCCAGAAGCCCTACACGCGTGGCCTATACTCAATACCTGCGAAAATTTCGTTTTATCCGCAAACGTCAACTGCCACAAGTTCAATGTGCCGTTCGAATGCTTCGACACCATGGAAACGATCGGACTAGGGTGGGTCAATAAGTCCGTATCATGGCCATTTTTATTGCTCTCCAGCGCGCTAGATTCCGCTTTCATAGCCGCTTGGCTCTGATCGTTCGTACTTTCGATATTCTTTAGTAATTCCTGACCAGCTCTCGACGTCAGGGTGGACTGCTCCTCGTCTTGTTCCATGAGACTAGGTAAAGGTGTCGCTATCTCGCTCGGTTCGGTCGTCTTCGTTGAGGACTTAGCGACCTCACGAATATTCAGCAAAGGTCCACCGGTATTGTGAGAATACATCGATACGTTGTGGCTCATTGTTGACGCATCGCCGAGCGGGAATGCGTTCGGTATACGAGTGGAGAATGAGATCTGCGCTTGTCGGAAAGATCCAGGATGATACTCGTCCAACCATTCAATATGCCAGATCAGGAAGCTTCCGTCTATCGGATGTATCGAGAACAGCAAGTCTGGATTGTGATGCCAATCGCGTAGCAACGTTTCGATTTTCGTGTCCAATGAATCCGGCGCGTGATTCATCGTGGATGTCGCGTCTGTCGCTATGGAGTTAATGGAGGTTGTATTGCTGTAGCGGAAAATTACAATGCATATATTAACTTCACAAATCTTACCTTCACCTTGTGTCTTTCTTTCTGTTTGCAAAATAACTACATGCAAGGCTTTTTTCTGCAAAGTTTCATAACACAATCGGCATGACTGGCGCAGGAAAGTGGTCGTGAAAATATTTACCTGAGGCTCGGGTGAGAGTGTGCACTGTGTGCTAAACTGTGATGAGACGAGGTAGTATGCGCGGTATGATGTTCATCACTACTATGATCCTCTTGGCTCATTGAGCGACCACCGACCACTGCTTTCTGAACTGTTTGCAGCCGAACACCTTTTTCTAAGGAGTAAAAAACATTGTCATCGTTATCGTCGTGTTAAATTTCTTTTGCAATATATGCGACAGTATAAATGAAGCTCATACTTGGTGTACATTCGTCCTCGGAATCATGTTCCGTATGTTCAGCATCTTGATGTTGCAAACCCTCCTCTTTCTCTACTACTTTACGCGTCAATTCCTGCAATATGTTTTCGGCCTGCATGGTGAAGTGCATTTCCTTGTTATTTAGCCAGTGTAAGATAAAATTCGGTTCTCTTTCGGGGTCTCCGGTAATTAGGCTTGGTACTAGCGGTATATCTATAACATGAACGTATACTATCCACTGCCGATTACCAATATTTCAAAAATATTCAAAAGAATGTAACACACTCTAACGAAAATATAAAACAGAAACGAAATGTTTAAGCTAAACTATTTCATATGCATATATAATGTACAGATACTTTACCAGTTTCTGCGTTGATACTGGCTGCTAAATGGAAATGCATTCCCGGATAATGACCGGAAGTTTGATAATTATTATGAAAATCGTGCACAGAATATGTAGATGGAAGCGTTGGTAAAGTCGGCGCTGTATGACCGGCTTGATGTTGCTGCTTAGCGTGTCGTCGAATGTGAAAGCATGTCCTACGAACAAATTTATTGCGTGTTATTACGTCGTATTTAACGATACTCGGTGAATATCACAAAGATAAAAACATTCTATGCGCTGTGAAGAGACGTAGATAAATGTTATTAAGTGAGAGTTAATTTTTCATACTTCATGTGTTTGAGACGTTGCATAAACCGGTGTTTGTGCATATTGTGATGACGATGTTTGCCATGATGACCGTGCCTGTCAGAGCCTTCAAACTGGCTCATGTTAGCCAGACCTTCAATTTCAGGCGGTATTGTCTCGGCCCACACGCGACAGATATTGTCACGACATGAGGTAACCAACATATTGGACACGGAGCCCCTGATAGTTAACAAGAGAATTGCGAGTGATTGTAAATCGACGTAATTCTTCGCAATTTCTTACATTCGTTTAATATGTATAAGTCAATTATTGTATATTATTAATTCATACGCTACTTACTTTGGCATATATTTACTTGTCTTGCGCCAAGAAAGATGCGTCACTGCGCGGGGATGTGCCACATAAACAAAACTATAATTGTCACTGCCCACTGCCTGAGAAAAACTTGCATGATCCATGCTTCTTCCTGGAAACACTGAAAGCAAAGAACGGAAGCTTGACACGATTGTCTACAGATGTATAAAAAGCCATCATTTAAGGGAAACAGACATACATTGCTTGTTTTCAAACCAGATCTTAACCAATCTATCATTCACTCCTGTAGTAGCAAATAAGGTGCCGTCAGGACTGAAGCTCATAAGATGGACCGGCGTAGCCGTACGACACTTCCATACACAATTCCATCCACCCAGATCATTTGTGCTGGACATGTCTCCAGGCCCAGGACTCTCAGCTTCTCCTCCGATTGAAAATTTCACCGCACCAGCTGTTCAGAAAGGAGATTTTTTATTAGTGTATACAGCAATGATTACTTTTCTATACAACAAAATACATATTTATTTTTAAAATATATAAGAGAGAAACTTTGAAGTGCCTGGTAAGTTCTTATAATACAGCATGAGAAATAATTTTTCCAACTATATTTACCATTTATATAAATCTTATTATATTACTTATAATAAACAGAATTACGTAACTTCAAAGTAATGATGTGTGCTTATACTATGCAACAGCAAAATGTATAAATTAAAATGTTAAAAGTTGCAAATCTGAAGAGAAATGAAACAAGCACATTCATAAAATCATTGCCTTTTATCCTATCTCACCACTTGCATTGCATATATATAATGAAATAAAAATTCTTGCAGCAATAAGTTGTAAATAAAGCTATATTAAAGATGGCTGATGCATAATTTGATAAAAAATATAAATTAGGTCATATCTCTTATGTAACAGAATGCACACTTATTTTCTAGTTAAACAGAATATGCAAGCAATTATCTCTCTTTTATGATATACTGCAAACACACTATGCAGCAGTAAAGCTGTGGAATATTAAACATGCAAATAATGCCAATGCTACACGTTCATTCTCGACAGGAATGAACTCACGATCCTGAGAAGTATTGGCTGTAACATTATGATTGCTTCCAGTCGTACTGGCTTCCTCTGTTTGTATTGTTTTTGGTTTTGTAGCTGTGGGTAACAGCGCTGTATCAAGTAATAAAAAATATGATAATTCTAACGTTTTGAAATAAATGGGATGGGAGGTTAAGCACTTTCAAAAGATGAACATCTATCCCACTATTGCACATATATGTCACGCGAATGTAATTTATTTATTTTGAAATACCACTGTTGTTCAATCAGCTTTATATCATAGATTATTTATCATAATTGTAAAAAATTCATTTGAAGTAGACATAAATAATCTTAACAGATCGGGTAATCCTTAAGGAAATAAACTTACTGTGTTCTTCCTGAAATGGCATAATATTCTGATGCCATAATTGTAGCAACTCGCCACCTGTTAGCAATCTTGTTCCTTCTAAATTCCATGACAAAGACGTGATATTTGATTCTGTCTGCAAACTTCCTGTCTGAACCCATCTGTACTCCAATTGCTACAAAATATTATGTTAGTTCATGAAGAATCTTTACTACAGGAATTATAAGAAAATGCCAAGTACATTGTTAAACGTCTAAGGAATATACAGAAAAACATTGATACAAACATGTGAACAGGTGCTGTGTATAAGTGGTGTTGGCTCAAAGATGCAGACTTGATTTTCATATGCCGCAGCTATTTTTCCTGTATCTGTACTGCAGTCTAGACAACTAATTCTGATGTAATTGTGTACAGCTCCAGGAATTATCTGCACTCGTTCGAAATTGTTAGCCAAGATCACAATGTTACAGCCAGCTGCGTATGCCTAAATGGAACGAATAATTATCAATTAATTGTCAGATCTATAATTTCAAAGAAATCTATACATCATGTGTTTCTCTGAAAAATATCAAATCCTGAAATAGATTCTACTTCTTAGTACGACAAATCGTCAAGTGCATGTTGTCGTTGTTCAAAAAAGTTCAGTACTCGATAATATCTCGACAGTAACTACAATACATATAATTGAGCAGGATTGTTAGCTTAAATTGTATGTACGAAGCATTGCATGTACGAAGAGTATCTAGTGTTACATCGGCATATGACGGACGTCGTTGTTAGTAAAACCGCAAGTTAGTAAAAACGTCGCGAGTAAAACCGCAAGAGCAACCACGGCGAGCACGGAAAAGTTCACGTTCACGCCTAATCGAAATGTCATTCGATCAGCTGACTTCCATAACGCGAGCGTATCGACTTTTTCGACGTGCGATCGCGAAATTCCGTGCAGCGTCGGCCGCACGACCGCACCGGCTGACGCGGGCGAGACGTATCTCGCTGCGTTATATCGTGCCGTTGTACGCATCGCGCGGTGATTGTCACGCAGCGAGATTTACTCACCGTGAAGGAAATTCCCTCAACAGAGCCAACGGCGTAGCAACGATCGCCCGCATTGCAGGCGCCGCTCAGTATCTGATGGCAATTCATGATCGCGCAACGAAACGTTAGATCATCACCCCGATCGTACGCGTACCGAATCAACACTCTTAACTGCTCAACGTGAGAGCTCAGACAAGCTCTACGATCCTGAAGGATACGCCGAGATTAACGCGACACAGTGATCGAGCGACCGCGGCGCGGCCATCTTTAAATCGGTCTCCTCGAGAGAAACTGCCACATTTCTTATCACGTAGCAGCTAACCGACTGGCTAAAGGCACGGAGGTAAGTAGTAACTGGGAGGAATTGTAAAGAGTGAGCGCGGGTGTGAAGTTTAACGAGGCTAATGAGTATATAAGGAGGGAGAATAATGCGTATTGTTATCGAACATCGCCGAGGGTTATTGTCGATACATCGACAATTTCGATACAATATGGCGTGGCCAATCAACTTCTTCATCTCGGCCTTGGCTTACCCGCCTTGCTTCAAAACTCATCTTACACACCCTCTAGTTATTTTCTCACCTCTGTAACTAAGGGTGACTTGCGATAGTCAATTAACCTTGCGCATGTCGCTGGCGGTAGCTCGGCAATCAGTTGCAGAAAATACCTACCTAGAATGTTATTTATATCAGTTCTTGCGGAAATGTGCAAATTAAGAAACAGCCAGTGAAAAAGTAAGAACACGTTCCTATGTATTAACATTGTTAAATGTTTTTAACCCTTTCGTCCGCGAATATAAATTTGTTCCCCAAATCAAAGATAAGACAAGAAAGTCAAATTGAAAATTTTTGATGCAAGGAATGAAATTATTTATTATTTTTGTGATATTTGAATATTTCTCTTATGTTTCTGATATCAGAAATTGTTTGTGCATTTTTCTGAAAAAATTTAATGTGGAATAAATAGTTTATTTAAAATAACCATGGTTAAATCCTTGAAACAATTTAGTCTTCTAAAATTATGATTTACATCGAACTTGGCCGCTTGCACTAATGCACTCTAGAAATGACTTAAAGTCTGATTTGCTATAAGACATTTTTAAAAGCATTTTTGTCAATAAAAGACAATTCAGAATGTAAAAAGGGTTCAGTTTCTAATATCTAGTGAAATTCTAGTAGAATGAGACTGGCCATTTAGTGGAATACATTGAGCGAGAATTGGTAACAGTGCTCGACATCGCGCCATTGACAGCCAGACAAGCGGATGACGCGATTGTAGTTGCCTCATTGTTAACGTTTCCATTCGTTGCAACTGCATTCTCTACACTTCGTTCTTTTGCTGTGTTCTTATTTCGATGCATGAACACGCATCTACCTCGCTTGAAATAAGAGGAAAAAGGCGCTCAGAGTAACTAAATCTGACATTAAATCTGTCGAAAATAGAGTTAAATTTTCGAAAAAGAGGAAATTGTTCAAATTAAGTATGGCCAGTTATTTTTGAGTTCTGCAGATGTTTCTGAAGGAAACGACGAGTTTCTGAAATGACGTTCTTCTATGTTCGAGGTAAAGGAATATCCCGGTGGCTGGAAGAATCTTTAATTAAAGCGTAAGTCAAATATTCTACGACACCTTCTTTTCTATGCATATTTCATTAAAAATATATGTCACATATCTTATACCGAAGGCTCTTCATAATAGTACGTACATGTTTATTGAATATAACGATATAATATAATAATAAATAATATAATAAAAATTAGTACATTTTTTGTGCACATTTTATCCAGATATGTTAGTTGATTTTTCTAATAACATAAATATAAAAAGAAAAAATTCTTTTTTATTTACTCAGTTGATAATAATATTCAAGTAATGAAGATAATGCGGTAAAATATCATGTAACTATACAGCGATTATCAAGATTTTATTTTGGGAACGTTAAACGTTGGATTTGTATAGATATTATAAGCAAGCGCTCTGAAAGAGACCTGGTACGAACGAAGAAGGCGAACAACACGTGTGACGTGCATATTGTACGTGGCACGGAACGTCTGCCGCAAAAGAAGAAAAATGCATGTTGACTGTAATCAAGCGGCAAGCTTCAGCGGGGAAAAATTACTCAGCGTCGTGATCATATTGATCCTTTGTCATTAAACACGCCCGTGCTATATTTAACAACATCTTTCCGAACCATCTTTACCAAAGCCGAAGAGTGTTTCGCATGGTACATCGGAACGCGCAACTCTTTTCACTTTCTTTCTCCCTTTTGACATCCAGATTAAGCGCATCATCACGAAGAGGTCGAACAACCACTTCTGTAAATGTATTTACAGAAATTGACGTGAAACGCGCGACGCGATTTTTTATCTTACGACGAACTAACACTTGACTTGGTGCATGTCGCTAATTGCGACCAGTTGATATCAATTATGAAACAGCTGGCAACGTGTCTTTAATGACGTAACCGAGTGGAATGCGTGAAAAACTTGCCCGAAGCTCGCAGCAAGGTGTATTGTACAAATTTCTCGCGCGCGTTATGCTCTCTCGACATATGTATCATGTGGAAAATCGCAAAATCGTCGATCGCGCGAAGCTTCAGATTTATTATTAATGTTATGAGGTGTGCCGACAGGTGCATCATTATTTCGACAAAATCCGGGATCAACAAGTATCTTAGGCACATTCGTAAACTCCATGTGTTCGATTTCAAACTCTTATACACACGCACTCTTGCGCCTGATAATTTGAAACGAACGCAATTCGCGGAAATGAATTGCAAACGTGTTAAATGTCACGCTGAAAATTTTTTTTAATTACGACGGAACGTGACACTATTTCACGCGACACGAATAGCGAATATCACGCGAGATAGAAATTAACGGAATTCACTGAGTACATTTTCAGAGTTCTCCACGCGCAATATTTGCGATAAACAAGACAGGACGGTAAAGGCAGCCGCAGATAGGCACTCGTGCGCAATTTCCGCAGGGAGAGAGCAAGAGTATGACATGTACTCCACTCTCTGTCTTTGGCAGCTGGAGGACTCGCAAAATTCACGTCAACGTCAATATACAAAGACGGGTTCCTGTTAACACGACGTTTAACACGCCTCATCGTTTCGAGCCACACTCGTCAGCCGTGGCGGCCAGATTTTCCTCAAATTATATCTCGCTCCACCAGTCAATCGGCGGAGAGATAGCGCGGGTGGCCACACCGGATCCGCGAGGTAAGGGCGGCAAATACTCTCTCTCTCTCTCTCTCTCTCTCTCTCTCTCTCTCTCTCTCTCTCTCTCTCTCTCTCTCTCTCTCTCTCTCTCTCTCTCTCTCTCTCTCTCTCGTTTGCATGTATTCGTTGTAATCTGTAAATATGTACGTGCCTATGTAAACGCGTATGCACGCGCATGTGTACATATTCTCGTAGATAAGAGGTATAGGCAAAGATATAAAAACCTAATAGCTGCATGCCCTCGACGCATGCTCCGTTTCGGCTGGCAGGGGTGATATCCAGTCGGGTAAGAGATCAGCCTCGGCTGGTAGCGACTCGCGTCGATCATTACCTGGTGGAGCGCGGCCCGGACGGCAGTCTAAGCGGACGAGCTGAAAGAAAAAATGACGGTATCCCGGTCGTCCCGTTTCTCGTTGGCTCAATTGACGACGTAGTCGCCGAGAGAGAGAGAGAGAGAGAGAGAGAGAGAGAGAGAGAGAGAGAGAGAGAGAGAGAGAGAGAGAGAGAGAGAGAGAGAGCAAGAGAGCGAGAAAGAGAAAACGACAATCCTTCGTCGCTGCATGCCAGGTGAATACTCGCTCGAGGAAGCAGGTGCGAGGTCGCGATCTGGAGGACTCGTCGCTGCGACCGGTGCCCCAGGCCTCTCGTTGTAGCTCGGTGCGAAATCCGGGCCTTTATCAACTCGACTCCGCCGGCGGCCTTGGCCGATCCACCAACGACCACGACATCCTCGACGTCGGCATCCTCAACGAGCGGTGACACACGCGTATATATGTAACGCCGTGGTGTGTCAATGTGTCAGTGCGTGCGCGGTGAAACACACACCACCTGTGGCACATCCGTCGTATTTACATTGCGGTCTGTCATACGTGTTGAGGAGAGAAGCGACGGCAGATCCAGCTGGTATCGCGAATTCTCCCGGAATACCGATTGAACCGATCGGTCGGGATTTGAAACCGACATAATTTCGTCGCGTGCTCGTTTACGAGCCACCCGCGGTAAGGCGATATAAAAAATTCACTTGATGAACGGCTCCATTTGAATGTACGGTCACTCGAGAAAACGCACTGCATCGCAGATGTGAGTGCTTCAAAAATACACGATCGATTCGGCAATTTATCTTATGAAGCAATTGGCATGGTAAGCGTGACGATTTATCTGGTTCTATTAAGGAAAGAAAGAAAAGTCATCTGCTGCAACACGGACTTAACTTGCCTTTGTTGAGAAACAGATTTAACTCATACGTATTTCTCCTGCGCGTCTTCATCACCGAAAGTTCTCACCAGTCGAAATTCCGCTGCTTTCAACCCCCGTCGAACACTGACCGGTAATATGCGCTCGGAGATTCGAAGGGTCGATCGCAGGGAGATCTCGAGTGAATTAATATCGAGTCGGTGGTCACAGAGGGAGAGGGAGAGAGATGGACAGATATCTAAAATTATCGAGTGCCTTCGTCAGCTCTAGGTCATCGAGCCCTTATTTATTGAAAATCTTTCTATTCAGGCTATCAGGCAGAGCGTTAATTAAATATTCGCGACGTCAAATTCGGGAACGCGAACGACTCAGGCGATCGACTCTCCCCTGTGTTTGATTGAAAATAATTTTATTTGCAAAGGACTAGGGCACTAGAGAGCTGCCATCGTTAATGATATTTGGATCGGATGCCCGTTTCATTCCGCTCTACCGACATGGACGAACACGAGAAGAATTTGATGACGGGGACGTTGGAGCAGAGGAAGGAGGCCTTTAAGGAGGACGAGGAGCTCATGAGGGAGACTACGAAATTCGTCACCGATGTGATAGAGACCGCCGCTACGGAAGCCTCCAAGAGGAAAGTTCAATCGGAGGTAATGAACTCTCGCGAACTTCGTTCAGAGAGAATGAGTTTCGGAGCGACATGAGAGTCGAAGACAGAACGCGCGTTGTTGTTTAACTATGGACTAACTCTGTCTGTCGTTTACGCTTAACGTAAGATTTCAACTGCATCGCCAGAATCAAATCGAATGTACGACGCTTCCCTTTTGTGTTTCAGGGAGCTGATGCGGGTGAAGGTAAGTAACAAATGAAAAAAAAAGAAAAAGAAACAGAAAGAAAAGAAAAGAAAAGGCACGTACGATCTCATCTTTCAATTCTCACGAAACTCAAATATTCTAACTTACGAGACTGAAATATTCTCGTTTGACTTTCGCGTCGGGGTTATACCGGGGAAGGGAAAGAAGGCGGATATAAATAAAGCAGAAAATATTGTACTTGGTGCAAAATCGTGAGAAAAGGAAGGAGAATAAGCAGGCAAAGAGTAGACAAGATCACGATCGTGATAAATAGTTTGATAGTTCCACGTAGATGGCTAGATCTCGTTAGACGGAGACGGATAGAGGTGGAGTGACAAAATTGATAGACGACGATCGACGATAGACGTAGATAGATAGATAGATGATTAGATATATACGTCGATCGCATTAGACGAACACGCGTTAAAGTCAACGAGTAGAGACCCGGCGCGGGTGTTGCTAATTAATCGCGATCATCAGCCGGTCTGCTGGATGTCTCTCACACACTTACGCTTATGCTCGAGTAACGTAGAGCCACTGTGCAAGGTAGAGCGAGGCATTATTATAATTATATTTTGAGATTGATATTTATAACGTGGTGGCTATATACGCGTGTGCGCGCGCGCGTGTGTGTATGTGCAGGCAGTAGATTGAAGGGTGGCGATACCATCGCTGGCTGGAACAACCGAGCGCGCGGATTCTGCAATCGTATTCTGAACGCCCTCTGCCCTTGCTTCAGCAACCATGGTAAATCGTAGAGTGAATCACGTGTAGTGACCGCTAAGCTACTGCCAGTCCTTAGCGAGAGTAGTTTTTGCATTGCGCTCTCTCATCGTCATGTCGCTTTCATCATCGACCAGATTACAATTGGACATCCCCCACACCACCTGCAGGCAGACCGAGAACGAGTCGACCTCACCATCGATCAATTTGTCTGATTGATCCTGAGATTTAGTTATCTCGTTAAACGGTGTTCGTATCGAACGTGCCTCGAACGTCGATAGTTTTGCCGATCACCGGATCGGCGAGATCGTCCTTCGCAACGGCGTTACTCGGACGTTACTTTTCGCTTGAAAAAAGAAAAGAACGAGCAACTTTCGGATTGTCCGAGATACCGATCGTTTCTCGCTGAATCATTCGATCATCCGACCCCTCGATGTAAATATTGCAGCAATCGAATCATCATTTCTCTCTTTCTCTCTTTCTCTCAGGCATTCACCAAAGATTATATTCTATGACGCATAGTGTGACACGCATTTTATCTTTCTGCAAGATTGTCTGTTGCAAGATTGTTAATCACTGGCCAAATCCATCCAGATATAGCTGTTCTACATTTAGACATACTCATCCGAACTGTTCACAAACCAGATCAGTCCAAATCAAATCAGATCAGTAGCAATCCGGCATGTCTCATCATCGAGCAATCAAAGCGCAACTGGAAACGGCAGCTTGCATCGGAACACACAGCATGCCTGAGAATAATTTAGAGAGCGAAAGTCAATTACCGGCCGAATGATACAAGTGACAAAATCTTCGAGTATCCCCGACTCGGGATGTCATCTTGTGGCAATTGGCCGATTTTTGGCGGATCAAACGAGAGCGATAGCGAGCTTCAAAGCGACGGAGCAAAGAGCAAACTGGGAGGAGACAGTCGTAGCTTGTGCATCGGCAGATGCACCCTTATTTGCGACTGTGCATAGTGGTGGCTGCGAAGTAACGGAATGGCGATTCTGGTGACTTTTGACTTTTGTTTGTCACGCAACGTTTTCGTGCAAGCGAGCTGGGCGTTTTCAGAGTGCGTGCTAACTTTGCATCCCGAGTCGCGAAACGGCGAGTATAGTAACGGCCTGCGCTGGTACTTGCATGCTACAAAACAATATAGAGGATGTGCAAACCAATGGGACGATGTACACAAATAGATATGTATTCTTTTCCTAGAACTGTTCGCCTGGACTCCGTACCGGTATCGCTTCACAAGACCTTAACCGTTCGATGACTTCCGGACTTTCCGTTCCGTCGTGCGAGCTTGCGATTGACGCAAAACCAAACGTAGAATTAAGTTTCTCATTGTCAATTCGATCTCGCGTCTCTCACAGGCCGTCACGGAGTCGTCACTGACGTCTTCTGCTTGAGAAAATGTCGACGCGATTTTCTAATTTCGATGTAGGCTGACAGCCGGTACGATGTCGTGAAAATAAGCCGAATATGGCGAAGGACAACTGCATCCGCGTTCGATGGAAAGCACAAGTAATTAATTGTAATTAATTGGATGTTGCTCTCGTGCGCGTCTTATTTCGCAGCACGATGCGATGCGATGCGCGCGTCGCGCGCAGTTCGAACACCGCAACAATGGATTTCTTTGGCTTTACTCCGATAAAGTACAAACGACCGTAAATGTTACATGTCAACTGTTAGATGAGGGAGCGGGGATACGCCTTCCAATTCTATGAGTTTCCCGAATGAACACTCCTAGACAGCATTGCCGCGACGTGACTTACAGTTCCTCGCGTGTATTCGCAATTTTCAAATTTGCCGTCGATCGAGCAAATATACGAGGGGACATTTTCGTACGCAATCAAGAGAGACGCACGGTATATTTTGGCCATTTCATCGTTTTCTCTGTACTGGTTGGCAGAGTGGACGATGTATGTATAAGTTAGTTTTATATCGTGTAAAGATTGAGGGATTGTGTTCCAAGGGATTAGAAAGCATACAACAAACAAAGTATATAGCTAAGGAAAATGTACAATGTACAATGTACAATGACGTTATGTACACGATCGAGGCTTGTAGGACGAGTAATCTAGACACTTTTTGATGTGTTTGATGGAAACTGTCAAGAAAAAAAGTAAAAGATTCACCGTATCGCATCCATGTCCCGGTTACATATTATAATTTAAGAATTTATAATTTGTTAAACGTGTTCAAGATTATATATATATATATATATATGATATATATGATATAATTTTTAAATAATTTTAAAATACATATATATCTCAAAGTTTTACCCAATAAATGTCAGAGGCATTACTAAGCGCAGCAATAAGATGCATGTGATCGTAATTAGAAATGTCATACTGGTATACATCGTTACGTTATATATCAAGATGATTTCGGAAATTCAGCTTCCCCTTATGCATAAACATTATTTTTACCAAGGGGGATAAATGACTGACCATAAATTTATATCAAACGCTGTATTCTTTATGTGTGTACACGTATACGCTCGTAGAATGTCGAATGAGAAAATTAATCGAAGGATTAGGACACATACTGTGTCCTATAATTTCGTCAATATTATTCTTTGGGCTTGGGAGTTATTGAAGGAGGTCCCGTTATAGATAAGCGATACCAACGCTGCTGATATCACTTGTTAATCACAAAAGAATCCAATCAATATCGTTAGCGCATGGAACTGTCAACGACGACATACACGTCGTCGTCGCCAGAAATGTGAGAACAAGCAGTATTATTACATTTATTTCAATAGAAGTCATCCTGCGTGTGTGCGTGGATATCTCTGTAAAGTCTCGTTAAAAATTGTCAGGCAGATTGTCCGAATACAGACGATGTACACAACAATAGGGACGAATAACCGACTACGTTTCAAGGCGTTGTGTGCGTTACCCGTACTCACTTTGAATGTACCTGTATCGACCGATCAATCAATACTGTGTGTGTGTGTGCCGTAAGTCGTTAGATTTAATTGAACGTAACTGTCGTTCGGAAAAGACGCGGCAGTAGCTTTGTTCGGCGATGTTGTATTTTCGTCAGTGCAGAATTGTTTGAATGAATCTCGACGGGAATTATTCGACGAAACGTCGAGATTATTCGCGCGTACCATTTTTTTAGAGTATTCTACAAATCTCTGTGGGCGATGTCAAGAAAAAAAAAAAAATTATGCAAGGTGTAATTAACTCTCTCGTGTAACATGCTACTGTTGCTGCTACTGTTACTACTACTGTTACTACTACTACTACCACCGTGTAACTAGTGTAACTACCACCGATGACTATACTTGGCGTTGAAGCCGGCAGGACGCGGAGCTACCGGGAAGAAAATCAATAAATCCAACGGTACCCGTTTCGATCGTGAATCGCATTGCGGAACATGTACCGTTTACATATTTCCTCGCTGCAAGATTAACGTCGTTGATATGCCATCACGCAACGCCCTCTCTTTCTCTCTCTCTCTCTCTCTCTCTCTCTCTCTCTCTCTCTCTCTCTCTCTCGTTTTGTTCACTTTAAATTATTTTTCTGTATATGTATAATTAAACTCCAGTCATAATGCACAAAAAACACACCAGGAGGTTGCGGGGTCCAAACATGTTTTGTTTTTATACACATACACGTCACACATCCACACATATACATACATACATACATACGTGACTTACACACGCACTCTACGCAACACCGTACACGCATATAAAATATAAAAAATTTAGCAACAGCAAATAATCATTGATAATTTGCTGATTGCATTTCTCACTGTATCATTACTTCGGAGAATTAAGCATAAATGTGGGGGAGGTACTCAACGTTGCCTATTTAGATGTATAGTGGGATCAACATAATGTGTATACATGTATATCAGAAACGAGTGACAATCAAAACGTATGTGAAGCGTAAAAGTTGTCATGATTATATGTGCGTTAAAAATAAAGATTCTAACAAAATTTAATATCGCGACGAAACAACTTTGTATCTTGCGTTATTGAAACACTTAAGAATATAAAAGAAATATATATTACATCGCATTGTTGCATCTTCGTAAAAAAAATTTAAAAAAATATATATATATATTTAATATCGCGTAACACGTCGCAACAGAAAAGAAAAAGAGATATCTACAGATTAATACAGCAGCCGTTGATGAAAATATCGAATTACTGGGCATGCATGTGTTGAAAAAAAAGAAATTACTCTGTCTCTTATGAAAGTATTATTCTGAAAGCAATGTCATATATATAAATATACAATAAATATTTATGTTGAAGAGAACGCTAGCCTTCTTCTATGGTGATACGCCATTCGTACGCATCCTTTAATCCTTCTTCGTTCGAACGACTGTCAATTATCGGTATAAATATTACATTTTTATTTCCCTATGCAAACGTCCGCTTCTAATTATTCTCCGCGTTATCGTCCCGTTCTGTTGCAGTGCGCTTATCTCTATGATTGACATAACATATTATCTCCAATGTTAGGCTCATTGCTATGGTAACGTAAGCCGTGGGACCTTCAATGAAGCTACGCGCGTCATCGAGTGCACTGATATGCTGAGTAATTTGATGGAAAGTACGAACCGAATCTTATCGGAAGACAAACGTAATAATTATCAACTCTTTTTTTATGAAGCAAGCATCATTGTCATGTGTGATCTTCTGTCTTGCTGTGACGAAACCTGATAAAGATAAGTTAGCAGTTAGCGGTTTCGTAAGGTTAAATGTTAAAATTTATCATTTTTATTCAACATACATATGCATGTGTGTGTGTGTGTGTGTGTATGTGTGCGTGTAATATGTTCAATATTGCGTTATATTATAGAACAAAAATGCTAGTAAGGTGAAAACTTCATTGCATGATGGAAATGTCGCATTACGCACGCAAGAAGAACAGCATGGGAGAAAACAAGGAAAGGGGCGAATATAATGAAGAAGTTGACAGTATTAGTAAATCCGAATCACATGTGAGACGAATAAAGCGAAGCGATATCTATGAACAACCTCCTGGAAAATCTCGCAGAAAACGGTATTGCAACTGGATAAAATCCAACTCCGATACATACTGTCCAAACATCAAGTTTTTAAAGGATAACGGTGAGCATCGGAAAACTTTAAGAAGTTGCGTCGAGCATAAATCGGGAGTTTCCGATTTTCCACGAGAGAGCGAAGCTTCATCGAGGTAAGCGAACAGTGATTTAAAAGACATTGTTTCTTACTGTTCGTGCTATGATGTTCGATTGCATTGATATTTGCCTTGATGTCATTTATATTGTTTACATAAATTACATTTCTAAAAATAAACGCCAAACTAAAAGGAGCATCACGGACCGGAAGAAAAGAGATGGGATCGCATCACTAGGAGACGATTATTATACATCGCTGCGTCAGCAGAGAGCAAATTTTCGAATACATCTGATTAGGAGGATCAAAGGATTGAGAAGGATTGAAAGCGACGCAGATCCACGCAAGGATGAGACGAAGAAACCTAGCGACGATGCGGAGGGTCCGACGGTCTCAGACGATATCATCGATGCGTGGCTCACGGAGGAGGATAAGAATCTCTTGAGATACTACCACTATATTCTTCATGACGTCAGTGATGCTCACGCGGGCACCTTAGATTCTGATACGTTAAAGAAGATACGGGCTACGGTGCCCGCTGAATGGCAGAAGCGGCACGACAAGTGCCTCGCTCAATTGATCCAGGAAATAAAACGCGACTATGTTATGAGCATGAAAAAGTCCATCGTCGATTTCACGCTTCAAGAACCCTTCGGGGAGGTGGACGCACCCTGCGCGCTGGTTAGTATCGTGTGCATAATAATATTTAATATTAATGCCAACTTTAATATTTATCATCACCCCTTTATTAAACACCCGGAATGGAAGGCTGTCTCGCGTCTCACAACGAGATTTTCGATAATCCTGCAACCGCTTCAAATGCACGATTCTTTTTCGCAATGTCGTGCGTGTTGCAGCCGACGCACTCTCGAGTAATCGCCGAGCCGTTCTCGCCGGAGTACAGCGACAAATATCGCAGGATAAAGTCGACGCTGGAGAGAAGATCGATTATTTTGTATCATCCGTGTATACGCAAGATTTTAGATTACTGGTATCGCGAATACGGGTTAGTGAATGAATATGCGCGATATGCTTGTTTGTGGACATCGATATTCCGGCAATACCGGAATACACAACCGCAGACTGAAGTAAGCAATCCCTTGGTCTCCACAGAGACATCAAGCAAGTGGACAAACTGGAGTTGGCGTCGTTCGGAAAATCGTACGATCTTCCGAGCTTCGACTATAAATTTTCGAGGATGCTGAGGAGCACGAACGACAAAGTTCTCCAGCAGTGGCTGTCGAGGATTTGCGATATTTTAGTAGCAGTAAGAGTCGCCTTGCATTCCCGATAAGAATTGCGCCGCGTGCCGAGCCGAAGTTCTCATATGTTTCACTCTCACGCTAGGCCTCGAAGAAGAAAAATCTGCCAGCAACGACCGATTTCCGATACAAGAGATTCTTCAACTGCCTCGCCTACGTTATGGAGAATCAATTGCGGGATTTGTGCCTGCGTTCGATAGAGGACTACATCGATTATCTCGTGGACGTGGGTGTAAGTTGATCCTTCGCACTATGTGAGACTCGATTACGCGTGTCGACGACGCTGTCTCTGCGATACCTCTCGGTTGTTAAACGTCTAACAACTGTCCTCTCAATCAGCGTACCAACTGCGGCTTCAACATCAATGTCGTGGTGAAGAATATATCCGTCACATTTGAACCAACGTTCCAAGCGTTCGTGGGTACGCTGTCGATGCTGCTGAATTCTCTTTACGATTCTACGACTACGTTACCACGCGCAGAGGTAAAGCTGGAGTTGGTTCCTGGGGTTCCGTCCGACGTTCATTCGGCCGAATTGCTGAAAGTATGTAATCCGTATAATTATCAAGTCGCGTCCAATGTTACCTGACGATCGCACGGCAGAACGCGGTGCGGTATAATTAAGCTTCCACTTGTCCCCGACTGTTCAGCCGACGATTTCTTCGGAGCTTCTCGACCAGCACACGGACACTATAGCAAATTTAATCGAGCGCTACAGAACCGATGCGGAGTTGCAACTGCGCGAGTTCGATAAGTATCTGGGCTTGATAAAAAACGAGGATGCTAATTACGTCATGAACTTTTTGAAAGCCCAGCCGCCTAATCCGTTTGAGAAACACTGCGAACTCATCGATTATTACGACCAATTGAGCAAGAATGTCCCGCTGGAATTTCACCGAACGTTTTTCACCGACCTCTTCGTGGTTCGTCGGCAGCATATTATAGAACACATTGCCGCTACGGCTGACCATCTCAAAGGCGAATTAATTTCGAAAATGATTGCGGATTACCAGCAGATGGTCCGAACGTAAGTCTTCCCCTCGCCCAAATAGTACATACATTTTGATCACACATATCCTCGTTATTATTATATGCGTTCTCTAATACGTCTGAGCAAATTTAACAACGACTTCATGTAAACGTCAGCATAGGAGATGAGTATCAGAATATCGCGGACCAGGCTTTAAGTACACCGCCCAATGTATCAGAGCTCGTGACACTGCAAGAATTTATACGTAAATCTAAGACCAAGACAATTATCGAATTGGAGGGTAAACTGAGAGAGGTGATGAAGTATATACTATTTTTATCGGATTATATACACTTGACGCCGGTCGAGATAAAAAACAATAACTACGCTTTTCATTGGTGAGTGGACTTTAGAGTGATAATGTCTGATTTACGGTAAAACCAATGTGAAATGCAAGTGAATTGTATTAGCCAAAACACAATTTTATACATGTAAGCGAATTATTCAAATGAATATTCACTTGTTTTTTTTCTTAATGCTTAAATTAGTGTTTATCTTGAGACTCTGATGTTTTAGGCCCTTTCAATTACCTGAAATCTTTGAAGAGCATCGGAAGATGGTCGCAAGTAAAACAGAAGAATACCAGACATTACTCAGGGTCAAAATCGAGAAATTTGAGCAGGATCTCGGGATTTACGCGAAGCATTGCGACGAGTTGCAATATTGGGGCAACATTGAGGAGATACGACGATATAAAAAGAAAGCCACAAGTCTCGATAACAAGCTAATTGCCGCGATGGACACGATCGACGAATTTAATGAAGAGGAGAAATTGTTCGGCTGGGAGCTATCACAGTATCCTTTGAGGAAGAAGGTAAAAGGACGAAGGACGGGTAATCCTATTTTTTCAATTCTTGGAACTTTTCATTTCGTACTTATGATTACAGGTGGCCGATAAATTGCTACCCTACAAAAAACTTTACGACACCGCCTGCGAGTTCATGAGCAACCACGAGATGTGGACTGAAGCTGTCGTGGGCGCATACGACCCTGAAGTGATCGACACCGAGACCAGTAACGCGTATCGCATCGTGTACAAGCTGGAGAAAACTTTCCAGGAGCCCATAGTGAGGAAACTGGCGGAAGTCGTGAGGACGAATATCGAGGAGTTCAAGGAACACATGCCAGTGATACTGACTCTTGGCAACCCTCATCTGAAGAGTCGCCATTGGGAACAAATCTCAGAGATTGTCGGGTTTCCCATAGTAGTCGATCAATACATGACGTTGGCTAAGGTAAAGCAAAGCTAGTCGCAATCCGTCATCGGATCTGTGATCCGTAATAATCACATTTCTCAGTCAGAACCACAACGTTGATACGACGTCGATGAGGGTTGAATTAATATGTTGATTCAACGACTTATCGACTTAACGACGATTTATCGACTATTTCAACGTAAAATCGACGTCGAATCTACGTTACGGTTCTGACTGGATTTACTTACACCTGCAGATTCTCGACTACGGTCTAGACGATTACGTGGCAAAATTCGAAACTATATCCGAGGCGGCTAGCAAAGAGGGCCACTTGGAAACGTCGTTGTACAAGATGTACTCCGACTGGACGGACATAGAGTTCACCGTCAATTCGTATCGCGACACCGGCACGTATGTCATCGCTAGTGTGGATGAGATACAGCTGTTGCTCGACGATCATCTGATGAAAACGCAGACCATGAAGAATTCCCTCTACATCAAGCCGTTCGAGAAGGAGACTCTGTGAGTTTAGCAAATTTCGGTGATCTCTTTTTTCTGTACGATACGTATATGAGGAAACATCGATCGACGCCTTCGACAGCTCTTTAGATGCCGTTTAGATGTTTGTGAGGTCAATTATGTTCTATCAGGGAATGGGAAGCTAAGCTGCTCTTGCTGCAAGATATCATGGATTACTGGCTGAAAGTTCAGGGAACGTGGATGTATCTCGAGCCGATTTTCTCATCACCCGACATCCAGCAACAGATGCCGGAGGAGAGTCGACGATTCAGCGCCGTAGACAAGGCTCGTTATCATTACGAATGCAAGCTAAATTGTACCGCTGATTGTAGCGAGCAAAATCTAAAATGTGCACGTGAAACAGATCTGGCGAGAGATTATGGCGGTCGTCGCGGTTAACCCGGCGGTCATGTTTGTCGTCGATATTGAAAAGATGCTGGAACGTCTGAAGAAATGCACCAACTTGTTGGAGCTGGTGCAGAAGGGGCTCGCCACATACTTGGAGAAGAAGAGGCTCTACTTTCCGCGTTTCTTTTTCCTCTCCAACGACGAGCTCTTGGAAATATTGTCCGAGACAAAGGACCCGACGCGGTACCTTGGATTTATACACACACATACACGCACGCGTGTGCACATATCATAAGCTGATCGCGCTATCAGATATTTCGCAGCGCGAAATGTTAATTTATTAAAATGTAAAATTTAAAATTTATTAAAATTTAAATCTAAATTTGAAATTTATTAAAATTAAAATGTTTGAATATTAAATATTTTAAATATTAATTCTCTTTGATTTTTCTAGGGTGCAGCCGCATCTGAAAAAGTGCTTCGAGGGTATCGCGAAATTAATCTTCACGGACGAGATGGAGGCTATAGCTATGATATCGTCCGAAGGGGAGGAGATTATTCTTGAGGACGTGATCGACACGACTGCAGCGCGAGGGCAAGTGGAAAAGTGGCTCCTCGAGCTTGAGAACGACATGAAGAGAAGCGTGAAGGCTCAGGTCAGGACATACAGTCTCTCTTCCTGCAATGCAACTGGGACAGAGGGATAAACCTTGACATCGATATCGGCCATTATTCAGGTAATACACGCCAAGGACGCTTTCCCGACTAAAGCCAGGAGTCAATGGGCTTTGGATTGGCCGGGTCAGGCGATCCTCTGCATCAGCAAAATGTACTGGACGGCACACATTACCGACAAGTTCTCGGAAGGTATTGAAAGTTTAAAGGCCTACGTAGAAACGTGCACGCACGAGCTCAACGAGATCGTCAAGCTTGTTCGCAGCAAATTGTCGAAGCAGAACCGAACGACTCTAGGTAGGCATTCCATCGAGCGAACAACCGAAGATTCATTCAATCACATCTATCCGATCATTGATCAATTGTAGCGATCTAGAAATCATTTCAATCTTTTTCTTTCTATTAATAGAAGCTTTAGTAACGCTGGACGTTCACAGCCGCGACGTGTTGACGGAAATATCCAAACAAGACGTGACTCGAGCGTCGGACTTCAAGTGGCTTTGTCAACTGAGATATTACTGGATGGTGAGTGAATCGTTCAAAAGATGGTAGCGTATTTTACTCTCGTCACGAGAGACCGATCTCTCCGCAGGCATCGAGGAACTTCCTTTTCCTTTATTGCAGGACAACGATCTACTAACGATGATGATAAACTCTACGCTAGGCTACGCGTACGAGTACTTGGGTAACACGTCGCGACTAGTGATTACGCCGCTCACCGATCGCTGCTATCGCACTCTGTTCGGTGCCCTTAGTTTACACCTGGGTGGTGCGCCGGAAGGACCCGCCGGGACAGGTAAGACGGAAACTACCAAGGATCTGGCAAAAGCGGTCGCCAAGCAGTGCGTCGTGTTCAACTGCTCGGAAGGACTGGATTACATAGCTTTGGGCAAGTTTTTCAAGGTAACGGTTTATTATCGAAAAGAATTATATTATTTCAATTATTTACGCGTGGATAACGCGTGGATAACGCGTGGATATATTTCAGGGTTTAGCGAGCACAGGTGCATGGTCTTGCTTCGACGAATTCAATCGCATCGACCTGGAGGTCTTGTCGGTCGTAGCGCAGCAAATCTTGACCATTCAGCGGGCCATAAACGCGGAGCAGAAAGTCCTGATATTCGAGGACACAGAACTGAGTCTGGATCGCACATGTGCGGTATTTATCACGATGAATCCGGGATACGCTGGCAGATCGGAACTGCCAGATAATCTGAAAGCTCTGTTTCGTCCAGTAGCTATGATGGTGAGAGTCCTCAAGAATACGCTGCGTACTTCTTCTCTGTACACGCGCATATCTTTCCACATTACTGTCTCGTTTGCATCATTCCGCAGGTGCCGGATTATGCCTTAATAGCGGAGAACACACTGTACTCGTATGGATTTTACAACGCGAGACCGTTATCGGTGAAGATAGTCATGGCTTACAAGTTGTGCTCGGAGCAACTGTCCAGCCAGAATCATTACGACTACGGCATGCGAGCGGTAAAATCCGTCCTGATAGCGGCGGGAAATCTGAAGCTGAGATACCCTGAAGAGAACGAGGATATCTTGATCTTGCGCAGCATCACCGACGTGAATCTGCCCAAATTCCTCAGCGAAGATCTGCTTTTGTTTCGCGTAAGTGTTCGCTCATTCGCACGAGTGATGGAAAGTTTCGCTTGAAAGAACGTTTTGCGTTTCGTTTCAGGGCATCATCTCGGATCTTTTTCCGAACGTAGTGCTGCCAGAGCCTGACTACAAGCATTTGAACGCGAGTGCGTATCAAGCCTGCGCCGCTGCGAACATTCAGTGCGTTCCCGTGTTCCTCGAGAAGATTCAGCAAATTTACGAGATGATGTTGGTCAGGCATGGATTCATGATTATTGGGTATCCCTTCGGCGGCAAAACCACAGCCTACAAGATGCTGGCCGATGTATTGGAGATTTGCGAAGAAAACGTGAGTTCTCCTGAGAATTTCCTGTCGGAAGGGTGGGTCTAAGGGGACTAAAGGTAGACGAATGTGGAACGCACGCGTAGGAATGAAGATGGATGTGCGTAGCAAACAGATAGTAAGAAATCGATCTCGCATAGAACTTGATGAACGAGCACAAGGTGGAGATGACGATCATCAACCCGAAGGCGATAACGCTGGGACAGTTATACGGACACTTTGATCCATCGTCTCACGAATGGCAAGACGGTATCCTGGCGGTTAGCTATCGAGCCTTCGCCACTTCGACAAACGAGAACCGGAAGTGGCTGATCTTCGACGGTCCGATCGACGCGATATGGATAGAGAGCATGAATACTGTCCTCGACGACAACAAGAAGCTCTGCCTGATGAGCGGCGAGATTATCCAGCTGGCACCGACGACCAACTTGATCTTTGAGTCACTGGACCTGGAAGCTGCCTCGCCGGCCACAGTGTCACGTTGCGGTAAATTGAATTTTCCACGATGACGAATAAACCCGGGATTTATTTCGCGAAGCCTTTGGGTCTGGAGATCTGAACGATTTGTCGGAAGCAGGGATGATTTATATGGAGCCTACGTCACTGGGATGGGAGCCCATGTTGGAATCTTGGATAGCGACACTGCCAGAGGTCGTGGACGAATGGCTGCGAACTTTCCTGTACGAGTCGCTGTTCCTCCGATTTTGTACGCCACTTTTTCATTTGTTGCGTCGGTGTAACGTAAAGGTAAGTGATCCGTCATACTAAAAATCGACTACCATTATAGATTCCGGTTCGTATTTCTCCGCAGGAGCTGTGCCCGATGCCCGACTCGAACCTCCTACGATCTGTCACGTATCTAATGGATTGCTTCATGGACGATTATTATGACGAAGAAACTGCAAAAAAAATAAGCGAGCTTGATCTTCGGGCACAAATAGAGGTCGGGATTTGACGAGCTGAATTCTCGACGAAGTGTTAAAGTGAATTAATTAATTCAGACATACGTACGCAGGGCTCGTTCTTTTTCTCGTGCATCTGGGGGATGGGAGGCACTCTGGAAGCCACGTACAGAGAACAATTTAGCATCATGTTCCGCGGTCTCTTGGAAAAGGAGTTTCCGATCGCTCTGATGAACGAGTTTCAGATGAAAGAACTCGTACCACCGCCCCTAAAGCCATACATCTTTGTCATGCCGAAGCATCATTTGGTGTTCGATTATAGATTTTTTAAGGAGGTAAGTAAAAGCGTACGTTTGGCAAAACATTCATTCGTCTAACCTTAATATCTAGGTAACGCCTAGTCACCTGCTTGTGGTTTTACTTACAACACCTACCTGCAAAGTAATTAGTATTACCTGCAAATAAAATATGTATATCGTATAACATCGCATTGAGTGTTCGTATTATCTCTTCTCAGGGTAAAGGAAAATGGAAATTATGGTCCGACGAACTGATGAACGCACCGCCGATACCGCGCGACATTCCTGTGAATCAAATAATCGTGCCGACCGTGGAAACAATACGGTACACGACGCTCTTCCAGATGCTGGTCCAACACGAGAAGCCGGTGCTCTTCGTGGGCCCGACCGGCACTGGAAAATCCGTGTACATAATCGACTTTCTGCTGAAGAAGAATAACGCCGCGGTGAACAAGCCGTTGCTGATCAATTTCTCCGCGCAGACCACCGCAAATCAGACCCAAGACATCATCATGAGCAAGTTAGATCGTAGACGCAAAGGTGTGTTTGGGCCGCCCATTGGTAAACGTTGGATCATCTTCGTCGACGACGTCTCGATGCCGATGAAAGAAACGTACGGAGCGCAACCGCCGATCGAATTATTACGACAGTGGTTGGATCATTGGCAGTGGTAAAGTATCCCGGCAAATTGCTCCACGTCGTTAATACCCATACAGCGCAAAGTTGCAACAACATTATTGCAACGTTGCGACAATGTTGCTGTAACTTTTGTGATGTATGGGTATTGATGTTGAAAATAAGTTTCCGGAATTTTGCAGCGTGTGTATAATTCTATAGACGAAATATCGAAACTGTTAGGACAATTATACCAGTAAGTATCTTACATCTTACTTTGAGTCGCTCGCTTGCAGGTACGATAGAAAAGAAGCAACGATAATAAAGCTAATCGAGATTCAATTAATGTGCGCAATGGTTCCGCCGATCGCGGGTGGCAAGGACGTCACCTCACGATTCAAACGGCACTTTTTCGCCCTGGCGATATCGGAGTTCGAGGACGATGTTATGGTCACGATATTCAGCAGAATCGTTCTGTGGCATCTTGACACAAGGTTCTTAAATTTTTAACTCTGTCCCCGGCAGAAATATTCGAAATATTTCAAGTTCGGTTCGAGGTTGTATGGCGCTTGGTAGGGATTCGCAAGTGTGCTTCTTTATATTCATGTATCGCCGCTTGCAGGGGATTCAGTAAAGATTTTGACCCGTGCATCGACCAGCTTGTCCTCGCAACGTTGGACATTTACAAGGAGAGCCTGTGCAATCTGCTGCCAACGCCTGCGAAGAGTCACTACAAGTTCAATCTCCGAGATTTCTCCAGAGTAATCCAGGTGCGTCCTTTGTATCACTCCGTTTTATTATGTTTCGCATTATCCACTGTCGGGAAACTTCTTCGTTAATTAGCGGGATCGATTGTCGCGCAGGGAGTGCTTTTATCAGTCCCGGAGGTGATGCCTGCTCTCTCAAATATGAAGAGATTATGGGTTCATGAGATACTTCGCGTATTCGGAGACCGTTTAATCGACGAGATGGATATAAAGTGGCTAGTGGGTCAAATAGCTAGCACGCTGAAGAAACGCATGGAAATTTCGATCGAGGAACTCTTCGAGGACCTGCTGCCCAAGGACGCAAAGACGGTAAGCTCTTCCTCACGGATAGGTTGATGTAAGAGGTTACACCTGTACTCACGTGACCTTAAGAAACTCCCGCAGATCACTATGGACAAACTGCGAAATTTAATATATTGCGACTTCGCCGATGCAAAGTTAGACGCCCGCCTGTATCAAGAGGTCATTGACCTCGAACAATTGCGAGAGATCATGGAAACGTATCTCAACGAGTACAATTCGATGACGAAAAAGCCCATGAACTTGGTGTTGTTCCGGTAAAAATTTACTTTATTTCGTGAATCATGTAATCCGTAACTGTACCACGTCTCGTATTAAAAGCAAGATGATCCGAAGGTTCGCAATCGAGCACTTGTCGAAGATCGCTCGTATCATCAAGCAGCCGCGAAGTCACGCTCTCCTCGTTGGAGTCGGTGGATCCGGCAGGCAATCCTTGACAAGACTAGCGTCGCACATTTGCGACTACGATGTGCACCAAATCGAAATTACTCAACAATACGGCGTCCACGAGTGGCACGAGGACATCAAAGGCATTATGAGAAAAGCCACCGCCAGCGAGTTACACTCGACTTTTCTCTTCAGCGACACGCAGATTAAGGAGGAGAGTTTCTTGGAAGACATCAGCAATATGCTGAATACAGGCGAAGTGAGTGAACTCAATTATATTATTTTCTTTATCTCATTTTCTCTCTTGATTTTTCCACTTACCCACGTAAACGGGTTTCCGCTTCCTTTCCCCTGCTCGTTTTCATTCGTTCGTTACTTTCAGGTGCCCAATATATTCACAAACGAAGAGAAGACCGAAATATGCGAGAAAATGAAGCAGATCGACCGACAACGAGAACGATCGTTGCAGACGGACGGTAGCCAAGCGGCACTTTTCAATCTGTTCGTGCAGTTAATTCGTGATCAGCTGCACATTGTTGTCACCGTGTCACCCATAGGCGATGCCTTCAGAAATCGCATCAGGAAATTCCCGGCTTTGGTCAACTGTTGCACCATAGATTGGCTTCAGGTGTGAAAAACTCCACCAGTCTTCTAAAGAATGCGATATTACCGGTCGAAGATTGAATGCGATAATAACAGTATCGATTGTTGTGTCCAAGCCGTGGCCAGAAGACGCCTTGCTAGCTGTCGCGACGAAATTTTTGTCCGCGATCGAACTCACTGACAATGAGAGAAGCGCCTGCATCGCCATGTGCCAGTTCTTCCACGTGTCCACCCAGAAAATGAGCGAGGAATTTTTAATTCGCCTGAATCGACACAATTACGTGACGCCTACTTCTTATCTTGAGATGATCAACACCTTCCAGACCTTGCTCGAGAAAAAACGCAGGTAAACACGACACGATTGACCTTGAATCCTTCTATCTTAACGCGATGTGTTGTCTCCAGTGATGTGTCGCGTGCCAAAGGCCGATACGAAGGCGGATTGGGACAATTAGATAGCACGCAGCATCAAGTGACAGAGATGCAGGAAACGTTGAAACAATTACAACCGAAATTGGTCGCGACTACGCAAGACGTTCAGAAGATGCTCGCCAATGTCGAAAAAGAGAGTCAGGAGATGGCGGAATTCGAGAAAATGATCAAAATCGATGAAACCGCGGCGCAAGTGAGATTGCGCAATTCCAACATACGTACAATTGCACACAAACTGACTTTATTTATTATACACACGAAATTTATCAAAACCGCTCCTCTTCTCCTCTAGATCTCTTTGATCTGAGGATCTTCTAGATCTTCCTTTCTCGATCTCTTTGAAAGAAAATTTGGTCCGTATTAATATAATAATTTATCTTTATTTTGCAGGAAGTAGCGGATGAAGCATCTGCGATAAAAGTCGAATGCGACGCTAATCTGGCTGAGGCCATGCCCATTTTAAATCGCGCTCAAGCGGCGTTGGACACGTTAACATTATCGGACATCGCGGTGGTTAAAGCGATGAAATATCCACCGTATGCCGTGAGGCTCGTAGTAGAGAGCGTTTGCGTTCTCAAGGTGCATTACTATTCCAATTGTGTGTGTTGTGTTATAATGCGCGAAAGAAAACCTAGCAAAATCTTATGAAAGTTGACTTTCAATTATTGCTGTAGCAAGTAAAACCGGAAAGAGTGCAGAAGGAAGGTGTACATGTCGAAGATTACTGGAAGGTCGCTCTGAAAGTTCTCAGCGATATCAAATTCTTAGACTCGCTACTTCATTTTGATAAGGACAACATACCGGAAGATGTAATAGCCAAGATACGGAAGGATTACTTGACCAATCCAGACTTTGACCCGGAGAAGATGAAGAAAGTCTCGATGGCTTGCGAGGGACTATGCCGCTGGGTCATTGCGATGTCCGAGTATGACGAAATCGCAAAAATCGTCGCTCCTAAAAAGCGAGCGTTGGCGGAAGCCGAGCAAGCCTATCAAACGGCTATGGAGAAGTTAGAGTTGAAGAGAGAACAATTGCGCCGCGTGGAGGTATGCATTATTATTTCCAACTTTGCAGTACGTAAAACGTATGTAATTTTCATCGATAAAAGTGTGAAAAATTCTTTCAATACGATGAAATAAGAAAGATAGATAAGCTGATATCAATTCCAAATTAAAGTGCAATTATTGATGTTTATGTGATCAGAGAAAATTGCTGGACCTTCAAGAGCTCCTAAATCAAAGAAAAGCGGATTTCCAAGCGATGTCGGATCAAGTGACAGACTGCGAGATGAAACTGAAGCGGGCCGAGGATCTCATCGGAGGGTTGGGCGGAGAGTACGCACGTTGGTCTCAAACCGCCAAAGAATTGGGTGAAAAGTAAAATCTATTCACGGCATACATCCTTCACTATCGTAGAACTTCATTATCAAATAATGAAGTTTTGTCCTTTTCGTACAGATATTATCGACTAACCGGCGATGTAATAATCGCTTCTGGCATAGTGGCTTACTTGGGTCCGTTTACGATGCCATTTCGCGTGCAACAGATAAAAGAGTGGGTAGAGTTATGCACGAAGTTGCAAGTGATCTGCACTCAAGATTTTCAACTGCGCGAGATACTTGGCGAGCCGGTTCTAATTCGATCCTGGAACATCGCTGGCCTGCCCGCCGATGCGTTTTCCATCGACAATGGCATCATCGTCGCGTAAGTTAACGAACGAAAACTCCCAAGTCAGAATCGTGTTAACGATTTTGCCTTTCTAGGAATGCCAGGAGGTGGCCACTGATGATAGATCCGCAGAATCAAGCCAATATATGGGTAAAAAATATGGAGAAGGACAACAGCTTGAGCATTATTCGACTGACTCAACAAGATTACGTGAGAATCTTGGAGAATGCTATACAGTTCGGACAACCGATATTACTCGAAAACGTGGAGGAGGAATTAGATGCCGTTCTTGAGCCGATACTCCTCAAGCAGACATTTAAGCACGCCGGTGCAATGTGTATAAAACTGGGCGACGCCATAGTGGAATATAATACTAATTTCAGGTAAGTTTTCTTCAAATGGCTCTCCAATTACAGTGCGAAATTTCAAGTCAGCCCCCGTATCGAGTATGTTACTATGATGATCACACTGACAGGCTGTACATCACAACGAAGCTGAGGAATCCTCATTACCTGCCGGAGATAGCCGTGAGAGTGACTCTGCTGAATTTTATGATAACACCGAGTGGTCTGGAAGATCAGCTACTTGGCATCGTGGTCGCGAGAGAAAGACCCGACCTGGAATCGGAGAAGAATGCTCTAATCGTGCAGAGTGCGGCGAATAAGAGGTATGAGCTTCAATCACTGCTCACTAGCACGACAGCTGTATGATAGCTTCATACGTATCATTTCTACATTCATATTGCTTGCGACGCGCTCGCAACCATATTTCACTGGAATTGACATACTGGATTTTCTAGAGCCATTCCGCCGATTAACAATCACTGGCTTGCGTATATGTTTTACATTAACTTTGTACCGCAGGATGTTAAAAGAGACAGAGGACAAAATTTTGGAAGTGCTTTCTTCGGAAAGTAATATCCTGGAGGACGAGGAGGCTATCGATATCTTGACATCATCCAAGAACTTGAGCGATGATATTCAAGCGAAGCAGGCGGCCACGGAAATCACCGAAAAGTCGATCGACGTCGCGAGATTGCAATATAAACCCATTGCCGTCTATTCGACCATACTCTTCTTCACGATAGGTAACGCGGATCTTTACAGCAATCTATAAAAATATTAAGGATTTATTAAGCACAGATCAATATTACGTTGACGTAAACGATTTATTTTCGTTGCAGCGTCGTTAGCCAATATAGATCCAATGTATCAGTACTCGTTGGTCTGGTTTGTGAACCTCTACAATATAGCCATCACAAATACGGAGCCAGCCGAGACTGTTGAGCAACGTTTGAAGGACCTGACGGAATACTTCACATACTCACTTTACGGCAATATCTGCCGATCGCTGTTCGAGAAGGATAAATTGCTATTCGCGTTGCTTCTCGTTGTAAATCTGCGTGAGACGAGCGAGACGCCTGAATTCGTGAGCCAATGGTTGTTCCTGTTAACCGGTGGGATGGGCCTGGAAAATCCGTATGTCAATCCCACAGAGTGGCTGCCCGTCAAGCAATGGAACGAACTGTGCAGGCTGCACGACGTCACAGGATTCGAGGTAAATCTTCGCGCATGATCACACGCCGGTATAAATAATATTCATGGAGGATCCATCAGTCGTCTATGAACGTCCATTAATTTTACAGGGCATCAGAGAGTCGTTCTCGCAGAATGTCGACGAATGGCGGAAACTATTCGACTCGAAGGAGCCGCAGGAGGAGTTTTTCCCGGCGCCGTACGACAAATTACAATTATTCGAACGGATGTTAATATTGCGATGTATTCGACCCGATAAAATCATACCCGCGATGCAGAAACTCGTGGAAGGTAACAAATAGAAGGGACTGGCACACCAGTCAGTAGAGGCAAAGATCAGTCGACAGAATCGAACGGACCTCGCTGATTCGAGTCACTCGAATATTTTAGAACAACTGGGCGCGGAATTCGTGGAGGCGCCACCCTTTGATTTGTCATCCTCGTACGCGGACTCCAACTGTTGTATCCCGTTGATATTCATTCTGACTCCCGGCACCGATCCGGCACAAACCTTGATGGCGTTCGCCGACGAGCAGGGTTACGGTGCTAAACGTCTCTTTTACTTATCCCTCGGCCAAGGTAAGTGTCGCACACGATGAATGCGAGTCCTCGCGCGTAAACTGGCCACGTGATACCCCACGCAGGTCAAGGACCGATAGCGGAAGGGTTGATCAAGAACGGCGTGTTGCTCGGCAACTGGGTGGTGCTGCAAAACTGTCACTTGGCTAAGAGCTGGATGCCGACTCTGGAGAAGATCTGCGAAGGCCTGATACCCGATACCATCCACTCGGATTTCCGACTCTGGCTAACCAGCTATCCGGCGGATCACTTCCCGATATCGGTTCTTCAGAACGGCATCAAGATGACGAACGAGCCGCCCAAGGGACTCCGGGCTAACATTTTGAGGTCCTACACGAGTGATCCGATCAGCAACCCGGAGTTCTTCGAAGGCTGCGCTCAGAGCGATAATTTCAAGAAGCTCATTTACTCGCTGTGCTTCTTCCACGCGATCGTGCAGGAAAGACGCAAGTTCGGTCCAATCGGCTGGAACATCCCGTACGAATACAACGAGACCGATCTGAGGATCAGCGTGCTGCAATTGAAGATGTTCTTAGACCAGTACGAAGACGTGCAGTTCGAGGCTTTGCAGTACCTCACGGGCGAGTGCAATTACGGGGGGAGAGTCACGGATGAGTGGGATCGCAGGACGTTGAACACCATCCTAGCAAAGTTCTACTGCCGGTGAGTATATATGTTAACGGATCGTGCAGTTTTCAATCTGCCAGTCGACAGTCACCGGTTACTCATGTGCGTCAATGTTTCTAGAGAACTGTTGGAGGATAAGTTATACTACTTCGATCAATCGTCCACTATGTATTACTGCCCGATCGCCAGAGAATACGAAGCGTATCTCTCGTACACGAGAAACCTTCCGATAATAACCGGGCCGAGTGTATTTGGCATGAATGAGAACGCTGATATTCTAAAAGATCAACGAGAGACAGAATTGTTATTCTCTTCGCTTCTGCTCACTCAGGTAACTCACCTCACCTGAATTCTCTACGAAACGATGTGATAATAATATCAACTTGTCACATTCATATTGTTCTTTTCTTGTCTTGATTCCATTGAACGATATCCAGGATCGAACGGTATGTAACTATAATAGAAAACAAGAAACAACAAAATCTTTATTCACATTGATTACTACTAATCGCTAATTTTTATGTACCTATGCATTTTATGTCTTTGTTAAAATTATTCTTTTCTATCGCTCGCGCTCTTAGGATCTTTGGAAGATCAAGGTGAGCTAGACTAGAAATCGACCCCGAAATACAATCTGAATATCTGTTGATACTCTAAACGGACAATGTTGATTTAAACGAACATTTTCTTAGTACTTTCTATCCCTTGTAGGAAGCCGTAAAATCCGGCATGAGGCAAACTTCCGACGATGATATGGTTTACAACATCGCCACAGAAATATTGGAGAAGTTACCGGATGATTTCGATCTCGTCACGGTACTTGAGAGATACCCTACGTTGTACAGTGAAAGTATGAACACTGTGCTAGTGCAAGAGATGGACAGATTTAACAAATTATTGCGCTGTATGAGAGATAGCCTTGTTAATATACGAAAAGCTATCAAAGGTACATGTGTGTGCACGTGTTTTAATAGGCATTTAAGAATATGAAAAAAATTCAAAGTAGACTCATCCTAAACATCACAATACTTCTGCTAGGTGTGATCGTAATGTCCTTCGAGCTTGAAGACATTTACGAGGCGATCTTAACGAGCAGAATACCTGCTTCGTGGAAACAAAATTCTTACCCCTCCCTGAAACCTTTGGGCAGTTACATCAGTGATTTTCTACAACGTTTAATGTTTCTACAGGTAATTGTATCTACAAGCGAGCGATATAAATAGCACTTTATTGTTCTCCACTCGTAAGATTTGTGACATTATGTTTTATCATCATGCAGAAATGGTACGACGAAGGACCACCCGTCACGTTCTGGTTACCGGGATTTTACTTCACGCAAGCATTTCTTACCGGAATACGACAAAATTATGCACGAAAATACCAGATCCCTATAGATCTTCTCACGTTTGATTTTATAATTTTGAAAGAGAGTGTCTTCGAGTCCCCTCCGAAGGATGGGGTTTACATTTACGGCCTATTTTTGGACGGCGCGAGATTCGATATAAAGAGTATGAACGTGGAAGAGAGCTTTCCCAAAGTGCTTTATGACAACGTGCCCTTCGTAAGTAGGCTCACTCTTCAAAAAAGTTGTATACACAACGAAATATTTTTCCTTCGATTAATTAGCGATGGCATCGACATGAATAACTACAGATTTATCTCATATTTAAAAACACCGAGATGAAATAAAATTATATTTTTCTACTATCAGTATCAACCTTATTGATGAGATGTACTTCGGACGACATTTTGACTCCTATTTAATTACCATAGCTCATAAAACTCATCTCTTTGTGATGCGACGGTTTTCAGCTGCAGTTTATACCGTCGAAGGTGGAGGACATCAAAGAAAGGCGTTTGTACGTCTGCCCGCTTTATAAAACCAGCGAACGTCGCGGGGTATTATCCACTACTGGTCACTCCACCAACTTTGTCATAGCCATATGGTTGCCTACGATAAAACCGCCGGAACACTGGATTATAAGGGGTGTCGCCATGCTTTGTCAACTTAGCGAATAAAAAGTATGAACGTAAACATATAAACACCTTGTTTTATTCCTCGATCCAATTTTCGGTATCACGATGATAATAGGTATTGTATATATTTCAAAGTATCCAAAAAAAAAAAGTATTTTACACTATCTTTATTCCTTATTAGGGCAGACTTAAATTGACACACATATTTCTTCGCTCACATCATATAAAAGTGACGGTCGATCGTATAAACTGATTATTTCTTTCTAGTTTTTCTTCGTTTCTTCAGAGAAATACGCTCAAAGTAAGCTCTCCATGCCCTTTGAATAACTTTAGCAGCTCGATTTCGTCTGAAGAATTCCAGTTTTTTGGTGAAAGCTTTCATCAGGGTAATTTCTCGCTCCTTTTTTAATCGATTGTACAACTCCCGTTGCACGGCCAATTTCTCCTGGCGATAAAGTAACATCAGTTCGATGAAATCGCACATGTGAAATGTATTTGAAATAAAAATACTGCAAAATACCTCCATATCTTTCTTTTCTGCCTTAACAAGTTCGTTCTCTCTGGACAATTTTTCCAGCAAAGAATGGCATGCACCGATATCACGATCGTATTTTGAGAGAAGATCTGTGTATTCCTGTTCGACTTCAGAACTTTAAAGTGTGAAAATTAGCAAAATCTACATTTGAATGTAATATCTACATTTGAGTAACATTAAATTGCATTATTGTTGGAAATTATATCATAATTATACCATTTGTCAAAAAGTATCTTTTCAGTCGCGGCGTTGAATTCTACGACGTTGTGTAGTCGCCATTCGGCTAAATCTATTTCTGATTGCAATAATTTCTGCCGTGCTTCCTCTTGCTCTTTTACATTCACCATCTTTGACGTTGAATTCTCTCTACAAAGTACAGAACTTGCAAAATTATATCGAGTCTCGGCTTTGAAGTCATACAACCACAATGATACTTCCTACTAATTCTCCTTTTTCAACGTACATTTCTTTTGATATATTTGCTTCCGACATTTCTTTGATACTTTCCATCAATTTTTCCTCATTGTTTACGCAGGTTGTGATATCTTTTAGGAACATTTCAGAATTCGAGTTTTGTTCCTCGGAAATATTTTGCAATGCTACCGATAAATAATTTATGGTTTACAGTCACAACGTGATACATGATAAGTTTACATATAATTCTATGAAAAATAACGTATTACGTAACTAAATTTACTTTCAAGCTCCAACAAAGTTTCCGCTATTTTCGTATGACAATCTCGCATTTTGATGGTATTCATGCGTGTTGCATCGGGAGTCTTTTTCATTTCAGCTACAACAGACTTCCTGAAAAGCTCGATGCTATCTATGATTTTTTTAACCAGAGACGAATTTTGAGTACCATCTTCTCCAGTCTAAATTAATCATTAAAGAAAATACTCAACTTTCTACAGATTTTGCATGAAGACTTAGGCGCGTAATTTTTTAAAATGGCATACAACTAAACTCGAATGAAGTTTAACATCGAAAGATAAAATAATAAATATATAATGTAAAAAAGATGTTTCAAAATATAATTAAATAATTCAACATTTGTGTTAAACTAAAAACATTTAAAGAGTTAATATTTTTAAAGGCAAAAAGGTTGACTTGTTTTCATGTAGATTACAACTTAACATTTGATAATAATTACCGACTCGCGTATTTTGCTCGAAATGCCCGCCAAAAGCTTCTCCATTCGAATTATCATAATCATGTTGTCTTCTTGTCCATTCATAATCACTGCTATTTTTTTTGAGATCGCAACGCGTTCTGATCTCTTCTTACTTGTAAAATCATTCAGACACTGTGTGGCTGCTGTATAGCAACCACACGTCTAACGATCCAACAATATATAATTCTATGGTTACCATTCTTCATGAATATTGACTTTTATATAAAGTGTCAGAGACATCTTAATCTTAAAAACTCTGTCATTTTTTTTAAAGAACTTTATAATATTCTTTCCACGATCAAAATGTTTATTTATCAAAAATTTTCTAGGAATCTAACACTCTTACTTTAAAAACCTTTCAAACAATTAAGATTATGTGAAAACATCTTATCTGATATTTGAATGAATGCAGCGTAAAAATCTTTGAAATATGTTAAGATTTATCATATATAACAATCCAACCAGTATTATTTTCTATTCGTACGTACATATAATGATAAAATATATTTTTGGTCCATCTACTTTAATACTTCTTATCAAAATAAAGCAATAGCTATACCGTAGTCTTTCCTCCTTCAAATCATTACATCTCTGTTGCAAGATATAATGTGTGTGTGTGTGTGTGGTGTATGTCGAGAAACGCATTAAGTAAAAGATAAAATTAAACTGTTAAGACTCTTTAAAAAATTTAGTTACAATTTACTTCCCGTTGTTGTAATGGGTTGATGTTACAAAACGTAAATAGAATAAGTAATTTCTACGTTTCTAACGTTTCACGATGCTCCGAGAGAAGGCGTTCCTTTCGGCATCGGCGAGCTCAATGAATTTGTCATCGTGCATGCACACAGGCGCGCGCGCGCGCGCAACATATCACATATACACAGAGTGCGAATAATCTCAATCATCTGCTCCGTTGCGACTTCATTGTATGCAACTGGATTTAAACATGACGTTTTGATGGAACTGCTATGATATTACCGAAGCGTGTTGCACCTTTTGAGCTGGTATTTGATCTATAATAATAAGTGCATGACGCGTAATAAGATCCACCGCACAGCTACGGAACAGGCTATTATTTTGACAATTATCGCCACACCTAAATTACGCAATGTATTTACCATAAACTCGAGCATACGTCCTAACACACATCTGTGAAAATACTTCTTTTTTAATGTACAGTGTATGCACGAAGACTCCGTGTAACCGTGGCAGTAAGATTTACCTCTCATCTCGTACGTAGATACAATTTTTTCCACCACATTCAACAGATCTTGCAAATACAGGTACATTTAAACTCTATACTTGAATTTAACTTGAAACCTTGGCAAAACACCTTCACAAGACTTTCTTTCCACAGCATTAAACAGGTCTATGTATAAAGTGTGTTGCATCATAAGTTGTATTCATGCCTTTTTGTCTAAGAAGTAACGCTACTTGCAAAATGGAAGAATATTCTGTTGCATCCGATGTATCAGTGGTGGATGTCTACGACATTGCATCTGAGATAGGAAAAGAATGTGAAAAACTGATAGACCTGTTTGGAGTAGAGTCTGTAACCAATCTTATGCCAAAGGTGATAAATGCTTTAGAATTACTTGAGAATCTTGCTACCAAAAATGAACGTGAGAATACTATGGTACAAGAACTAAGTGCAAAGATCTCTCAGCTGGAAAGCGACAAAATTGGAAAAGCAGAGGATAGACAACGTTTTGAGAAGGTAATATGGTAGTTAAACACTTTTGTCATTATATCGCAACATTAATCTCTATATATATTACAATTCATGTTCTCAATTGATAGTATAACTATGATTCAATAAATATGATGTTTTTTTAGGAATTAGAACAAATTGAAGAACATTGGAGGCAAGAGTCCCGTGATTTAGTAGCTATGGTCACTAGATTACAAGAGGAAAATAGACGATTAGCTGAATCTTTGCAAGAATCACGTAGTGATAGTCAGTACAGCAGTAAACAAACAAGTACTAACCAATTAACCACCTACTAATCCACCTACTAACAATCATTAAGATATCTTTTCAACAAGCGAATTAAAAAACTTGTGAAATAACTGCTTGCTTTCATTTCCAGCCTTCACAGCTAGTCAGGAAGTTGATGTGGCTGTTTTGCAACATTTGAGATCCATGATAGACAAACAGAGGGATCAGATTCGCGCCAGAGACCGAGAATTGTCTCAGAAGACTACAGAAATTGAAAATGTAAATTGGTATCTATATCTATATACAATTCAACTATAGAATTATAGATGAACTAAAAAAAGATACAATTCTTTAGCCATGGAACTTTTCCTTTCTGCAATGCTACATGATAATTAAATACAGTTATATAAATATTATAAAAAAATTATAAATTTTATTTACATATTGCATTTAATAAACATTTTGTTGTATTGTGTGTATACAGTTGACTGCGCAGGTGGAGAAGCTCAGTGTGGTTGGGCGAGAACTGAAACGTAAGCAACGACAAGCGCAGATGCAAGCTCGGGGTTTAGTGGAAGAAAGGGCGGATTTTTTAGCTCAACTGCAGGACCAGAATCGGGAACTCATAAATCTACGTGCTCGGCTTGGCATGGCTAAGAAAGAGAATGAAGACTTGACTAAATTACAAGGCTGTCCAGACTTAACAAATAAGGCAATTTACGATTTGGATGATCCCGACAGACCAAGATTTACGACGTCGGAACTGAAGGAAATTTTGCACGAGCGAAATGAATTGAAAGCAAGGGTTTCAGATCTGGAAGATGAATTGGAGCTATACCGGCCAAAACCTGAAATGTAAGTCATTGAACATTAAAAATCTTGTTCACAATTATTTTCTTAATAAAACATCAAGCTTTTTATCTTTACAAAATATAATTATAGCATTCTATAAATATAAATTGTACATCATGCGTAACTTTATTATTTAAAGCAATTTTGTCACTTTTGTGTTATTTCAGTCTAGAGGATGACAAAGACGCACCGGTACAGGGACCGCTTCCTTATGAACCAGATGATGCACCTTGGAAGAAATCCTCCGAATCCGGCATTCGTAAATTGTACGTGTTGACATGTTATATTCCTTCTTTTATATTTGCATTCAACATATATTGCAATCAATAACAATATGAATTTTACAGTTTCCGAAAGATATTCTCCGAATCCAGCAGCAGCTTCCTCGGTGGTAGTAGTCCCAGACGAAGTCTTTCTAGTCTCTCGAAGATGGCCCTGTCTGGTAGCAGTACCTGTGATACATCTATATAATGCTTTCTTAAAAGCACGTTGGATAATCTTAAGCAACTCACGGAAATCGGATGAACAAGAACGATACTTATAAATACGCTTTCTGTTCATATAATCATATTAGAATTGTTCGCGGTATTATACATATATATGATTTTAACATAGACACGGACCCTCGTAAGAGAGATAATCAACCTCATTAAGACCTGGTTCATAGTAGATAGATATGCATGCGATGTGAACGAACTGAGAACAGTTAAATCTGTATAAACCTATGACGAAGAAAGAAACATGCATGTATATATTTGTATAGTTGTAAAATAAGGCAATGTGTATTTAGCTGCACGATCTTAGTATATCATTTCGTCATTCTTTCCATTTGATATTATCACGTGAATTTCATTGAGATTGAATTAATAGGTAGAATACTTGTAATGATGCATGTAAAAAAGATAGTAATACCGATAAAAAAAGAATAATCCCGACTTCTTCCAAAATTACTAAGTACGTGTAGTTTTAAATGTGCATTGATAAGGTTCTAATCGCATTCAATGTGAAACAGGTCTCGTTCTATGCAGACACCAAAGTATCCGATTTTTTTACTACTAAATACTTCAGGGATTTATTTCATCTATTCCAATAATTTACTTTATTTTATTGTTTTTAATGATTTTATAGAATGAAGAAAGAGCATCTATCTTAATTTTATGATCGAATGTAATTAATAGAGTAAATTCCACGTATTATAAAGTCTACGACCGGTTCGGATGGAATTTCTTTTATTTATATATATTTTAATGTATTTCGTAACTTTAATGTGTCAAAGTGCATTTATCATCATGTGATTAAGGCAGTGTTAGGTGAGGTATAGTACATTTTTGTCTTTGTATTTTATATACAGCTATAAACGATGGTAAATTAGATTTTATAATATATCTGTATCTGATTGTCCCATTTCATTCAAAATTCTATATGGAAATGATATGGAACTGTAATGTATTTGAGAGTCTGTGCCATTTGTTACTGATATTAAGATAAATACCGAGATTTGACTTCAATTTATGTCGAAATTGTAAATATATTCGGGAAACAAGTTGAGTTAGCTATATATATGTATATAAATGAATATATGTATATATATTCATTTATATATGACACACACACATACACACATTACACACATATATACAATTTATATTGTATACATACATACAAATATATATATATATATATATACATACATATGTGTATATATATATATATATTTGTATAAAAATATCAATATATCTCCCCTTCTCTTTGTTTATTGGACATATAACACTATTATTATTAAAAAAATGTCACTTCTATATCCAAACAACTGTTAACATCTATATCCAAGCAACTAAATGATAATAAAATGAATATGTCGCTAACTTATAACAGTATTGAAATTAATAAGTAATCAAAAAACTTTCTGCAATATGGCACACTCAATAGAGTGAAAAGATTATATAAATTTGAGAATACTAGAGAACTTACATTAAAAGGAACGTGTCACAATTCATATTATATCAAGATTAGCTGTCTATAAGTAAAATAACTATGTCACTTGTAGTGCCTATTTTAGTATAACTTATCGACTTTTAAACAATTTAGCGACATTTTCCAAGAACAAAGCGAGATGAATTAGAGTATGTAGAATGAGTTATAATACAGATTGTAACGGACAAAATATAATGAATATGATTCATAATTATAGTAAAAGAGAAATATTTCTAATGCATTTTATAAGGAAATCCACAGAATGTTAAATTAACATTTGATATATATTTTAAAGTTAGTTAATAGTTTCGTTATAAACAAAATTTTGTAAAAATGACATCACACACATGCATATCAATATTTTATCAACTTTGTATTCGAAAATTTTCTTACAAATGTTTTTTGAGTATATCTTTCTAGTATAAATCGGATTTATATTGATTGACTTATTTCAATGCCATTTATAGTAGGAAAAACATTTTTTCATATTAATATATACATATTTCTTAGATTTTAATACTAGTAAAGCCATTTGATACTAGTAAATAGCCAAGGCAGCAACGAATAAACCTTTGAGTAAAAGCATCAACTAAATTTATAATTAGATAAGTTCCAAGTATTTACACAACTGTGTGTATGTGTCCGCACGCGTATGTGTGTGTGTGTATATGTATATATATATATATATATACATAGACATGTATGTATATATGTGTTGCTTTCATGGCCATACAAAAGCTTTTATCAATTAATGCGATATTTTAAAAAGTTGTCGAGTATCTATACAAATGCGCATATGGATTCGTCCTTCCTTGTACTCAGTGTAGTGTCATATATGATTTTAGATTCTTGTAGATGTAAAATGAGAGATGAAACAATCATATGAATGTGACACGAGTTACTCATGATATACATTTTAAGTAGTGAATTAAAGATTTAGCGGATTGTAAAAAAAAGAATAAATAGTATCTTTGTGGAAAAAATGTGTTATATACAATCTAATAATAATTATTTACTTATTTACTTATCTAATAATAATAATTTACTTTAGATTTTTACTTTGCAGGTTGACAACATTTGATCTTAGTATGCTAGATGTTTCTGACCTTTTAACATTGTAGATGATTATTCATATATGACACAAACTTGTATCATGATTTTATTAAGACTAATAATCTTACGTCCTACTATCTGGTGTATCCTGATTTTTAAGCTATATATATCTTATGAAACCTATTCTTTAGTCTCAATATACAATATTTACGTTTGTACACATTTGCGAACAAATCCTAGCGCCCATGAACGAAAATACTTGTAATACTAATATAATGGTATATAAGACATATATATAGAATATAGAATATATAATAATGATAATAATAATAACGATAATGATATAACATAATAATACTGTTCTATATCATAAAAATAATTACAGAAAAATCATAATTCCTTGATACTCAATAATTATGATCATAATTATACCAACTATAATCGATAATACGTTCATAGTCATGACTATATAAACATATATATACAAACATTTTCATTACATATATTCAGATTTCATATAAGCAAAACTTGTTAACTTACTTGCCTCTTGATTTTTAAAAGGCAATTTTACATACACTCTATAAAATTCTTCATACACTCTATAAAACATTTTCTCTAGTAATTAAATTTTTTAAGTTTTTGGAGTATGTATATTGACTAGTCTTATCTTTTCTTATAAATCCACATTATTCAAATTAGCTGCGGATCCTGTTGGTAAATCTGGTGCTACAAATTTACCAATAGGTTGTATGGCTTTATGTTGTTCAGCCAATTTTCGCATCTCCTGCCTAAGTTTACCCAAGATAGCGTGATTTGGCTGATTAACAGCAGCTTTACCCTGCAGAAGAGTAATTTGTTGCTCCAACTCTTTCTTTTCCTTAAAAGATTTCACACTTCGCGATCCATAAAGCCGTAACAACGAACCCCAAGACTGTATGTGTGGATGCATAAGTTGCAGTATTGCTTGTGCTGCTCGTTGCTTACCGTCTTTCTTATTACGGCAAACCTATGAGTGTCAGTTAATAAAGAGGTAAATATACTTTTGCTTTACTATTTAAAAAATCACACGATAATTTTATTCACATAGATAATCAAGGTATATAACAGATTGTACTCACAACAGTGGCCTCGTGTTTCCCAACTCTCATCGTAAACTCATTTCTCTGATGTTTGAGCGTGTTTACCGAATAATTAATGTGCATATCTCCCAAGCCGTAATTTCTTTGAAGGCAAGTTATCAAGATAGCATGTGGCGATGGTTCTGTGGTTTTCGCGCAGAATTCCGCGACTCGTGGATCCGTGATGGATATTTCGTCAAAAAATGATAGATCCGCGTCCGAATTTCTTCGAGACGCTTTTATCGTGCGACTAGCGTTACTCGACCCGTTATCCCCGTCATTGTCGCCGGAGATCTTATCTCTCATCTGAGGAATCAAGATTTCGAGAGTCTTCCGTGCTGCGTTAGCTTTTGCTTGTTTCTTACTGCTGCCAAACCCGCTGCCATATTCCATGTCGTTGATGCAAACCACCGCTGAATACGGAGTCGCTGCATTTTCTGCAATTTAAACGCGTCATTTCCATCTTAGCTATAAAACTCGGAAATGGGTATTGACAGAACAACAAGAATATTAACAAGAGCATTAAACAATACGGTCGTACCTAATTCTTTAAACTTATACGTTGGTTGTTTCTTGAGGGCATGTTGCACGTATTCGTGAAGGATACAAACGTAGCTTTTGCCTGATGGGTTCATTATCCAATGTTTCGGGGGTCTTTGACCATTATCGTCTCCGACAGCATTACCGCCACCAGTTACGCTGCAGGAGCTATTGACAGGGAAAGTTATTAATTTCGTGCCATCTGGCAAGGTTGGACGTTCAAGCTGTTTCCGATGCCTTTTGTTTTTCGTAAATTTCCGACGCGCTGACCAAGACCTATAAAAACGAAGAAGTAAATCAACATATAGAACACATGTCTGTGACCCGTCGATATAATTTCATTTTGAATACTTACTGGAATCTCATTACTTTAATAGCTTTGAAGCGAAACAATGATTGACAATAGTTCCTTAATTGTTCGCTGTCTAATGAATGCGCCGCGCGATTCTCCTGTATGGTTTCAATTTTTGCGCTAGGAAGACTGTAAGTTTCGGCGTTCGGCGCACGCTCCATTTCTTTCTTCCGTTCTTCTTCCTCCTCTATTAACGCTCGTTTATATTGAAGACAAGGTAAGCCACTTACAGGAACCTCGTGCTTTCTAACACTTCCGGGACCGAGAAAATACGGTTTCGCTAGAGTACAAACCCTGCTTTGTTTATGGAGGTACAGTGGCATTCCACTATTGTGCGTTACTTGTACCCAACCCTCGGGGAGAACGTCAAAATGATTATGTCCAATTTCTGAAGAGAAAATAAAATGACATACACGAATATCATGTAACTATATGCAACATCGTAGTGGCATTGCAACACAACCGTAAATAAATATAAAAATTTACAAAATTCATTTAACTGACTCAATATTACGATTCTATTGCATACCATCCAAGACAAGTTTCTCTTTCTCCTCATAGGGCGTATTATCCTTTCTGTTTTTCCTCTTTCCTTTAAATTCCTCTGGCAGACCTAATAAATAATGTTTCGTTGAAAAGAAATATATTTGAAAGCTGTGTATACTGTGTATCGAAAAAGAATAAAAAAAGAATAAAAAAGAATAAAATGGATCATATTGTTCTTTCGACAGACAAAAATATTCAATCTAATTACGCGGCAACTTGATCTAATAGTTATGAAGATAACAAAATATCTCACTTTCTTCTAACATAGCTTCAATTTCTTCATCTGGCACGTCAGAATCCATGTTCTCATCCGTATCTGAGTCAACATCTGAACAATTTTGTTCAGAGTGACGATCTAGATCATCGAGCACGTCAAACTGCCGCAACTCATCGGTAGTATTTACATCCATATTGTATTCTACAGATTCCCCTGATTCCTGATTACATGAACCATTGTATAAAGCGTCTTTATTGTCGACGCACATCTTTTCTTCCTTCATTAGTTCGCTATAATGATTATTATCAAGCGTGCCAGTGTGACTAATCGATGTGGTACTATGATCTAATTCCGATTTTATACACGGTGTTTCCCAATTTTGATTCTCTTGCTGCGGACAACGGCTTTCTTCGCAAATGAAAGCATCGTGATTTTGATTGTTCTCACTATCTTCGAAAATCTTAACTTCCACAGCTGTCTCTTCAATTTTATTAGCCTCCATTGCATGTATGTTGTGAGGTATCTGTTAAAACACTAGAAAATGTAAATAAAGCTGGCGCATTTAAATAACAAACAACAACAAGTGGCTACACAAATGATAGTAGAATACCCGAGTCGCCTAACTTTTTGCCACGTTGCTTCTCTGTTAGACAAAGAATCTAATTTATAGAACCTAAACATGAATCTAAACCTGAACATTCAAGTAACTAGTCACAGCAATATAGACTTATTAATGATACATACATATATATTTAGATTATGATTATACATTTTGCGCAAATTAATTGTAAATATAGCTAACAATAACAAACAATATCCAGTAAACTTAAGCCCAAGGTCCATATAAAGCAATCCATGGATTGAATACATATTAAGCGCGTTGTATGGCCACACCACTTTCACCAATGAGGCCAAAGTCCAATCAGTATGAAACCAAAATGGCAACGAAAATTGGACATTTGCATTAGTGTTAGCAGTCTGGGGCCTATTACACATCGATGAGAATATATTGTATAAGTTGAGCTCTTATTTTACCAGATTTTGTAGGTGGTTGAAAGAGTTCATCACATTACTCATAACTCCAAGTCTAGATAGGAACAACATTGAAAGATTGAACCTGATACTAGCTGGAGCTATGCGACGGTACTAGTCAAAATTATATCTGGTCTTCAGCTTGGCAGACAAACGTATGCTTGAAAATTGCATTTATCAACTGCATACAAATTTCATGTTTCAATAATGATCATAAATTTCATGTTTCAATAATGATGATAAATAGAGGTAGAAAGATAGAGAGAGAAAAAGAGAGAGAAAAAGAGAGAGAAAAAGAGAGAGAAAAAGAGAGAGAAAAAGAGAGAGAGCGAGAGAGAGAGAGAGAGAGAGGAAGATGGAGAGGAGAGAGAGAGAGAGAGGAGAGAGAGAGGAGAGAGAGAGAGAGAGAGAGAGAGAGAGAGAGAGAGAGAGGAGAGAGAGAGAGAAAGAGAGAGAGAGAGAGAGGGGAGAGAGAGAGAGAGAGAGAGAGAGAGAGAGAGGAGAGAGAGAGAGAGAGGAGAGAGAGAGAAAGAGAGAGAGAGAGAGAGAGTGAGAGGAAGATGGAGAGAAGAAGAGAGAAATAGATAGAAGGGAGAAAAAGAAAGTGATTCTATGTTATATAAGATATCATAGAATATCTTATATGTAGTGATATACTTATATGTAACATTATCGTTCATATATAGCATGCTGTATAAAACAGATGATGTCTCATAAGAGGATATTTTATAAAGTATTGATTACATTCAACAGAAGATAGTACTGGTGTTCAATTGCCATCCTAAAGATTCCTTTGAATACTTTCTAAAGGCTGTTCTTTTTTCTCTGCTGAGTACAACTACCATTGTTAAAATCAAACATAGATTTTCCCTTACCACAATATAAATAAATAAATTAAAGATCTCTCCTATTCTTCTACATCAGTTCAATATCAATATTGATAATTAACATAATTAATTTGAAAATACAATAAACGTAACTGCATTGTGTTTACATATCCAACTTGAAAAAGATTTTTCTCTTTTTTTGCTTGGTTATAAAGTTCCCAATGACGAAATGTTTAAAAGTGTACACTGCTTACCCACTATCAGATCTTATTCAGTTCCACGTTGTGTTGCGATCAGGTGCAATCCGCTGAGGTATTTGCGATTTATTTTTATGTGGCTGCCAGTATCTATTTATATGTTACAAACAAATTAAAGAACAAAAAAGAGACATAATACGACTCGAAATAAAACTAATATAATTTACTTGGTCTACTCCCATCTGAAGGTTAGGTTAGGTTTAGTTAGGTTTTGATCATAAACGTAGAATACCTAGATTGCATCACCGCCGGCTGTAGGATTATTTACTTCGTAACGCTTATGGCCGGCGGAAGCGCTTGGATTATTTCCTAGAATTTACCGTATCGTGACAATTTTTTAATTTGTTATAAAATGTGTTCGGAATTCATGTGGAATTAGCACGTTACTTTCTAAAATTTTTCTTGATGTTTTGGACGATTAAATTTTATATTGTTCTATCTAATCCATATATGCTTCCTTGGTCGGTTCCCTTGAAGAATAATCGACTGTGATTGGTCAATTTGCTTGCGATTTTGAGACTTGTGACTAATGTAAAGGCTCGTCTACAATAGCTGTAAGAGTAAGGCTGTAAGGCTGTAACGTAAGCTGTCAGCGAATGAAAATATTTCATTTTGTGTCTTGCAACCTTACAGCCTTAACCGTTTGAGTCCAAGGGGGGGTATTGAAAAAACACTGTCGAAGAATTCCAAACAGCGCAACCGCGCTTTCTATAAATGAGTATGAAAAGACCCAAGCAGCGCGATAGCGCTTGTTTTATTTTAGGTCGAGAAATACCAAGCAGCGCGATAGCGCTTTGTTTATTTTACATCGATGAATCCCAATCGGACCAATACCGCTTCTTGTATTTGTTAGGTAACGCGATTCTCGTCTTTTTCTCATCGCTTTGTCACATTTATTGTAGTTTGCAAAGCGATCGGACGTATTCTTGCGTAAGTGTTTCTCATTGTTAATAATTGTGTGTTTCAAAATGATTAGACGAAGCAACGGAGCAACGAAGCAAAAGGAATCCATCCAACATGTTTTGATAAACACCGATGTTACAAATTATAATTGTTACTCTCCATTTAAATTATTTGTTCATAACACAAAAATATTGTTAATTTGTAATTCGTTATTTTATAAAATACATCTGTATTATTACATATACGTACTGTAAATTTATAAATATTTCAAGTTTTGTTCGATAAAAATTATTGAGAAGATAACAATAAAATAAAAATTTTTATTTTGTAATGTATTATTGCATTATTATAGTATTATTCTACCTATTGTAAAATGTACTATTTACATTAAAAGGATCGGTGTGATATACTTGCTTCAGTAAATCTGAGCGCGCGACTTCGACAATCGGTAACGCACCGTCAGTTGTCCACAATGATCGAAATGTACTGGGTTTTCTCGACATAAAATCTGAACAGCGCGATCGCGCTGCTTGGGACTCAAACGGTTAAGCTAAGACTCCATGCATGCGGTGAGCTCCGGCAAACGGCTGCGGTGACCAATCAGGAGACAGACGTATGCCGGAGCTTGCCGCAACCGGACTTGCGCCTCCCTCCTGATTGGTCATCGCAGCCGTTTGCCGGAGCTCACCGCATGCATGGAGTCTTAGCTTAAGGCTATAAGGTTGCAAGACACGAAATGAAATATTTTCATTCGCTGACAGCTTACGTTACAGCCTTAAGCTAAGACTCCATGCATGCGGTGAGCTCCGGCAAACGGCTGCGGTGACCAATCAGGAGACAGACGCATGCCGGAGCTTGCCGCAACCGGACTTGCGCCTCCCTCCTGATTGGTCACCGCAGCCGTTTGCCGGAGCTCACCGCATGCATGGAGTCTTAGCTTTACTCTTACAGCTATTGTAGACGAGCCTTAAGATTCTAGCGTTTATTCGACGTGATTCGACGTTTGTAATCATTTAGGATCCACATTACCACGTGTGTAAAAGATCTAAGATAATCCATTTTATACATAAGATTAATCATATTCATTCGATTATTGAAGTTTCAGAAAAATGTCGGATTCCACGTTTGATACCGATTTTTCTAATATATCTTCTGATACACAAATTGATCCACAATTAAATGAACTTTTGGATATTGAGAAGGCAAAATTTGCAACGACTGCACAGGTAAATTATTAAACGCGTCCGTCACTTTTTAAGTGAATTTCTGCTACTTTTGATAATTACATTAAGAGTCGCCTGAATTAGTTTTCCAAAATTTGAAGTTTGAAATATTATATTACACGATAATATTCCTGCCAAGAATAATTTATGTAAGATGGAACTTACATATTGCTCATGAAGCAAAATATATGAAAAGTTTCTATATTTGTTTTAGATTCATGCATTTAACGATATTTGTTGGGAGAAATGTGTCGATAAGCCAGGAAGTAAATTGGGTGGTCGTACAGAAACATGTATCAGTAATTGTGTAAACAGATTTATAGATGTTTCTTTCTTTGTTACCAATCGTTTTACACAATTATTACAAAGTTCTGTAAGAAACTAAATAGTATATAACATACCTCTACAATAACAATGTATCATTATTTTTGTTCAAATACAAATACAAAAAATAACATACATGTCATAACATACAAATTAGAAAAAACTGTATTAGAATAAACTGATGTTTATATCATTTGTAATTTAATACTTTTTGATGAATAGTCATATTAATAAGGTGTGTCTTAACAAAATCAATAAAATAAAATAAAACAAAAAATAAAATTATTTTTTTGTTCTTTCCATTTATAAATACTAAATAATATTAAAAAAAGAAAACCAGTATCTGTATCAGTAATCAAAGTACTGCAAAAAAACTTAGTTGGAAAAATATATATATGTATATTTATTATTTTTATTCGGTTATAACACATGATAAACAAGTAAAATGATTTCTTAAAAATATTACTCTAATATAATACAATGTATATACTATATTGTGAATATTATTCTATATGTATACATATATGTGCGTATGTGAACATGCAGCAGAGTTATTACTGCATTAAATTAGAAAATGTATGTACAATCTGTGTGTGTATTCAGTATCAGAAAGTTACAGGTCTTTGTGGAAGGCACATGTTATAAAATGCATCCTTTTTCCAGAAATCTTTTGTTTTCCACCCACACCATCCTTTGTTTAATATAGTAGGTAAATGTTCTGCACCTGTGTAATGTGGATCTAAAATTAAAAACTTTCCTTCTCCAGAATCCTCGTCGTAACTGACTCCTAAAATTGTGTGAGCCAATACTCCACCACCTATATGATGTCAAAAGATATGTACAGACAAAATTAAGTATTATACTGTTAAGGGGAGAGAAGCAGAGAAAGGAGGAGGAAGAGAAATGCATTTGAAATTTACCAATCATAACAGGTGTACCCTGAGTATCAAAGTGATCAGCCAGTTGTGGAATTAAAGTTGATATCTCCTCTCCGTTTGATGCGCACAATATTCTTGCATCTATATTAAGGAGAGTAGATAGTACAAAATTAACTTCAGTTGAACCAATCCATTGTTTACTGCCAATAAAAGCAGACGGTTTGTCCCCTATATCGACTAAACATTGTTGTATCTTACGATGCGTAGGTATTGGTATATCAGTATAGCCCTGTAATCTGTAGTGGGATAAATTGCAGTTTACTTGTATGTTTATATGAACAATGATATACATCGATGAATATGTTTAGTATTTTATTACCTATACCACGAAATTATGGTTTGAAGAGTCCTGTAAGCACATCCCCATCCATTGTCATCAAAGTTATCTTGCATATAATGATGATACGAATACAAACCATATACGACACTGAGTTTCCCTGTAATACCTAGTTAATGAAAAATATAATTATTTCATATGCGTTTTGTAAAATGGTAGATTTAGATATACAAATGCACACCTTTATATAAAAGGGCTTCGTGAGGATTCATGAGCGTTTCATTTTCCTGTGTATTAAATTTTACAGCGTTCCCACGTCGGAAATACGGTCTTGTTAAATTAAACGCTAAAGCCTTGTGCAAAGCCTTACGATACTCTACTGAAATGATATGACTGGTCTGTATAAAAGCAAATAGATGACATATATTACTGTGATCAAATGTTTGATAGTGATAATTGTACAATACAATATGAAATTGCAAATATTAAAAAGTGAACAGAAATGTATGTAGGAGGAAAATGAGAATTCTTACTTGTGTTGTCACTGGTAAAATTGCCAGGATATGCTATTGTAAATAAGTGTCCGCAACCTTGAGGTTTGAAATGTAATATCTCAGGCAATTTTTTAAACAATTCTGTTTCCTCAGATTGTTTCTTTTGTTGCATCTCAATCAATCTAATATTCCGACAAATAGATTCCACAAGAATCGCATGTAGCTCTGTAGATTTCACATTTAGATTCACCAGTGATAATGCATCAATGTGCAAGTTGCATTCTAGACTGTTAAATGATTCTATAACATAAGCAGTAATAAATTAAAAAAAGAGATTACACATTTATATAAAAATTTACTTTTGATACTATGTAAGTACTTACTTTTGATATGCTGCAGAACAGGAGCATATTTGATAGATTCCTCAGAATTTTTTTCACCTGATATCTTCAATAGCATGTGTGCATAAATAATGTCCTAAAAATTACAAGATTATACATAAAGATATACTTTGATATTATTTTTATTCTGTAATAGTCTATATAAGAATTAAAATTGAAAACATACTGCAACTCCTACATGATGACTCATCTTGTTTGATTCTCTTAAAGATTTTTCACGGTCTTTGGATACAGGTAAAATATCTTTTATCGGTGTATCTTTTAAGTCATCAGCTCTAAAGAGATATACGTTGTTTGTGGGAAAATGTATCCCTATCTTTCCAGATGCAATCTGCAACAATGCAACATGATATAATGTATATATAACATGTATAAAAAATTGGTGAAAATGTTAATTACAAAGAAACTTTACATTTTTCCGCCATTCTTCCAATGCTTCCAATATGTTTTCATCCTGAGCAATCAATGGAAGTGTTGCTTGCAATTTGATGTATACAAATTGCTGATTAAGATCATCTTCACTAATAATAGTGAAATCATTGGTAGCTTCTAATTTCTGATGCATATAAAAGTATGCTTGCACTTTTAATGTACTGTGCGAATATTTTAAAAGCAGTGGATTATCAGTGATATCGATATCCTAGACATACAAACACATATACATGTCAATTTACTAATAAACATGATATATACACATTATTTTTATTTCTTTATAATAATAGACCAACCAAAACACCGATTATAACAGCTTGTATAGCAATGATATTAATTAAATAAATATTACCTTGAACACATCTGGATTTATTTCTTTGCATTCACCAATTTGTAATATACCGCAGCAATATATATCTGCAGGTAAATTCAATTGTAGAGCCATATAGTCAATTAAATTCTTATCTTCGCTATCGTACTCATTTATACTAAATGTTAGTACCACGAGTATATCATTATACATAATACCATAGAGATAGCCAGTTGCTATAGGTTTTGTAGTTTTCAATCGCTGAAAAATATTATTGTGCTTAAATGTTAAAACCATTTCAAATTGTGAAAATTACTAGTGTATTATTGCATTATATCTGATATTATTTTTTATCATTATTAATATATAAAAATACATGTATGGCATATCATTAGAAAATAAATTTATGAAAACCAAGTATTGATTACAAGAGGAAAAATTCATGTAGTAAACAAGTTATAATGCAAGTAATTGTGAAAGCATAAGAAATTTTCATGTAGCAAGGTAGACTACTATTATTAATACGAATATTTTTCATCGGGAAGTTTACCTGCAAAACGTTTGACAAGATCCGTAATTGCAGTGCCATAGTTTCTACTATAAAATCAGAATTATACCTTGAACCGATCAAAAGTACTTTGTGCTATCAACGGGATCAACCGAGAGCTATCTCACCATATGGAAATTGCACGAAATTACAATTAAATTCTCAAGCATGAACCACCTACATTCAGAGGTTAAATCAGATTTCTTCCCGTTGGTAAAGTTCTAAAAAAATGTATGTAACTTAAATTTCTCTATATTATGTCAAATACCACTCACTTTACAGGCCTAAATAAATGAAAAGATCGATGTACGCGCGAATCTGTATGTTTTATATATTAATTAATCTATAAAGGACTTTTTTCTATAACAAACCGTTGGTCATAAATCGTAAGCAAATTGACCAACCACAGTCGAACATTCCAAAACATGATCGACTGTGATTGGTCGATTTGCTTGAGGTTTGCGCCCGGTCCAGAATAAATTGCAAATACCTAGTTACGAGTTGCGAATGGCAACTACTAGTTACAAAGTGCTGTTTTCCGTTGTAAAAAACAGTTGCGATTGCCGGTTGTCGTTGCCAAGAAGTTAAAAGTTGGGCAACTCTCTTTTAGCAACCGCAACTGTCTCTTACAACCGAAAATAACACTTTGTAACTATTAGTTACCAATCTTCGCAACTCGCAACTGGGTGTTTGCAACCTATTCTGGGACCGGGCTTTAACCTCAACCGCAACCAAGCCCAACTTGTAATGGGATACGGCCTTAAAGATCGTTTCATGCAAATTAAATATTTAAAAGCAGCAGACAGTTTTATTAGGAAACTGTTACTTTTACAACGAAGGAATAATTAACAAGTTATATTAAGAGAAAAGAAATGTACACGTTGATGAGGAGACCAAAATAACATTGTAAACTGTTATTTTCACTGCGTTCTCACAGGCAAATAGTTTCAAAGTTCGATTTGCGTTGCAACCATCTCGCGATCTCTGTCGCGATGCGACATAGCCGTTGATTGGCCGTTTGCTGGGGAAATTTCTCCGCGCTTCGGAGGACTCGAGGCGCGACAGGTCGACGACGGCGCTGTAGAAGTCACTAGCGTGCGGAACCGTGCACCGTGAGTGCAACTTCAGGCCTCAGTTATCGTGCGCGAATCAAGGTGCTCTCTTCACACGGTTCGTGCGTAGCAAAATGGCCGTTCGACTTAAGCGAGTGTGACGTTTCTCGACGAGTGGTGTTCGCGTCCGACGACAAGCCGCGCACAGTTTTCCATGAATATTCGCACGTGCGACGCGGTGCCGCAGTGTGTCTCGCGTTCGTCCGCCTCTACGCGGAAGCCAGCTGTTCGCGCGGTCAGAGGTGAGTGCGCGCATACTTCCGCACGGCCGTCTCTCTCTCTCTCTCTCTCGCCGCGAACTTGGGACAGTCTTAGGTGTGTATTTAACCCGCATCGCGTGCGGCGTGCGTGCGTGCGTATGTGCGGCGTGCCCTACGTGCGTACGTACGTGCTCGCGTGTACACAACCCACGAGAAACGTCAGCGCACGTCCGACGCACGACTGACTGTCCATGTCGGGAGTCGGGACGTTCCCCTCGTTACCATCGTCGTCGGCAGCGTCGTCGGGCCGCCACTCGCGACGTTCCACGCGCGTTAGCTGTTACATGTGCCGCAAGTCGAATTCTTTAAACATTTATCTCAGAAACCTCTGTCTATTTCTCGATTGTCCGCTCTCGGCTGAGAACCCTGCTTATGGATATTACGGGCACTTGGCCCGGTGAACGTTAAAATTCCGAGGGTGACAAATATTGTAAACACGCAGATCGTAAGAGAACGCGCGCGAGAGTTTGTTTCTACTGCGGATAATTGGGTCGATCTTTTTACTTCCCCCCCTTTTTTTCACGTCGCCTTTTGCGGTTGGTATTTAAACGACGCGGACGCGACGTACCGTCTGTTTTCCTCATCGACACGTTCGTCCTGCGAATTTCATTACATTCCGGCCCGTCGTGGGAGAAGAAACGCGGGGAGAAACGTAATGCCAGTGTGAATGGGGTTTCTGGTTCATAGATTCTTTCGGCGCGACTCGCTGTAGGCTTTGATTGCGATTCCCCGGAAACTCGATTCTCGCGGCGCGTTCCCTCGGATCGACGGAACTTCGTCGTAAAGTAGGTTTGAACTGTTGACCTTTGAATATTTCACGACGCGCTCTGAATGGCAAAGAATACGGAGCTCGCCGGTGACAAGCATCTGTCTGAGTATTTGTCAAGGTTTGAACAATGTGCCGGAGCCTAGCATGGTCAATATAGTTTTCAGTTCGAACACAGGTTCAACGGGATCGGTACTACTCGATTCAGCTCATAATCTTGTACGATGAGTGTTTGCCGAATATTTGTCGTATTCCGTCATTTCAACATCATAAATTAATAATCAGTTTCAATTCATCAGTCCAATTATATCTGTGTTGTTTATATTCGGTTAGAATAAGTTCTTCCAATTTTACGCAATCGTCCTCATCGTGCGCTCAAGTCAAGTCGATGTAACGACGGAAGAAAGTAAATAGTTTGCCAAAATATTCGTCACATAATGTTACCATTATTTTGGTGCATATGCAAATGTAGGCAACCGCAAAAAGTTCTTAAGGCCGTTCCTCGAAGGACTTTTGATCCAGTGCAGTGAGTCGGAGTGAGATAGATATATTTTCTCTCATTCCTACTTATATCGCACCGGCTGAAAAGTCCTTCGAAGAGAAGCGGTCCCGCGGATTGGCAGAAGGTGTACATTTATGGTAAAATAAGTCGCGCCGTGACGCGAACTCTGCGTCGACGCGATCCTGCCGACTCCTGCAGCCTCTCTCGCGATCGCGCCTCCGGCCGGGGCGCGCTTTTTCGCGTTTCTGCCGCGCGCCGACACATCGCATTGACCCGATTCGATCCGCGGCGAGAGGAAGCTCATACGAGTGATTAATGCGCCACGGACCGGGCGAACCGGCTCGGTCGCGGCGCCCATGTGAACCCGGGCAATTAGCAATTGGCTAATTATACAGTTAACGGGCGATGCGCGCCGCCCGCGATGAACAACGTAGTCGCGCGGCGCTTAATTGTGCGCCGCAAATGGAGCGCTCCTCCTCTTCCACCTCTCCCTCCTCCTCCTCTCTTTCCTACTCGCCGTTTTTTTCCACGTCTCGACGCCGCGACACTTCTCAGCCGCGAATCCTCCGCAGCGCGCGATTTTCTTTTTGTCATCTTCGATTAATCTCCCGCTGCGAGGGAACGGGCACACGACCTTGCCCGAGATGCACTTCGCGACTTTTGACCGCGCGTCCGAAAATAATTTGCGAAAGAGAAACGAGAGTGTCGCTCGCGCAGGGGAGCGCGAAGGCATCCCGAGCGACATTGGAAAAGCAGCGCGTGGGTATCTCGTGTATTTTTATTTTCTGGCACGATGCACGCCCCTTGAGCAATGTTTCATTGTATTTCCCTCACCGCCGTGTCGCGTCGTTTCGCGTTACGCACACTCACTCCCTGTCGCATAATGCTTTTCTTCTTCCTTCGCGTCGGTTATCTCTTAAAGTTACTCGAGATACGAGTGACCACGTGAGGTGCTTTGGCTGATACCTTCCTTCCGTTCTCTTGTTTCAGAAGGCCAATCTTTTCAGAAGATGGATGCTCGATGCAAAGCATAGGTATGCTCCCTGGAAATACTTGACGGTAACTAATCGCCAGACTAATCCCCGCACTTTGCCGAATCCCCGCCTTTGAACGAGACAATGCGGGGGATGGGGGATTAACGTTATAAACGCATAAACGGCGGAAACTAGAAATGTCATGTCCATTACGGTATTAGCAATTCCATTGTCTACTTAGGTACGTTCTAAACTTGGCGCAAAACGCCCCGGCGCGCGTGTATTAATGAGAAATTCGAGAGACGGGAGGAGATAAACGCCCGCTTCTTGTATCGGTTTCAATCCTCGTCCTTACGAGAGAGTGAAGCGCCGGCTGTTTGATCCCGCTATTCAGTAGTAGTGGGTGTCTTTCGCGCGTTTCATGCGTCCCACGATACAATCTCCGGCATCGACGGTCGACGGCGACGTCGACGTCGTCGTACGGTTCGCCTCCGCACCCGCCGACGTCAATTAGCACTCTGAGAACCGGCATGTGAATGAAATATGAAAATAGGATTTGCGAAATACAGGAGTGACAGGAAGAGAGGGAGAGAGAGAGAGGGGGGGAGGGGGAGAGAGAGAGAGAGAGAGAGACATCAAGGTGTGACGTTATTTCCTTAGAAAAGTAGAAAAATGTTCAACACATGCGAGCGTTTACGTTCGTATCGCTAAATGAGACTCCCTTTTAATTGCATCCGTTACATCCATTTTAGGTCCTGGTTAAGAGCGATAGCACACAGTAACTATCTCATCGATGAATGAGAAAGAGACGATTAATCGCGAGGAGTAACTAACCGAAGTAATCTTTCTCAAAAGACACGCGACTAGACGACGGCGATCGACGGCATCTGATAAGTCCTCGCAGTCGAGTTGAGGACATCCTATGCGGTTCCGACGTCATCCTTCACGCCGCCGTCGCTCATAGCCGGAGAGAGAGAGAGAGAGAGAGAGAGTGTCATTCGCGCCTCGACGTGTCAAACGTTGTCGAGAACGAATGTGTACCACAGATTGCCCCAGGAATTCGCGCACGGCGCGTCAGGACACTCGTCGGCGTGTGCAACTTTTCGGAGTGCAACGCGACGCGCGGAGGTGACTAATGAAATTCCGACGTCGGGTCTCCGCCGCGCGCGGTCCCGTTTGCGCATCAGCGAGCTAGCTAATCTGGACTGTCACCGCGACTCGAGGCGCGCTCGCGCGCACGTGCGCGTCCCTCACGAGGCTCGCGTGCGGCTCGACTCGTCGTCGTCGTCGTCGTCGTCGTCGTCGTCGTCGTCGTCGCCGTCGCCGCCGCCGCCGCCGCCGCCGCCGCCGCCGCCGTTGAAAGTTTTCGCTGCGACTCGCGTTGGAAGTTCCCGCGGGCGGGAAGTAGCGCTCGCGGAAGAGCTTGAGGTGTTGGCTCGCCGACGGGTCCCTCTGGAGTGTCGTAGCCCGTAGCGCGACGTCAGATGGAAAACGGTGGGTCACGGTACAGTAACGTGTACTGTTAAAGAGTACGCGCACAACGAGCGCATTCGCCGGGGCGAATCTGTTGCACGCGCCTGCCCGCCTCTCTCCGTCGTCCGTCGTCCGCCGTCCGCTTCCTCTCGTCCGCTGCCGTCGTGCCTTTCGCGCGCCCTTTTACGTTCTCTCGCGGGATATTAATAGGACCGCGGCGCGGTGCGTGCCGGCTGGCCGGCCGGCCGGCCGGCGCGTATGCGAGCGGCAGGCACGAGCCACGCATAAATCGCTCGCGCGAAATCGCCGACCGGCAACGGAGACGGACTCGCTCCGCTGTCCGTCTCCGTCGCGAGCACGATCCTCGCGGATCGCCGATCGCGTGCGAAAGAATGTCGTCTCGTCTGGTGTCCACCGTCGATTAACACGAGATGCATCGCGCTCTCCCCCCCTCCCGCACCCCGATCACGCGGCGGCTCGCGGCTTCTGGGCGTTTGAAGGCCTCGATTTATTCCGGGACTGAAAGACCACGCTTGACGGTACTTCATTTTCGTGTAATCTCTCCTTTCGCTCATTAGAAGCGTGTACCTCCTCCTAGGGACATTTCTGTCATCTTTCGCGGAAATGTATCTCGCGATGCTGCTCGCTCAGGAAAGGCGCTCCTTTATCGTCCCCTTTACTGGAAGCCGTGGGAATCGTGATTATTTCAGTTGTTGCTTGAGTTGTGCCTTGAGGGAGCTCACAGCCGTGTTCGCACGTCGCTGCATCCCGCGGTAGCATCGCGGACGCGAGGAATTTTCTTGTTCCTTTTCCTGATAAATGGAGCATTCCACATGCGAACGTAACCGCGTCGTTTGCGCGAACGTTGGACTATGGTCTGCGGTTCTTCGCTAGAAAGCGCCTCAACGAGTGAGTCACAAGCAACGAGTTCGTAAAAACACCGATGTAAACAGAAACTTCCGAGTCGGCCTTGAAATCTGCATACGAACCGCATAATTATCGTGCCTGCGTATTCAGCTGAGATTAACATGGGCGGTACCGCGCCGCTCTCTCGGTCGGTCCGAGATATTTTATAAGTATGTCGTTGGACATCGTCGTTATACGCGAAGCCACTTGCAGTTTCTTCTCCTTGGATCTCCCGAGGCCTAGCCGAGCGTGCGCGGGAATATCTTACTTTGCCGAACATTCGGTCCGTCCGTTGCATTTCTAGATTCCCGATGAGACTATTTGTTAAAACGGGCAGGACTTTGGTTACTCTGTTGCGCAACGAACGATTGCCCAATGCTAAAAGCGAGTGAAGCGATGCAATTTTGAATCGCAAAGTACTGTCCTCTCTCTTTTATTTTCGTTAGAATAACGAATCAATTTGCAATGTGCTATTTGAGGCAATATAATTAATTTCTTTCGTCAACGCAAGTGCGAACCTAAATTTTCCAGTTTCAAAACTGAACTTCCATTCACATCGAAGTTTCCAAATATTTGTGGTATTCTTTTTATCTCTCTTTCTCTCTCTGTCTCTCTCTCTCTCTCTCTCTCTCTCTCCCGCTCTTTCTCAGTATGATATAATTATATTGATTACATTTTCACGTGCGAGAGACAGACATGTATGCACATATATGGAATGTCCAATCGCTAGAAACGGCGCATTTCCTTTGAATCATAGATAGAGAAGAAAACAGATATTCACAAGGGAACTTCGAAATTAAAAAAAATTATGAAATTTTGTGTTGAAGTAAAGTAGCTCATCCGTAACACAAAATTATTTTTTGCTCGTACGAAATTCCAATTTGAGGGAATGAAACTACCCTTCGAAAAAAAATAATTTTCATTTTCAGCGTATATCTTTTAAAATACGAGGTATATGCAAAAATGGCTTATATGAAAGTTGTAGTGTATACTCTTTGCAACTGTGATTTTGAGATTTTGCAAAATTGAAAAATTCTTGAGACCCCCTTCGCCCTCTTCCAATTTTGCAAAATTAAACTACAACTTTCATATAAACCATTCTTGCATATGTCTCGTATTTTAAAAGATATAAAAATGAAAATGGTTTCTTTTTCTTTTCGAAGGGTGGTTTCACCTCTTTAGACTGGAATTTCGCCCGAACAAAAAATAGTTTTGCATTACGGATGAACTACTTTACTTCTACACAAAGTTTCATAATTTTTTTAATTTCCGGGTCCTCTACCTTTTCCTATCAGGATCTCAGTGTTAACTGCGTTCTCTGTCATTTCGAAGCTTATCGGAGCATCAGTGGTATTATTCGATATGTGAGTCCGGTGATGTCGTCTATGTTGAGTCGATTTCCATCGGTTTCCCTGCGCCTGGTGAAGGTTTAAAGACGTTGGCCGACGGTACGACCGACCTTCCCTATTTTTGCACCTGCCTGACTTGGTTGCGTGCGTGTGAATTTACGTACGCGTGAAACGCCACTTCACAGAGATCCAAATCAAAAGAAAAATATCAGAAACGATCCACACCAAGATTCATGACGCTCCATGCGTCACTCGCAAAGTTCGTCAAGCTCTTTTCATTTCACGCCTTTTCAAGGTGTCCCTAACGTGTTCGATATAATGCTTTCAATTCTTTATCTATATCGTGGACACAGATGGCTCGAGTCATAAACATTTGCAAATTTATAACACGCAACTCTTCCAAGTGCCTCGTTGCACGCGATAGAGCAGTTTTCCAAAGCGCCTTTTTTTCTTCTTGCCTCTTCATGCATGTTGCTTCCGCGGGTATTAACGTCGCGTGCGGTTGATAATAAATTTCATTAGGTTGAAATCTATGTAACAGTAACAGCGGCGGCGGCGGCAGCGGCAGCAGCAGCAGCAGCAGCAGCAGTAATAGCAGTAGTAGTCAAGTCACCTGACAAGTGCGAGGGAACATGTATTATACGTACGCACCGTGCATTCGAATTTAATATTGATATTCAAGGCGTTTCGCGCGCCCGGCGGGCACGATACTGTTTTCTGACTGACAAGCGAAATTCCGCTTTAACGTAGGCAAGTAGTCGGGAATACGGGACACCCGTTGTGTATCTGTAAAATCTGCAAAATTTAAGGCGCTTCACTTTCGTGCTAACGCGCTATCGCTACATTTTCGTTTCGAGTGTTATCGCCGTTATCAGCGACGTCGCGCAAATTATATGCAGACGTCGTCCGCGAAATTTTTACATCTCACACAGGGAGACAGATGCGAGAGAATCCCGCGCATTTGAAAATCCGTCTCTTGTATCCCATATTCCCCTCTCATCGTATCTGCTTACTCACTTATCAGTCTTTCGCCTCGAAATCCTCGGAGTACATGACAGAAATGTGACTACTCGGGCTTACGTAACGGCGATTCACATATTATTATATTTCGCTGCGCAAGTATACGTTTTCGCGTGACATAACTCGCTCGTTTCTCCTTCTCTCTCTCTCTCTCTGTCTCGCAGGCGTCGACCAAGAATAGACTCTCGGTTGAATTATTCAATATTCACCGGTGCGATGGATTTGTTTCTCCTGTTACTGCGCGGCCGATCGTGATACGGATAACGCGAGAAAATCGTTGTCGGATCCTCACAGATCCGAGAAGCATTTCCTTTAAAAGCCATCTTCTGCGTCACGAAGCGTTTCGCACTCGTATACTTCATTTATCTAAACGGGCGAACTAAACAGGCAACTCACCTGTACGTCTCTCGACGTCTCTCGCATTGTCCCGGCGAATTTTATCTCGTCTTTTACTTGCAGCGATTACTTTATTCTATTCAGTTGTTCGGCGCACACACAGTGCGCACGAACGTGTTTGAATATATTTCTGAGTTTGTTGCTTCCGTCGTTGGTAGAGAGAGAGAGAGAGAGAGAGAGAGAGAGAGAGAGAGAGAGAGAGAGAGAGAGAGAGAGAGAGAGAGAAAGAGAGAGACGAATGACTCGCGCGATTCCTCGCGCGATAAATTCTCAATCGGGAATGCATTCCGCATGGAAATCATGTCGCTTAGTCAGGTTCTGATATTCGCGGATCTGCTACCACGCTTATTCGTATTACAATCGTTGCGAAAATAAGCGGCTGTGACTCACCTATCATATGTTCGTATGTACGTTCCATGTACGGCTGTGTGCGGCACGTCGTAACGCGCGGCGGATGAGCATCGCGATGGTGTACGCCTTGAAACAATAGGCACTTTAGACCAACTACCGCTGTATTAAAACTCGCCGCGGCCCCGGCGAGTTATATACGTGCCGGCTGAATATATATCGGGCTTAATTTGCCTAACGAGTTTTATTAATTATCACTTCCTACGGACACTCGCTCGCGGACACGCTGTATATCGCCGGACTAATTGAGACGAGTTGCCGGACATTGCCAATCACTTAGCACCTCGTTCGTCATTCTCGCCGCGCGTTTCCTTCTTTCTTTCGTGAGGAAAGTTGTCTCCTCTCGTCGAGAGTGCTCAAACTTGCAGTTTCTCGGCGCTACTATGGTAAAACCCCGGTTAAAACCGACCCGGGCAAAACTCTGTCGGCGTACACGGCCGCGCTCGACAACTCGGCTCGATTGTTCATGGAGCAGTTGTTGGGATGAGTATCTTGAAATGAACGCGCGTCTCATCGCGCCATTAACGTTATCTCGTTGACGCTATTTCTACTAATTACACGACAAAATTTCTATATTTTCCTTTTTCTTTGTCCTTTGTTCCTTTTTCTTTCTCTTTCCCTTCCCTTTTTTCCCTTTCTCTCTCTCTCTCCTCTCTCTCTCTGAAAGAATTGTCAAGCCAAGAGAGCTCGAAATTTCTCCACCGTTTGCGCCATCTCCTGCGCTACTCGAACGCGAGGCGCGCGCGTCGCGACTCGGCTACGGATGTGGAGAACGCATTCGGGAGCGTTTTACTTAATGAGCGTCCGATAAACGTGTCCCGCTCATGAATGCGTCTCATTCATCTTCGCAGGTTGATAGAGCCTACTGTGGCAGCTGCCATGCCAACATACCACAATGCGGGTGGTGGATACCCGAACGTGTCAGCGCCAGCGCGGCAAGCAAAGCTCGACGGCAATCAAAATCATCATACTATCCCTTCAAACGTAACGTCCCATCCCCTCATACAAAACAGCACTCAGCAGCAGCACAGCGTACCTTCCAACCTGACTGCAGGTAACATTCCGTCCCACCCAGTATCGCCGACAATGACCACGCACTCGAGTGTCACCGCCCCGAATATCACGACGCACATGAACACCGCCGCTTCGACGCCGGTGATCCTTACCTCAAACGCGATTAATCCGGGCAATACCACCGCTTTGCCGGTCAATCCGAGACACGAAGTGAAGCTGAATGCTATGCCGTACGTATCATTTATATCGCTGCTTAGGCGAGCTATAGTTGTATATATACTTGTATGCAAGCGCGACAGTCGACACGGACAGAGCAACGTTGTGTCGCGCTCCGGCGTTTCGTTTCGAAACTTCACGAAGCAGCGGTACGCGTGAAGCTGAAGTTTATTGAGAGCGCAGTTTGAGAGAAGACACGACGGACTCTCTCTTTTGGTCGACGGTCGTCTTCGCACGACGGAGATCCGTGCGAACGATGACGATACGTGACGATCCATGACGGATACCTCTTGTGACCTCAGATGGTTCCATGGAAAGATATCGAGGGAAACTGCGGAGAGGTTGCTGCGGCCGCGCGAGGACGGCCTATTCCTAGTTCGAGAGTCCACCAACTTCCCCGGTGATTACACGCTGTGCGTGTGCTACCAAGGTCGCGTGCAGCACTACAGGGTGAAGTACAAGAACAACCAATTAACGATCGACGACGAGGAGTTCTTCGAGAATCTGGCGCTTTTGGTCGAGCATTACGAGCAGGACGCGGACGGTTTGTGCACGCAACTGACCAAGTCGCTGCCGAAGCAGGGCAAGCAGGACTTTTGCGTGGATCCGAAGGCCTTCGTCGAGGCCGGTTGGGTGATTCAGACTCACGATTTAGAATTAAGAGAGTGCATCGGAAAAGGGGAGTTCGGGGATGTGCTGTTGGGCGTTTATCGGGGGGAGAAGGTTGCGGTGAAAATGCTGAAGGATAACAGCGAGGCGGCGCAAAGGTTTCTAGCCGAGGCGAGCTTGATGACCTCGTTGATTCATGACAATCTGGTTAAGTTACTCGGTCTCGTTTTTAATAATCAACACATGTACCTGGTTACGGAATATATGAGCAAGGGATCTCTGGTGGATTATTTACGATCGAGAGGCCGGCTGCACGTCTCGAAGAAGGATCAGATTAACTTCGCATAGTACGTATGCGCGCGGAGGCGCGCGCCTATCGTAAACCGCCACGTAATTCGCGCATTCCATTTATTGCATATTTAATGTTGCAGCGATACGTGTGCCGGCATGGCGTATCTGGAATCCAGACACGTCGTGCATCGAGACTTAGCAGCGAGGAACGTTCTGGTGGCTGAAGACAACTCCGCCAAAGTGTCCGACTTCGGCTTGGCGCGGGACGAAAACTTTTCTCTCGACGGCGGGAAGCTGCCGATCAAGTGGACTGCACCGGAAGCTTTGAAACAGAGCGTAAGCATGCGAATCATGCGTCAGATCTGTGTCACGGGCGGGGACGACGAGAGATGCGGTTATATAATTATGTATTATATTGCTGTTTCCAGAAGTTTTCAAACAAGTCTGACATGTGGAGTTTCGGAATTCTTCTCTGGGAGATCTACTCCTTCGGTCGCGTGCCGTACCCGCGAATTGTAAGTGACGCTGTGTTAACACCCAAATATTTCATACACGCACTCGGTGCACGCTTGGCTCACGATACGATTGTGCATTGTAGCCCTTAGCCGATGTTGTGAAGTGTGTGGAAAAAGGATACAAGATGGAGCCACCGGACGGATGTCCTCCGGAGGTTTACGATATTATGAGACAGGTAGATATGTGAAATTTTAGTCTGTCACATACACACGCGCGCGCGCGTTATTTGCTGTTGACATTTTATATTTCTCGTTGATATTGTTTTACCAAGTCATGTTACATTTGCCCTTTGGTAGGCATGGGATTTGCAGCCAGAAAAGAGACCGAGTTTTCACGACATAAAAGTGACACTTGGCCAGTTGAGAGCTGAGTACACCAAAGGCGTGAATTAAGGAGAAACTTAATACAGTTATAAACGAACTTAGCGAGTCAACGCGGGACTGAGTAATATGACCGAATAATTTCTGAATTTTTGAAATAAAGGTAGTGATTTTGAATATTTTTATTAGAAAGAACGAAATGATGAAAGGAAGGAAAGAGAGAGACACGACTTCTATTGTACATTGTATACAAACATAGTATTCGCTTTGCTTATATTTATTGTTACTTTAGTTTTGGAGAAAAACGGGAAGAGTTTTAATTTTTATATAGCAATATTTTGCACAAGCATTACCTACGTCAATCGTGCCTTTGTCCAAGTTGACGTTCTCGACTAGGAAATTCAACTTGCGCATGTGAAATCCGGATATATTCGGGAAGAAATCAACAAAAGATGCATAATACCCGACATTAATCGCCTACTATTTAACTTGTAATAGCCATGTCTTTTCAAAGTCCATTATGGCGATGGTAAAATTCTCTCTCTGCTCTGCAACGGTTCTTTTTTTTTTTCCCCTAAGTGATCAGTCTTTTTACATTGCAGCACAAATACAACTCACACTGAATTAAGGTTAGATCAGCTATTGTGTGCATAACGTTACATTATATTCTATGTAATTTTGTCCATTTTATCTTGAGCAATGGACTCCCCTCCCCCCCATTATTTCGTTATTTGTTGAAATTCCACGAGAAACTTTTAGTTGAGAAGTTTGTATTATTAAAAATGTATAAGTTTTGCTTCAGCAACTATAGGTTTCGAATACTTGTTTAGTTATTTAAGCTCTTTGATCAAAGATTTGTCGTAGGAAGTATTAATTTTTAACTAAATTATTGCAATTATTTTTGCGCACCATTATTTAAGTTGTCTCAATATATTCGACTGCATTAGTGGTGTAAATGTATCTGTAAATATTTTTGTACATATTTATCCATCGAAAAATATTTCAAGAACAGATGATATTGGTTGAGATTTAACAAGAATTGTCCATATCTTTTTTTCTAGATTTAAGAATGATTTGTACTACGAACGAATGTCTGTACACACAATCGCACCACGCCAAAAAGGAAAAAAAATGATTATCACTCGTCGTTCGTTATCCATATTATTGACGATTTTATAGATGGAGTAGTATATTATTCGCAACATCATTTCTAATCTATGCTTCATTTTTACGAAATATTTTTACGAAAGATTCTGCCAACAATAACAACGGACTAATCATGACTGTTTGACGGCCGTATATTTCTCTAAACGGTAGCTGCAAGCTACGCGGAGAAGATCAAATATTGTTTATTCTTTAAGACGCAAGCAGCGAGCAACATGGTCTGTAAAACTGTAGATATATTAAATACAATTAAAGAAAAATAAATTTTTCCTAAATTAAATATCGAGATATCTAATATGTGTGTGTGTATGTGTGTGTATGTGTGTGTGTGTGTGTGTGTGTGTGTGTGTGTGTGTGTGTGTGTGTGTGTGTGTGTGTGTGTATGTGTATGGGTGGGTGGGTGGGTGGGTGGGTGTGTGCGCGCGCGCGTGTATGTGTATGTGTATACACACACACACACACACACACACACATACGTAGCAGTCGCGTAAAGTTGCTAAACATTGCTAATGAAAAATTGATATTGTATTATGCGACGCTATGAGTATGCTCTTTTGGAGGTGTGTATTCGGTTCCTCGAATCGAAATCTTTTATAATAGGAACAGAGACTATTGCGACTGATTGAATATTTCACAATAATAGGTTCGATCTTTCTTCTGCAAGTATCTTCTCTCGGTCTGCAGTTAGACGTAGTTCTGTAAGAAATCTAGCATATTTAATTTAAGCACATGGTCCGTTTGTAACTTTGATATTACGGTATATACTGTCGAGGTACACGTGCTAATAACACGTATCGATATGGCTCTAATTGATACTTTGGATTACTTCTTCATTACGAAGTTCAATATTTGCATGTACTTGCAACTTACCGAACATAAATTCTTCCAGACGTGATTTCATGTCATTGCTCCACGCCAGTGTTTCATCTCCATTTTATACACGATACTTCGATCCAATGTAAAACATCTTGTTATTCATTGAAGAACATTATAGGACAGTTTGTGTGTGGTGTGTGACATTGTTACTTGTATCTTGTATGTATTTTGATATATGTACACGGGTTTCCGTTGTTGCGATATTAGTTTTCTTACAGCAATATGTTAAATCCGTTTATCTTCTACCGATAATCGCGCTCGATTATATAGGATGTAAGAAATCTAATATATAAATATATGCTGAATGATAAATTAGATCGCAAAATCGCGCGAGGGAATTCAGTCGATACTTCATATGCATGTGTTCACGTTGTAAGCAGAATGGACTACGTGTCGATTTTGATTGCGAAGTATGTGTGGAACACGTGACAAATACGTTTTCCATTCTCGTTCGTTTGCCGAGGCCTGAGGACGAAAATGACGCGAGACTCTGAAATTTATCGTCGCACTGTTACTACGCCGCAATTCTAAAGATTCTCATTAGACAGCTATAGCGACGAATAGATCACTCTGTGAAACGAAAGAATAAAAGTTATTAATAAAGGAAAGAAGTTACACTGTGTACACCCGGTGGTTTGCTTGCTTTAATTAACCTTCCAGCGATGGAATCGTAAATAACATGTTTTTGTAACTTTCGGCGATTTAGCGCTCGTTAGTTATTGGATATTAGTATAAACACGCGCGCTACGCGGCTCTCCCGCACGCATATTCGTATTTATTTCACTTTGCAGTCTGAGATAATCATAAACATTTATTACGTGTTCGTTTATTGCACGCTCTTTCTGTTTAGTAAACACGTTATTTTTAATGTCATGTTCTGCATACGTTCATTTAAAATCTGTTTTTCTTGCGACCATTATATTGTTTCAAGTACCTCGCGATCTGTTCACCCCTGTATTTTTCCGTTTCCAGTTCTTTTCCGTTATCATTTCCGTTCCGTTGTCGCGGCCTTCCGATAATGTCCAGAAATTTTTCGCTGCCGTACAATTTAGATGCTTCTCTGCGTCTTGATCATTCCTACACGCTCGTCGCGCGTCTCTCGACAGAACTCGAGCTGCTCCCGCGTGTTTCAATAGAGAGAAAGGACGCGGATGACCTTGCAGATTTGTGGATTTTTTTCAATCGACTTCGGACGCTCACAGAAGGCTTCTCTGAATCTTGTCCGGATGCCTGAAATCACGTCAACGTGTCAACGTTTCATCGATAAATATCTCGTGTCGGATTGTTATCGAGTGTTTGGTATTACAATAATTTGTCCTTCAAGTGTATTCTCCTGCGGCGGAGATTATATCAGATAAATTTGTACCGCAAGAATCGTGTTCGCCGCTTCTGGAGATTCCTTGACTCGGATTGGAAGAATAATGCAAGGTGCTAGCTGGTAGGTCGTGATTAACTCGAAACGAACGCGCACCTCGGGACGATTTCTCTTTAGCATGTGAACTTGTTAAAAGCTTTCACGTATATAACATCGCGTCGTAACTCTCGAACATCTCCTGTTCAACGACCTTGCCTTATTGATAAAGGCCGTTGCCGATAACGGGAAATATTTCCGAAATAAAACTCTCGTCATGTTCCACGTTGGTAGAGAGATATACGACGGCGCGTTATCCTTGCGTGTAAAAAGTGCCCGATGTATCTCCTCTGAGACACGGTCGCAGCGAAATATATACGTTTAACAGTCGTAATTCCCGCGTTCGTTATCGGATTCAGACTCGGATAACTTCTACGTTGTCCCCGTTTTTCTCATTATCCGCGCGCATTTACCTTGACAAGATTTACATTGGATTGTGTGCTTTTATATCCGATATCTTTGAAGAAATTATGCGAATCTTATACATCTCGACGTGAGTAGCGCGTCTATAATCCAGATTAAGTACGAATTACAAAATATCTAAAAAGAAGTACCGCGAAAGATCATTTATTCCTGATTCTTTCAACCGAAGAGAAAGACGTCGGAAGAAAAGAGAAAGAACTGACAAGGTTAATTTTCGGAGACCTTCCCCTCTGTAAATAATTTAACCCGAGATAAATCGAGAAATCACCTGCCGCGGATTCGCGCAAATGCTTCAACGGGGGAATGTATTCTCTCCTAACGACGCGATGGGTGTCTTGTTACCTACTTTGGTAGCATCAATGTCAGACGTCGTTTGACATTGATGAACGCAGAACCTGGAAGGATCCGTTCTCTCTGGCAACGTATTCTTGGCATGATCTTCTTCGGTAACGTCGCGCGCGTGTCTCAGAGGGATTGTCTGATCGAACTGTATTCGTGTAATTTTTCAACATCCGGCTGAGCGGTATCCGTCACCCCTTCACTTGTTGCTATTTTCTCGTCGACTCGGGAGTCGCTCTCTTTGACATTCACGGTCCTGGTCGTCAGCAACGAAGCGATATGAAATCTGCTCTTCTTCCGGATTCCGCCAATTGACGGCTCATTCGCGCTTCCCTCTGTCACTCTGGTCATCGACTGCGCGACTTGACCGTTTCTACACCCTTCTATGCATCTCCGTGTTTTTTCCTCTTCTGCTTACTGACGTAACTCGTTGAGGTGCGTGTGTCGACGCTGTGCTGACGTTCGCTTTGTTTCCTGGGCGCTTCAAATTCGATCGTCGTCATCGCAGCCTTTGTCTCTCCTCGCGTGGTACTTGGCGGTGGTGGTACTCTCAGCCGCTACGTCGTCCTCCTCCTCGATAGCCTCTACTATTTCCTTTCTTGAAATCGTAATTTCGATCACTGCTTGTTTTTCGGCCTGTCGCAGATCTGCCGATCCAAGGTCCTCCGGACCCTTCCCGATCGCCGTTGTCCGATCGGCGGCTCACAAACGTCCCGCGGCGCATCGATCTTCTCGCTGAGAGTAATTGTATCGCTCCCTGATTCCATTAACGTCCTTGCTGATTCGTAGTCGGCGACGTTGACGCAGGTTTTGATCAATCAGCGTTTCTCGCTTCACCCTCGTGCAGAGGGTCCTCTGCCACGACGGCGAGTTCTCTCTTGCTCCCGTGAGCTGAGCTCACACGATGACGTCCGTTAGACATCCGACGGACGCTCGATGACGACGCCAGCTTCGCCGAGGAGAAGGATACATCCTCGCGCGTTTCCTCCTCGCGTGTCCTCACGACTCAGCGTCGTCGCCGTCTCGTATGTCCCGACGATCTTCGCAGGCAGTTTTTCCTTCAACCCCGCCGACGCTCTCCTCCGACTTGGTGTTATCGCAGACGCGGCCCGCCGACACCTCCGTGCCAGGACGATCGCGATCAGTCTCGGTTGATCGCTCCGTCGCGAATCGAACGGTCCCCTTGCTCGTGCTCCGCTCGACAGTCGTCTCGCGACGAGTCTCCGTCGGGAGTGCGGCTTGACTGGCAGTCTCAGGATTACCAGCTGGACACGGCTGCTTCAGCAGCAGCAGCCGCTTGGGACTCCGCCGCGGTTTTGCGGCGAAGGGATCGGGCGACGTGTCCGGCGGCAACGAGCCGCACAGCCTCGTCCGCGGCACCTCGAATCTCAGCGAGTAGCACGGCTCGGAGAATTGCTGCACGATGCGCGTCGACAGGGTCGGCGCCGGCAGCCTCGCGCACCGTCTGCGCTCGAACTCGGCCTCCACCTCACGTATCTTGTTCTGCAGATTGTTCAGCCGGGTCTCCGCGATCGCACGCTGCGAACGGTAAGGCGCGAAATTCACGTTCACCCGCTCGTCGCACTCCTTCTGCCGCAGCGCCGACAGCAAGTCCCGCAACTCCGGGTCGGACTTGAGCGCAAGGATCGTGGGGTCTATAGGCTCGGTCATCATCTTTGGTGGCAGTCGTGGGCAAAAGACGCGTACATTGAGAGTCGAGAGAGAGAGAGAGATGCGATGTGATCGTGTGTAAGCATCAAGATGACATTGACACCGGACGCGAGATTATTCTACATCGCTATACCTCCAGGCCGACTCCCTGAGTCTCCATCAGCCTCTGATTGACGAGGCCCTCGACCTGCGCCTTCAGCAGATTCATCTTCAGCTGCACCAGCGTGAGGATCGGTATAACGTTGGCCGGTGGATTGGCCGTCATGTGCAGGTTTATCAGCGCGTTCACCTGCTGCGCGTTTCTCGACTCCGACAGCAACTGATCCTTCGTCAAGGCGTTAATGGCCTTCTGCGCCCTCGCCATCGTGTCCTCCGTCGAGGTGGTGACGCTCGAGCCGGGGATTTTGCGTAGCACCAGTCGCGTGGCGGCGCACGCTATGATACCCTGCATCGACAGGAACTGCGACGCCAACGCCTGAAGATGTAACGAGGACGGGCAGTTTCTCCTCGAGCAGATGGTGTCGTCGGCGCTCGGCGCGCAACGATGCTCGTCTTGATCGACGCCGTAGCTGCAGGCACCCCGAGCGACGTGTCTGCTCTCCGAGAGCGAGTCGACGTCCGTCCTTCGGCAGCAACCGCAATTCTGCGTCGTTTCTCTGGCGCGAGTAAACTGGTCGCCGAAAGGAAACGGTATAGGATAAGGGTAGAAAGGTGGCGGGGGGTAGCAAGCGGCGGGATAAGATAATCCGCTCGGTGAATACGCCGATATCGGCGAGGACGTCATCGCCTGCGGCGTAGGGATCGTGGACGGCTGCTGCTGCTGTTGCTGTTGCTGTTGCTGCTGCTGCTGCTGCTGCTGCTGCTGCTGCTGCTGAGGCGCCGGCGATTGCTGACAGTTGCCAGGCAGGATGAAGATGGGCGCGGCGTTACTAACGCACGCACGAATTTGATCCAAAATATTCAACGGCAGCTGAGCACAGCTGGGAGGATTCGGCGGCGGCGAAGGGTTGCAAGGGCTCTGGAAGGCGGAGGGCTGGCACGGACTAGTTATTGCTTGCGCACCCGGTGTGCATTGGTGTGCTACTATGTAGGGGTCTGGCTGATAAGCGCGACCGGGGGGTCCTTGGATAGATAGAAGTCGGAGTTAAGAGCAAACAAGCACATCATTTAGGAGATTTTGTTTAATTTTTTTACCGCAGGAAATAACTGTGAGCGGATGTCTCATAAAAAAAAAAAAGGGAAAAAAATTCATATTTGTCGCAAGCATATGAATAAATGTATATTAATGAATGTATGTGTGTATATATGCGCGCGGATATTTTATTTTTTAATATAAATGTATGCATTTTGATGAAATAACAGAGAGAGAGAGAGAGAGAGAGAGAGAGAGAGAGAGAGAGAGAGAGAGAGAGAGAGAGAGAGAGAGAGGGAATGTTTGCATGTGGATACATGAATAGTTCGATAAACGTATAGCCATATACGGACGAATGTAGTTCAAGTTGAAATTATTTGTTGCTTAATTTAACGTTTGATTCGTACAGTCGACTTTGTACCTTGAGAAAGTCCAAAACATGGACCGCATGCTGCAGTTTGCATCTGTTGAGTATTAGTTTGCCGTTGTTGACATGTCGGAAAATTATATTGACTCGTCTGAACAGGTACATTCTGACAGGGCGTGACCTGTGACATCGAGGCCGCGTTACAAGGTAAATTAATCATCGATAACGGACAGGGGTTAGACCATTGATTTGCTTTAGCGAATTTAGATTCCGGTTGCAGCTGCTTGGCCCATTTATTCCCCACCGTGATCAATAATGCATTATTCCGCTCGGTATGAGTTTACTCGCAGTATAAGAAAATTGCATTACTTGAAAATTTGGATTTGAGATGTGAATAATGGAAATGTCAAGCACGAGTTGTTCCGTGCTTCCGTCGGTGGCTCGTTAAGACTTGAAGTTGCAGCGACGCGTTAAAATATTTGATCGCTTATTTATATATTGTTTATACATCGACGCAGATTGACGTGCGGTAAAAAATTGCGCATTGTTCCAAAACGTTCGAAGAAAGATTCCTTCTGTCTCAATCGAGAATATGTGTGTGTGTGTGTGTGTGTGTGTTTGTTTATTTATATGACAAATACACAAGAGAGTGTACTTACACACGCTCTTATATATTTGTTGATCCTGCTACATCTTTAATTCCGCGCTCTTAAACTGTTTGGAAACTTTTCATAAAACGTCTTCCGTGGGCGTCTTTGAAGCTTCAAGTTCTCCGCGACTTGGAGAGAGATAATTTTTCTGTCACCGCGGTTAAAAGAGAAGTCCAACGCTCGCGCGTCAACCGGTTGCGATAAATCCGTTTAGTTATATGGATCCGATTAGAGTAAGTAATTTCTTTAACGAGGCTAATCTAACGCAATTTAAACTTACCTCCACCTTTCTCACGGTCGATACCTTTTTCCGGATTAAATGTCGATGAAAATATACTTAACTGCGACGACGGAGAAGAGAGAGAGAGAGAGAGAGAGAGAGAGAGAGAGAGAGAGATGGCTACGGGCTACGGCTCTAATCGGTTCGTCACGTCTCGACGTAAACTTGTTTGTGACGTCGTTAAAAGCCAATGAAAGCCAGCTTCGTTATCTCGAGAGTGGGAGATACGGTGTGCGCTATGATTCTCCATGCAATGCCTCATTCATTACGTGCTGCTGGTCCCTCGTAACGCGGACGTCGCTAAATAGAAGGCCGTGGTAAATACTGCGATATCGTGCGACTGTTATTACGCGCGCGTGCGCGACCTTTCGACGACGCATTCCACGAATGATAATACACATACGTATCAACGATCGGCCATGATGGTGTGCTCTCAGTGAATGACTTAGTGAGAAGAAAACGTCGCTCCGGCGATTTGTGTCATTTGTATTCCGAGAGGAAAGACGTCGTAATTGGAGTTCGTTGCTATTGAGAATCGTTGATGCGCCGACTACCACCGTTTCCCCTCGAAATTAGCTTCAAAATCCCGCTGGAACATTCCAGGCACTTGTATCCCCGATCCTGCACAGCGGCCGAAGTTTCTCGTGTCATCGCGTGTCATTCGAGCACGAGCCGGAAATAAGCCGTTCGTCTTCTCGCGAGACCCTTTGTCTCGTTGCTGAAGCAAATAACGTGGCTGGAATGTTCCCTCTTTTTCCCCTGAATTATTCCAACGCTCGGCGACTCGCGTTGCACTCGGTGACAATTTCGTGACAATAAACATTATTAACGCGCCGCGTTGTCGTCGCGACAACGTTATTAGAGTGAGCACGCGTGCGCGTAAGATAAAAAAAAGAGAAGGGAGGAAAAAGGGAGAAAAAATTGCTCATAATTCTCGACTTTCCGGCTTTAAGCGCGCTCGCCAGTGCCGGTGTCCTTAATTGCTGCCGTGTTTTATTACAGCGATATTATTTTCCCTTTCGCCATGGCCGACCCAGATTCCGGGGGGAAGCCGACTCGCCATCCGCAGCAGCGGAGCGTCGACTTCATAAGGCGGGAATTGATACCGGAGATGGTCCACGATCGTTGTTTCTGCGAGCCCGGCTCCAGGGAATTCGTCGAGTTCGATTCCGCCGACGTGGAGCCTCTCGATGTGGACGGCTGTAGCACGTCGAGCACGTCCTGCGAGCTATATCGCGTGATGGCGCGCGTGAAATTCTCCGGCGAGACGCGCAGCTTCCCTCTCATTGTCAAGCTGCCGAAAAATTCTGCCGACTGTCCGCTGCCCGCCGCCGCCGCCGCCGCCGCCGGCTCGTTCCAGAACGAGGAGATGTTTTACAGCAAGATGACGCTCGAGTACGGCACGGATAGCGTCCCCAAGTGTTACCTGTCCGACTTGGGTCGATACGGCCAGCCGGTCATAGTGTTGGAGGACCTCGGCGCGCGGGGTTACGTGCGAGTGCATCGTAAATTGGACGAGGATCATCTGAAATTGTGCGTGAAAGCTCTGGCGACGTTCCACGGCAGGGGATTGAGATTGAGGGCTGAGAAGTTGGCCGTTTTCCGAGAGTTCTACGCGAAACTGTCGGACACGTGCTTCGATGACGATTCCGTCGAGCGTTGTCGGCGAAACTGCGCCAGGTAAACCGGTCGGTTCGCCTTGTGTCGTCGCTATGTTTTACCGTATTAAAAATAACAAAACTAATTACTACACCAATAAGTGCACGCGCACCTGAATCTGAACGCGCCGGCCTGAACGAACGTATATAATGTATAAAGTTGCTCGCGTTGCTCGCAGGGTGCTGGACGTCTTGAAACTGTTGGCCGAGCCAGCGCTCGTGGAAAAAATCCGAGGGAAACTCAGCGAGAGCCCGCTGGACGTAATGGAAAGTCTGGCCAGGGAGATCAACGACGTGTCGACCGTCTGCCACGGTCGTTTCTCGCGGGATAACGTGTTGTTCAGATACGAGAGCGGGAGGCCGAGCGACGTAAAGGTGATCGATTGGCAAACAATGAGGTACTGCTCGCCGGCGATCGACCTGGGCCTCGTTCTCCTCGCCAATCTGCCTGACGCTGAAGTAGCAGAAGTCGGGCCATTCTGCCGGGATATCATGCGGCTATATTTAGACGCCGTGATGCGCGAGTACCCGCTGATGGACCGCGACCTTCTCGAACGAGACGTTATCGCCAAGTTGCTGTTTGCATACGTCGTCTTGTGTACCGACGAAACTATCGCGGACGTCGAACTGCTGGCGATGTTGCGTGCTCTCGATGAACTGACTACCTTCGATTGAAACGGCTCCTTTGTACCTTGTACCGGACACAGGCATCTACCGTCTCATCCCTTTTTCTACTCGAATTCTCTATACTCGAATACTCTTGGAATAAATGATCGTGTCAAGGAACACGTTTGAGACTCTCGCGACTTTTATCTCAACGTCCGCGCGAGAAGGAGCATCATTGTTTGGACGATTGGACAAGGAGTACGGACTAACCGCTTCGTAACGGACGTTATTAGTATTGTTCTCTCGAGCGTAATGGCATAAATTAACAAGTCGCAGTATATACGACGTTATAAAAGCTGCTTCGTTTCCCTCTCTCTCTCTCTCTCTCTCTCTCTCTCTCTCTTCGTCTCGGTGTTTCCCTTCGAATAGCTCATTACATTTATACTGTCGAGATTGGTTCGTTTCGTTTTTCTTCTCTCAAGAGGGGCACATGTACCGCGCGCGCGCGCGCGCGCTACAGCCGCTGCGATATATAGCGTCGCTGATGCACGATGAAATGCAGTATGGCTCTGCTTGGAAATGTAACTCCATATTGTTGCTTCGGATTACGTTGCTCTCGACGCTGATTACCTAGTTTTATATTTTGAGATTTATATTCGCCGTTCATTCGCCCCTCGGGCTTGTATGTATAATTTGCATTATGAATTTCTCAAAATCTCTGTTAGGATAATTGCGAGATATGGAATAAATGGTTACGTAAAGAAACACGTCGAAAGAGGGAAAGGGAAGTCGGAAGCGGGAGGGGGAAAGAGAGAGAGAGAGAGAGAGAGAGAGAGAGAGAGAGAGAGACACACGTTTATTGGAGCATTATTTTAGATTACAATTGTAATTGTAAACTCACGAGCGATACACGTCATCTCGTAAAGTGCGTGATCGAATCTCGCGCGATAACAAATTGAATTTAAAACATTGCCCGTAATGTTTAATCAGGACGCATGCATTTCCTCGATATCGCGGATACAATCACTCGGACTGGAAAAGAATTATAATCTTGAGGGGAAACGCGCAACCATGGTCGAGTAGCGCAACCTTTGCTCAATTCTCTGCCTTCTCTGAATCACCTCGCTTATTGTTTCGTAAAGAAGTTATAAAATTGTCGAGCGATGTTACCGTGACTTTCGTTCACTCCGGCACTCCGGTACTTCTAGAAGATTGCGCTTGAAGTCTCATTGGTTGGCGTAAGGGATACGCTCGCTGGTGCGGAGTGGATAACCAATATATAACGGCCAACAAAAAGATGAGGATGAAGGCAGAGACGAACATCCGTCTTACTCCACAAGTGGACTTCACTGCGGTCGTTATGATGGGAGCGCATGCCGACAGGAGTTCCTTTGACGGGACGCATTCCTGCACTCTCGGCGGTGCACCGTGGTTGCCGTTGCACTGGCAATGCGTCTTCGTCGATACCCACCCCATTGGGAATTGGTAAATTTGGACGTTTCCGCGCCGAAAAATGTGGCACGGCTGGAATAAAAATAGAAAAATTGGCACCGGATTAAGTCGAAAGCCGGATCATTTTGTTCCGGACATGTCAGCAGGTCGTGCTACTTTCTACGCAAATCGTCTCAATCGATTATACACGTATACTCGATAAACAAACTCAAAACTCACTTCAGCAGATATAATAGTATCGCAAATTTAGGTGACAGAAGAGGAATCCTTTAAATATGCAATAAATTGATCCGATTTAATCTCGTCGGATTAATGCTGAAATTGCGGTTCTCCGTTACGAACAAGAAGAAGAAGAAAAAGAGAACGAGAGAGAGAGAGAGAGAGAGAGAGAGAGAGAGAGGAGGGGGGGGAGAGAAAAAACTCACGTCTATATTTTATACTAAAATGTGAAGAAACACAGTCGAGGGTTTTTATAATCTGCCAATTCGAGGCTACACGATAGAATCGCCCGGCTTTTGTAGCGCGAGTTTCAATTCTCCTATTTCGGCTTTCCAGCTCGATCTATTTTATTAATGAGCCGACGTGCGAACAAATACAAATGAGACCATTCCCATGCGCAATGTTACCGCCGCGTCAGGTGAATATATCCGGAGGTGACCGCCGCGCGCCGCGCAGAGAGATTTGCGACGGTTCGGAGAATCGTCCGTTGCAGAAACGGATAGAGTCAGAAGTTAGGAATTATGTACATAGTTGACGACTCCCTTACGGCTTTGGCGTTTGTCTATCTCGGCGCTACGGAACAGATGTTTGCGGCATGTTGATCGCGGTCCCGGCACATATACGTATAGAACACACCGGCGCTTCTTACGCAGGCATAATACATTCGACTGCGTTTATGTTCTCGCCTCAACAACTTGCCAGGCATGCCGACGCTTCAGTCTCACAACCGCTGAATTTAGCCTTTAGATGGATCGTTTGCTTCGCCGCCGCGCCGCCGCAGAAAAACAAATTATGCACGTCGCGCTCATCACTATCGTCTCTCGATCTTCTCCCCTTCTTCTCACTCTCGCAATTGATCTCTTTTTAACAATTTTAGCAATTCCGTCTCGGTTAGCGTAACGATAGATTTCCCCGCGCAATCGCAGAACCGTGATAACAATTCGAATTTAATGTCGCTTCCAAAATAAAACTGCATCTCATGCGCGCGCGGTTTCGTGCCGTTGCAAGTTTAAACCGGTCTACTTGATGATAAATTGTGACAAGATTGTTACTTAATGTACGATCGAAAGAGGTATTTTCGGGCATAATAATAGACGCAACGCGACTTTACTTTACGATCATGCTGCATTCTCGTTATTTAAGGGGACTGGAGAGTCAGATTGCTGAAAAATCGTGCTTGTTTTTGATAATATTTTGGGTAAATATTTAGAAGTACACAGTCAGCTCCGATTTTAATGACGCCATTCGACGCGTTTTTGCACGAGAAACAACTTTTTCCTGTGGCAAAATCGTCGCTCAGTTCCGCGAAGCGAGATATGAAGCAGATCATAATTCAGGTTAGGAAAGCTATTATATCGATGAACTTTGGCATAAACATAAATATGCCTCGTAACTAATTCCGAGTGTTCCGTGACCTTGATGTTGACATATCTAAACCGATTGTGATATCGTTCCTCAGTAATACATTCGTCGCCTGGAGAAGTGCGTGTATTCGTCTATTATTCCCGCCAATAATAGCAATTTCTTAACACGACATAAACATGCCTCGTAACTAACATAAACTTCCCGAGTAATATGCAAAAAGTTTTAGTCCGTGTTCACTGTTCGTTAAAAAGTTATTAACAAATGAAGTTAGTGATAAGAGTTTGCACCGAGCATGTGTACACACACACACATATCGAAGGGGGCGTGCGGGGGGCCTTCGGCCCCCCCGCACCCCCCCTCGAGGGTCAACGGGTGAAACTCGCTTCATGTAGAAAGTCGCAATAAGTCGCAAACTCACATGTGACTTTCCATATGAAGCGAGTTTCACCCGTTAACCCTTGAAGAGGGATGCGGGTGGGGGCCCGAAGGCCCCCCCGCACGCCCCCTTCGGTGTGTGTGTGTGTGTGTGTGTACACATGCTCGGTGCAAACTCTTATCACTAACTTCATTTATTAATAACTTTTTAACGAACAGTGAGCACGGACTAAAACATTTTGTATATTACTCGGGAAGTTTATGTTAGTTACGAGGCATGTTTATGTCGCCAAAGTTCGTCGATATAACAGCTTTCCTAACCTGTATTATGATCTGCTTTAACGCTTCATATCTCGCTTCGCGGAACTGAGCGATGATTTTACCACAGGAAAAAGTTGTTTCTCGTGCAAAAACGCGTCGAATGAGCCTAGTCTCGTTAAAATCGGAGCTGACTGTGTACTTCTAAATATTTACCTTATTAGGAAAAAATCCAAATTTTTCAGTTCTTTCATAATAAAAAAATTAATATCTCGAAATGAAATATTTTGACGTAATTGTCCATGGTTCATCTGAGAGCCAGATGAACAAATATTATTGCTTTAAAATTTCAAATCGATACGAAGCTCAGTTTCGGAGAAATCATTGCAAAAGGTTGAACAATAAAATTTCGAGAAAAACGCGTTTAAAATTTAAATGGACGTATATTTATATGAATATCTGTTAATAAACAAAATTTTTCTACTCCTTTTTCTATTCTTCATATATAAATACATCTAGAATTTTCATTCTTGCACATTTATTCAGTTCGTCACAAAATATTATCAAAAACAAGCACGATTTTTCGGTAATCTCACTCTCCAGTCCCCTTAAGACGTCTCGAATTGTGTCGTTCGAAAATATGAAATTTGTTGGCGAGAGAAAGAGAGGCCAGCGGTATTGAGCAAACGCGTTCTTGCGTAACACGCTGTTCTCTCGCGCGGCGTCTTATTTTCAGAAGTCCCGAGCATTAAGGAGGCAGTAAAAACAGACCGCAAGTGAAGACTCATTTAACGGCCGACAGTGACGTCCCGAGATTGGACCACCGACAACGTCGACGGTACGATCCCGTCTATTCTTCTCACCACGGCTTCCCTTAATTTCTGCGTGCGGGGCGTGAAAAGGTAAACGCGGAGCACCCTCGGCTTCCTCAGGAGAGAGTCGCGCGCGCGCGCGCGCTCATAATGAAGCAGCCTCCGCGGGAGGTAGGCGTTTTAATATTGTACACGGGTATTAGCTATACGTCGAGCGAGTGAAAATTAGCATTTATGAAAATTTCAACAACGTACGGACTTGATAATTCCGAACGAAAGCTTGCTCTTCGTTGACGCGAAACGCACCCGACAAAAATGCAGGAAGATACAAAAGCACGGCCCTCAGTGAGGCCGAGGAACGTAAAGGACCGACGTCGTCTGCGGAGAATTCCGGCTGAAAATTGTACGGAATCGTTAATCCCGGATCACGCTTGCGAAATATATATGACTGACGGCACGAATGCGCGCGGGCGACCCCGGCAGAGTTATTATTATATCCGGCATATTCCGGCGAGGAATGCCGCTCGAAAAATTTCCAAACGCCCGCGCGTGTTTCTCACCCTTGGCCCACTAAATTTTTCACGCTTGCATACCGGCATTATGCCCGGGCCTGGCATTCTTCGCGGTCGAATGCACTGACATCGCGCTTACATGAGGGATGCTCGTATAGGCTTTACGACGGCCACGGATATTTCGATAGCGCGTCGCGTTTATCTCTTGTTTCATTGTACACACGTAATGGATTATGGCACCTTGAGCAGAAGTTCAAGATTCTGATAAAATGGAGAGAAAAAAAAAGTAAAAATGTCGCGATAACCATCCGAATCCTCGCTCCAGTTTCGCCGTATTATTACGGCTTCCGTAAACTTTTGCAGAGCTAGAATAACGCGGTAAATGCCCATGCAGTGGACTTGGAGTCATTCTCTTCAACTTGTTGACGGCAATAGGAGAGACCGATGAGCCGAGAGTGAAATATGTCGAAAGATTTACGCGTAGATCCGGCACTTGATAATCCGTCGGTCCCGAGAATGGACCGGTGATTCGACCGAAATATTTCCGCGTTGGGTGAGAATTTGCAAGGGTCGGCCGTCGGTCGCGGATTTCCTACATCGGGGCGCGGATGCGAGAAAAACGCGGGCTCGTTCGGGCTCGTTACCGTGAACGAGTTGGTATCGCCGCGCGACGCATTGCATTATATACGCGGCGTTAAAATCGCCGTTATCATTTGACGGAACTTACGCGCTCGGCGAACGCGCGGCGGCGGGCGTGCCGTGCGACCGTAACGAGGGAGTCTCGGGTTTCTCGCGGGGCGGCTGCTCGGCAGGATGGGAAACGTTGCATGCCTAATCAGACAACGGCGGCAGACAGTGCTTTATGCGTTCGCTCCATCTGCAGATTTCCGTTTAATAACGTCATCTGTATGCAGAAGTACATTATCTTTAGCCGTCTCTTATCCGCCCCCGTTCCACCGAAGGATACCCGCGCATTTGTGCGCGGCTTCTTTCCCCGTGACGTGGCCGCGGCGGCTTGTTTAACGCGCTCGTTAAAGCGACTGCCGCGCGCGCGCGCGCTACTTTCGACGATTGATCTTCGAGCTACGCGAATCGTTACAACGCGATATCCTCGAAGGAAGCAAAGGAGAGACGAGCGAGCAAACTTCAGGCGAGAATGCGAATGCTCGCCTCTGTGTGCCGCCGTATAAAAAATTGATATCACTCTGGCCAGCCCGGGACAATTAATTTATGCGTAAAGAGGCGAACGTTCCACACGGTTCGCACAGTTTGCGGAAACTGAGCTTGTAATTCGCTGTAATTTCTTTTTTGTCTCCTCCCGTGTAATCTTGTTAAATTTAACGGAGCTGTGTAGCGGATTAATGCCGCGATAACTCCTCCGGCACGTCGCGTCCTCCGTTTTTCTTTGCGTTGAATTTTAAATAAAGCAACCTAAGTACCCCCCTCGAAACTTGCCGGTCAGATATCGACTATAGTCGGCGACTACGTGGGTCTACATGGACCAGCTAAATCTGGGTCTTAATCCTTACCTTGTCTCTCAAAATGTGTGCGTCGCGGTAGTTACATATCTACGATCATAATTCGCCGGTTATTTGGAGTCGATAGTTTACGTGAATTTTTTGATTGTTGCTGTGTGAGACAAAACGCTTGCTTTCACCGTGCCGTGCAGAATCGACGTACTAAATTACTCAACAAGTGAGCACCGAATAGTAACGAATTAATAATTGAAGAGTATCGAGCAAGCAAGATTCATGATGAGAGATCAATCTTCCTCGACGAGATTTCGCGTCGACGAGACTGTAGCAGAAG